ACAATCACCACCAACTTAAGTTATCTTTCCTCCTGGTTGTTATTGAATATTTTTTTAGCTATGCTTTTCTTGGAAACTTCAGAGGAAAAAAAAAGAATAGGCTATGAAAGTTTGCTCTCTCAATATGAGAATTTTCTAGTCTCAGATTCTTATGTGATTTTACAGAGAAACTTTATTAATCGCTTACAATTAAAAATGTGCAGTTGGAATGAAAAAATATATCTTTGACATGAAAGTTTAAATTTAACGCGTTTTCTTTCATAACTTTGTAGATTTTAAAGAAGCAGTAAAAATATGATCATAACTCTGTCAATAAACATACCCACAACCCATTTTGGACTCTACGTTGGACTCTACGTTTCAAATGCCCAGTTTAGTATGATATTATTTCCTTACACATCCTTCAAGAAATGTATGGCGAGATAAAATGCAACCAGCCATGAAAAGAATAATTATAGATAAAAAAAATAAAACAAAAATTAAAAAAGCTGGGTTGCCTTTTTGCTGGGAAATACTTTTCTATAAAAGTTGGCTATTACGACTTGTATTTTTCTATTAGAGGGAATCAATCCCATAATTTATACGGAATGAACACAACTCAACTGATAATGACACCTGACACCGCACTTGGCCGAGTCAGCTTAAATCTTTGTTGAAAAAATACCATGCGTTTGCGGAAAAACTTAATGTTAATCGGTGAAAATGACAGAACCTCCCTCACTTTAGTCTTTTGCAGCTGTTTAGGTACTATTGTAAAGAATTAAATCTTTTCTTTTCGGAAAAATCCATATGGGAACCCTCGATGTCCCTCTAGAGCCGTCAAGGCTTTCAAAAATTCGGAAACCACTTGCAATAAGTGAATGAAAAGCTTTAAAATCTCGATTAGAGATGGGAAAATCATCAGAAATAAGGTTTGAAAGGAAGCGATCAATTCTTTTTATGACAATTTCAGTGTTCCAAGAGAGGATGCTCTCTTAGCCGCACTTCACACAAGAATAAAAATTCAGAAATTTTCCAATTTCCTTTTTCGTGAATTTTTGTTCCCTGTAGAACTGTAAAACTTTCCGACGCCCTTCATGATGTCGATTTTGCCCATGATATACAGCTGTCAACAAAAGTTTGCCCAAATCATTTTGTAATACTGTCGCACAAAGTTAGCCGAGAAGTTTCAATAACAGAAGTGTTCGATTTGCGATATTAGGTCATGAATGAAGATATCCGACCAAAGGATTGCCACAAGAATACAATACTTTATTCACACAAGAATAAAAATTCAGAAATTTTCCAATTTCCTTTTTCGTGAATTTTTATTCCCTGTAGAACTGTAAAACTCTCCGATACGCCCTTCATGATATCGATTTTGCCCATGATATACAGCTGTCAACAAAAGTTTGCCCAAATCATTTTGTAATACTGTCGCACAAAGTTAGCCGAGAAGTTTCAATAACAGAAGTGTTCAATTTGCGATATTAGGTCATGAATGAAGATATCCGACCAAAGGATTGCCAAGTAAGCGTATTTTCAGTCATCTATAACGTAAAAGATTGTAATTTTAAAACCTTGTGTGAACTACTGCGAAAGACCGAGTCATTTTTAAACAGCAAGTTTACCACCGTGTAGTATGGAAAGTCTGTGATTATATTTTTAAGGACCTATTTTTGGTTTCAAGAAGTTTAAAGTTTGGGTTCTAAAGTTTCTGCTATGAAATAGTCGTTCGCGATTACCCATTCATGCGAGACATCCTGACAAGAGAATATCTAATAATTTCAAATTCTTCGCACATCTTCGGATTTTCATGAGCACTAAGATGGCCAGAAAAAAAGTTAATGGGACAGCGACAGTTGTGATAGCAACTACAAAGTCAAGAGCAATTGTATCATGTTTTCTAAGTCCCAGATAAACTGCGGTTCCCCTGAACAGAATAACAATGACTGAGGGGGAATAAACAAAAAAATAAACCTTCACAAATACCCTCCCTCGTGTTAACAAACATCCGTGGTGATCGCTGTGTTTTCCTCTTTTTAGCGCAAGAAATTGAAGAGATTGACTTGCGATGGCGGTAACTACTGAATGGTAATGGATGATAGTGAGAGAACTTGAATTGCTTTTGGCCCTTTGTTGCTGTTTAGAAGCTATTGTAATTTGGTTTTTCTGAGAGACGGTAATAAATTAAAATGATGTACTCATTAAATCCCACTAGAAATCTCTTACCATCGGAAAACTGCAGAGGTAAGGCACTCGACGTCGTTACTGCTTTCAGGGCTTCCAAATCAGTAAATTATGAGTATAAGAATCTGTATTAGTGATAGGAAAAAGGACATCAAGTTTAGGGATAAATCATCAGAAATACAGTTTGACCAGCAAAGCGATCGATCACTTTTACAATGTTTTCAGCTTATTTGATCCAGGCAATATCAATTTTCAAATATCCGTTATCGCCTTTGTAGTAAATTCATTTTTGTTCAACCCGATCGATAATGGTTTTGATGTGTTCGTAAATTAGCATAACCAAGAGAGATTGCAAATTTAGGCAAGGTCACTCTCAGTCGAGTGGTCACAGCCCTTTCTTTTTTTTAAGTTGCGGATCGTACAAATGTTTGTCTGTGATCTGTTTGTCGTGCATATTCCCATGAGACGTGTAAAAATCCCGTGAACCAAGGGCACGCTTTCTTCATAAAATGAAGAAAACACAAGCGTAGAATCACAGAGTTCATGGAACTCAGTTTCCTTAGGATTCTTTCTTCGATCTCTTTTATGCATCAAACACACTCGCGCTACCTACAAATTCCGAAAAAAAAAAGAACGAGCTGCAGCTTTTGACCTGGAATCGCATCGCCTTGATTTGCCAATCCTTTTGATAATAAGGATTATTTACGGACTCTGTATTTACTGAATAAAACCGATGTGGAATAAATAACGAAAAAAAGACAAAAACGAAAATGTCGTCATTACTTTTCGCTTTGAAAAATTTCAATTTCTAACACTCCAAAAAATATCCACGTTAAAATGGGTATGATTTTTATAGTATACAACACCTTATAATGTTAACGTTTTAAAATTGTTTTTTGTTGCTGTTGTTAGGCCCGGTTCATACGTCGCATTTCTGCCGTGTCGAATTCAATTCAACGAATTAAATTCGGCAGAAATTCGACGTCTGAATCGGCTGCCGCATTTCTGCCGCACGTTCGACTAGTCTTGTCGCATTATCCGACAGAAATGCGACACCGATTCAAACGTCGAATTTCTGCCGTGTCGAATTTAATTCATACATTATGTTAATGTATTGAGCATGCGTAGACTGAGGCTAGCTATAAAAAGATGGCGTCACGAAGGGAAGAGACTTCAGATTCAGAAGAAGAAAGCTCTTTTTCTTTGTCTGACAATGAAAATTTGGCCCCGCCGAATAAAAAGAGACGAGGCAGAAAAGCGCAATGGCGAGATTGTCACGTCGCCGACAGGATCGATAAACTTGTGTTGCATTTTGATGAGACAAAATGAGAACAATCAACAGCAAAAGTTGAATTATTAGTCTATGCTTTTCCTGAAGACGATGCAGCATATACTGTTGCATTGTCAGCCTCCTCCTTCGCCTTCCTTCAAAAACTTTTTGCAAAATAAAGAGCCTCCGTTTAGTATCTTCGTCCGCCATATTAGATAGTTACGTCTAGTTACGTAACCTTTGTAACATTTTTCCGCTGACGGACCTGCACCGCAGTATCAATTCAAAGAATTAAATTCGGCAGAAATTCGACGTATGAATCAGCTGTCGCATTTCTGCCGCACTTAATTGAATTGAATTCGACACGGCAGAAATGCGACGTATGAACCGGGCCTTATCTTTGCATAGCTGCTGTCATTCCTAATTCTCAGTTGCACCTATTTTTGTTTTGTTTCGTCTTTCATTACTGATAAAGCAGTCAAGAAGATAACGCGGTACAGTGATATATTACACATATTTCACGTTTGTAAAAAGGACAAAAAATAAATAGATAAACCTACCCAAAAAATAAATTAATCAACAATATATATTTCCCATTTTTATGAAACTTGCTTAAGGATTCCTTGTGATCAAGTCCAATGCAGTGTCTCAATTTCTCTTTCGCGATGAGCAAGATTTTTACGAAAATTAATTTCGCCTTCCAGCCTGTTCGCCCAGAAAATGCGAATTTTTTAATCAGAATGGAAAGTTTAAGGCACGCTGCTAATCGCATTTTCTTATTTCAGGCAACAATTTATGACTTAAAAACTTTTTTTCCGATTCGTTTCGCTGGAAAGTTTTTAACTAAGGATATGTAATTACATGTAAAGATGACGTACTGCGCAGGTAGGGCACGTAAAGCGCCAGGATAACTACCTGTAAATAAAGTCAAATTATTAGCTAACATTCTGAGAAGGAAGAAAATTTTACAGTTTACACGCGATGTTTGATTGTGCCCTTTTAGACGTTGGGGTTGTAACATGTCAAAACATTTTAGCAAGTTACTAACAGAAGAACATGAGAAGTCAACATGGAACACATCAAAGCCTCGAAGATGAGTTATCTCTAAGGAATAGGCCACTTCCGAGGTCTCGCGATTCAGTGATCTGGTGCCGAAATTTCAGCGCGAGAACGAGGCTTAGTGCAACGTCGCTCTCAGTTGAAAATAATAAATATATCATGTTGTAGCGTTTTCGTTGAGCCCCCTTTGAGTCCTCGTCGAGTCGTTGTTTGAATCTCGTTGAGTTCTGCTTAGGCAGGCTGTATGAACCTTATTGATATTTAAGTGAAACGCGCCATGGAGAGGCTGTCATATTGCGCGCGCACCTGAAGATCGTCTCTCCGTGCCGCGCGCGCGCTCGTGCTCGAAAAAGTCAAATGTTTAAATTTATCCGTCAGCAAAAATCACGTGGGCTCTTTCAGACGAAGCAGTTAAAATGGCAAAGTCTTCTTCTTGCTGTTGAATGCATCTTGAGATCGTTTAGAATTAAGGATCCTCTTTAGAAGTTTTAACAAAGTGAACATGAACCAACCTCGAGAACTTCAAAATCATTTCCAAGGCTTGCCTGAATTTCATTATGCTGCGCTGTTGGGAAAACAAGAATTACTTCGAAAATTGTTATCTACAGGTGACACAGTTCTATCCAGTGTTGACATGTATGGCAGGACAGCTCTGCACATAACTGCTTCTCATGACGTTTACAACAGTCTTGATGTTTTATGCAGAAATTGCTCAAAAGACAAAAAAATCCTTGATCAGAAAGACAACTATGGTTACACTGCTCTGCATTACGCCGTTCAAGGAGCAAACACATACTGCGCTAAGTTGTTGCTTGATTCAGGATGTAATGTGGACCCTGCCCAGTATTCTCAGTACACTCCGCTTCACCTGGCTGCCTCATATGGTTACCCTGAATTAGTTTCTGTCCTTTGTGAGCACGGCGCCAATGTTCACGCGCGGAGCGCCACCCAAGAAACACCATTACAGATGGCGGCTCGATCTGGCATCCGAATTCGGGAAAGAATGAAGGTGAGGTACGATATAATGAAAGCCCGACCAACTCTGTAAGCTTCCAAACATTTATTTTGCCGAAATTCATTTAGTGAATCACTTCTAGGTGCTTAGTCATAAACCTGGTTCTCACGCAACGTCGAATTCTCATTATCTGCTCAGCTTGTAAAGTAACCTGAATCATAGACGGATTTTGATTGGTTCAGATGACAAAACCATTAACCGCATTGTGTTCAGTTTTATTCTATAAAACAAATTGATTTCGTGTTGTCTTGGTTCTGCACAGGAAAAGACCGCAGGAGACGTCAAAACGTTGTAAGAACGTGACAAACGAAGTGCGAGTGGCACACGGGCTGCAGCCGAGTGTGTACTGATGCTCTTATGTTTTGACGTCCTCTGTGGTCTATCACAGGACAGGCCCAAGGCAATATAAGTATATGTTTTTCAATTGTGAAAAGTCACGTGTTTATTGTATGTGCTTTCGCAGGCCAATCAAAAGAGTAAGAGATTTTGTCTCTTGTTTCTAAGGTTCACTACATCACCCTGGCCCTTTTACTCAAGTTTGGTTCCGATGCAAATGTAAGGGACAACGATGGTATAACACCGCTTCATTATGTCGCTATGTACTGTGAAAATAAAGAATGCGCTGCCCTCCTATGCGCAGCTGGAGCAAGCGTAAGAAATCAGAACCGTGGTAAAGTTACCGCTATCCATGTTGCACGATGTGCGGAGGTTCATGAGTTTCTCAAGCAAGTGGAGACCATTCCTCCAAGACTTGAACATTTGTGTCTACTGGTTGTGCGCAAGGAACTAGGAACGACTTTGAAAAACAAGGCGGAATACTTACCTCTACCCAAACCCCTCAAGGACAAACTACTGTTTAAGAAACTTCAAAAGATTGTTTAAACTAATGTGAACAACTTTCCCTTGTTATTTTACGGAGAGGGAGTGGGGGGACCGGGCTATTACATCCCTTTAAACTTCAAGTCAAAAAAAGAAGCTCATTTATAAAACAAGGTATATATATATTTGTCAAATTTGGTCAGCGACCCTGCGATTAAAATCACATTTGAGCATATAATATTATAATTGCTGTAAGCATATCTTGTATTGTTAACAGGGTGTCGAATCCTGCTCCTATCTAGCAAATCACTTAATTCAATTATAGCTTTTTGTAATATCATTGGTTATTTTATTATTACTAGGGTCACCTGAATCAAACTGACTAATCACCACCTGGAGACGAATAAAAAAAATATTTCACCGAAATTCACTTAACTGGCAAAGACGACAAACTTTTAAATCAAAATTATTTGCCCTTTTCCTTCAATTGGATTGGTCAATTTTGCAGAGGTGACCTTGGCAACAGAAGCTGCTTTTTAAATTCTGCAACATTAAAAAAAATCACAAGTACAGCCTATTATGATACCATTTAAGAAAAAGTCTTGTTTAAATTACAAAAATATAAATATAAAATAAAAAAATTACGTCAGACTAAGTTGACCAAAGTTCTCTGCTTTTTACCACACTAAAGAACTTTTCCCTATTTTAACATTAATTTTTATACTTGTTTCTATTGAGCCCTGGTCAAGTTGTTCATAAAAAAAAGAATAGCATGTCTGTTTCTGTTTATTCTGATTACTGCAAACCATGCCAAGAAATTTTAAATAGTAGAAATATTTCTCTACCACGTTTTTTCAGGGCTTGGTTCACAGTGTGTCAAATTATCTGAGCTACCTAATCAATTGATTATATTTCTTTTAACAAGAATTTCAAAAGTCTATCTACACACGCTCGTTACAAAATTGCTGAACTATTAAGCCACCTATATAAAGATATTGAAAAAAATTCCCAGTAATTTCTCAGAGAACAGCATGGATATTAACTGACTGCATTAAGAACGTTAATGGCTTAGTGAAAAGTTATATTCCTTTTATGAGAGAACACACTTTTTTGTAATTGATTCGCGCTAATAAATACTTCTCTAAAAGCTAAACAATTTTTCACCTATAATTTGCGAAGTTCGCATAAATTTATCTATTTCATTTATTAAAAAACATTCTTGCAATTTTCATAATGCTAGAAACAAAAAAATCTATGGCACGTCTTAAGTGAATGTTATTATTTTGACGACACATCTGTATCATAACCACAAAGCTATTAATGGTTTCTAATTCCTACAACGATCTCGACAAGTTTTTATTCTGAAAAGGGAAAGCGTTCATTTTCTTTTATCTTAGAGGAGCACGTGACGTTTACAAAACTACCAGTTACTTTAAGTATTCGTTTTCAGTCAGTTAATTCATGTTTACAACCGGTGAAGGCCAACTGGAATCTTTTTGAAGAAAATTACTAATTTGCTTAATACAAAAATAGAAAATTGTTCTTGCCCTTTCCTCTTTCCACCTTGATGGTCAGTTGTAATTATTTCCTTGAGGTTGATTCTCTTCAACCATGTCAGCTACTCGAAATTACTGTAGGCATCAAAGGAGTCCAAATACTCACTGAGAGCAGAGTAAATGAACTCGTATTGATCCTGAAAGTGAAAAAATCGATCAAGAAATTTATTGATAACCTGTTCCCCCGATCCTTAAGTGCAAGGAAAGGCATTGATAGCTCACTATTTCAACCTGACAGTTGTCAACAACATACCATTATAATTCCCACTAACTCGAAACTGTAGTTGTATACCAAACATTCTCATGAATGTCTTGGAAATATACGTGAGCGAAAATCACAAAATTAAATTCCTTCTACTTATAAACTCAAAGGATAGTAGGTAATCTCTTAGCCAAAATGTTTGCCACAGGCAGACCTAATGACGTGTACCACCTTACCACAAGCTACTCTATAAAACTAAGCACGCAGTTCCCCTTAAATTTTCAAGAAGTAGAAGCAGTTTTTCATAGGACTAGTAAAAGGTCTACACAAGACACAGGGTGCTTACAGTTGTTCAGAGCAAGTCGGCCAGTTCAGTACATTCACGAAGGGTTCAGTCCATTACAAAGAAAAAACAAAAGACAAAAAAACACTACAGTCAGATCAGTCTGCTTTAACTTGTATCAATTACTTTAGAACACTTTCCAAACCAGTCCATTTAGTTCTTATTTAAGTATCTGGCCAGTTATTTTCGACCAACGGTATCGGCCCTCAATTTCTATTGAAAACAGCTGCCAAAAAGGGCCAATGTCCAACCCCCCAGCCGGTGAATTTCGATAAACTTACCGGAGTGAGATTGCTTCATAAAAAGTAAACTTCTTTACAACGATAGACGTACTCACCTTTGTCTGAACCATAGCGGGCCTCTGAGCTCTCAGCTGCTTCACAGTCTGGAAGACGTCCACCACACCTTCACTCTTTAACCGCTCGATCAAAATACTGAGGGCGCAGAACACTCCGGTGCGACCCACTCCAGCGCTGATGAAAGAAAGCGATGTAACCAAGCTTAAGTCAGAGAGTTTTTAATGACGTACAGGAGCTTTTGTCATTGATTGCGTTTTTAGATTCCGGAAAGGAACCCGACTTTTGGCGATAAAAAAGAAAAGAAAAAAAGCGACAAAAAAAAAAAGGCCACAATAGTCAATCTTGCTTGGAAACCTCACCACGTCGTTGCAACCTCATAAACCCTCACTTCTCTTACCTCTTTGTATCTGCTTGAATTCTAAGATGTTTAGCAGTAAGGCATTCTTGACCAAATAAACATGTTTTGCAATACAGAACCATAGCTGATTGTGAACTACTTGTTGTGGTTGTGTGTGCGGTCAAATCATTGAGATGTTAGTTTTAAATATGACCAGTCTATAAACTTCTGAAACGATTACGTGACCATCTGCAAGCTCAGAACGTGGAAAGGCGGCATTTTGCATGGATACTTTAAATGACAGAGATCAAATACTTATCCTTCAAATTGTGTTCAATTTGTAGAAGTATTAACGTCTTTAAATACCTGCAGTGTACAGTGATAGTTGTATTTCCTGAATTCTGCTGCCACCTTTGTACCTGACCAATGAGATCGATTAATCCTGTACCAGATTCTGGAGACCCAACATCAGGCCAACCAGTGTAATGATACTGACGGACAACTCGCGAAGCACTCTCCTGATGTATTCAAGATAGAATTTACTCGTTAAACAGGTAAATAACGCCTACTTTATATGTGTAATAATCTCCTACCAATTCCAAACCGTACATCGGATCTTTTTACTTGAAAATTGAATCAATTTAAACCTTGGGTAAATTTCATTAGTCTTTGGAAATTTTCTATCTTACTCAGAAAGTTCGAAACACGCTTTGGTTTAGGGTGCCAAGACAGGTTATTTCTGCAAACCACCGTGAATGTATTGCTTCCCGCAAAAGAAGCTTTGCCTCAATTCCAGCAACAAACGCTCACCACAATTTAGACAACTTCAATTTCGTGCAACTTGTTTCTGGAGAAAAAATGCGATCGCAGAGAGACAAATGTTTCCACAAAAACTCTTTATGTCCCACAAAGCGAATTTGCGCTGCTTTCTGTCCTTGCTATTTTCTGCTTCGTCATCTCATCGCAGAAAGTCTCACATTAACTAAGGAATTGATCTTCATCAACAAGCTTTGCTCCTCTAAGGCAGCATACAAGTTCTCCTAAGGCGACGTTCACTTTGATATTATCGTTAAAATTTTTCCATTGCGAAAACCCTTAAAATGTATTTAATTCCGTTTGGCAGCAGTAACGATACCTTGGTATTGGTGAGTTTTATTTCACGCATTGTGTAATCCTCATAAACCATCTCATTAGTCATTTCCACTACCAGAGTACCGATATTCGCCGGCTGTTTTGCAGGCCAGTAACGATGTACCTTGACCTGTAATAAGATAAAAGGATTTCACATGTAAATGTTGAAATAATCTAACCTTAAACCTCTGACTGTTGTTTCTCGCACTCTACTCCAAAAAAAAGATACGAAAACGAACACAAATTCAAAGAAAAAAACTGGTCATAGATGAATCATGCCTTCGACCTCCGAAGTGGTGACGCCCTTGTTTTAGTGAAAACGGAAAGGAAACTGTATCCTTCGAGGGTTTAAATAAAAGCTGTCAGCAGCAGTTTACCGCCCCCTATATGAATTCTTACTGCTGTCTTGGTTTTGCTTTACCGCTCTTTTTTCGGGTACAGCTCCCATGAGTTACCGAGAAAAAATTTCTCCTCACAATACCAATACAATATCAATCAGACAGGTGATGAGAGTTACGAAAAATATATAAGTTAGAGGATTTTCTAGTTGATCCCGTACCAAATTCTCAGAATTAGCATCATAAGAATTGTATGGCAGACAGTAAGGAGAATTACTAGAGAGATCTTGGGCATTAAAGGGTTAAACTACCAGGAGCCACTTATGGAAAAAAGCAATTGAAAGCCATGATGCTGTATTTTCTGAGGCGAAAACAACAAGATTTACGAAGTGCATTTCTATGTCTTGGAATGTTGCTTAGTACAAATTGGAAAGAATTTTGGATTAGTACAGATGCATAAAGAAAATAACGAAGAAAAGTTGGTCTGATTATCAATTCTGACTTCTACCTGTCCCACACGAAATTGCGAATGAGTTTAGAAAAATTGACTAAACAGCCAAAAGACAAACTGTCTTTGATATATTCAGTTTTTCTTTTGTATTAACCTTCCTATGAATATGTAATAAAATTCTTATATGTCTAAGAGTTTATTTGTTAATATGTTCCGCGATTACCTTGCCACTTTCAGTCTCTTTCGAGAGCATTACTATGGTGGAGGACTCTTGTTCCCAGATCATACGCCAAAAGTCCGGAATAGTGTCTGGTATGGGAGCCTGTGTTGCAATGAATGCTCTTCGAGTCATGTAGCCATCAATGAAGTTAGCATTGATGTAGTCGGAACCTTCTATGCCAGTGATCATACTTAGTTTGACCCGAGTATCATCAAAGGCTAACACGTTTGCATAACGATTCTTTGTCTTGTTGTAGCCCATGTTGGCAGCCTGGAACTTGGTTTGCGGAGTATTACCGCGACCCAAACGGATGAACTCTTCATCCATTTCAGTTTGGCCTGAAAATGTAGGGAATACTCTGAGGTCAGCATGGGAGTAGGGTCATTTCATTATTCTTAAGTGTTTTCTAATGAAGCGAAGGAAACCAGAAAGAAAGAAAAAATGGCAGCTAAGACTCAACTAATTGTCAAAGATCTGTTAGTACAGGTTACAAATACAAACGTCTTCAGGCCCAACTACTTCTTACGGCGCTTGATTAGGTAAACGTTTTCAAAAGGAAACGGCATTCTCTTGGAAACAGTTACTGTGGGAACATTGCAAGCTGGGTCCTCTGCATTCCCCCGGACCGACGTTTAGTTGAAATTTTCAGCATTGCTTCCTTTTTTCATCTGAGAGTTTAGTGCCAGTAAATGAGTCGTTGACCATGGAGCTATCAGACAAGCCGAGGCCAGTTATAGTTCTTATTGTTAAAGTTACGATGCAGCATACGTCATCTTACTGGAAACTCCACGCTTAAGAATCTTTTAGTTTCCAAGCATGACGGTAGCAAAAATACTGCTCAGTAACGAACTCTCAGCCTTTTTGACAATGCAAAAGCCAAACAAATTTAAAGACAAGATGAAGGAAAGACGTACCAGTTGAAGGACTGACTTGCATTAGGAGCTTCATGTGGGATCTAAGATCATTCGCTCGTATCTCAGTGTATCCAGAATGAATGGCCTCCAACAGAACTTCGTGAATAAAAACATATTGCTCCTCCACCTGGACCATGATATTTCTGTCACGTCGTAATGTCATAACGTATCCAAAGACATCTACTGTTTTCTCTGCAGCAATACTTTGTAACATGGCATCCACCACGATGAAAGTACCAGTTCTGCCAACCCCAGCACTGCAGTGAACAACCTGAAATAAGGAACGACTGTTAACTGGGAGCAGTTAACACTAACTCTTTAGTTCAGTTTTTCATTTGAATTCCATGGTAATTATTTTCCATGGGTAACCATTCTTGTTCCAACATTATGTCTTAATCTCCCCTTCTTAAGCTGGTATGTCTTGCAAACTATTTGAAAACTAGTCGCTCCTATTGAACGAACACCGATTAGGAGTTATCACAACTTGAAAAAGAGTGGTTAAATATTAAACGATGTTGCATGCCTTTCTTAATTTTTTGAAGAAGTTGAGCGAATTTCAATTTCCAAGCACCTAGGAATAAAAATTTATCAGAGGGGGGATTTGGGAATGCCACTATTCCACCCATAAAAGTCACGCCTGCCACGCTTGATAGTTTGTTTCTTCAATGCTTCCCTCCCGAAAAACGCTAGGTACACTCATGTGATTGAGTGCACAACGCGCCATAATTGAAATCAAGGTAGCCGTTACATGGGGTCCAAAAGAGTGGTATTGGCTGAGATAATTCATGATTTTTCAGAACAGCTACTGGCCCTTTCCTGCCCTTATCCTCTCTGACTCTGAGCTACACACCACTCAGACTTCAAGAAAACTTACCATGGGCCCTGCGTCTGCTGGATTAGCACCAGACGCCTTCTTAACAAACGTGAGAAGTGAAGTAGGACAAGAAGGGACACCATGATCTGGCCATACTGTGTAATGGTACTGATGTAGAGTTCTTTCACTTCTGCTATTGGCTTTCTTTAGAGTGAAAGTACGGATTGTGAAATCGCTGAGCTCCACTATCTGCATTAGCGTTACTTGAATGTCACCATAAGCCTTTCCACCCTCCGACGGCCAGTATTGGTGGCATTTTATACGACCTCGCTCTTCCAAATTCGTCACCTGGGAGGGGATGGACAGGCAATGTTAATGGGTGGACAAGAGAAAAATAAGAGAAGACAAGAATAGGAAGATCTATAATCGGGAAATGACACCAGCAGAAAGCGGATAACGTAAAATTGATCGTTCGTTAAAGATAAAATGCGTATAACCAAGCAATTTCAATTAGCAAATTTCGCAAGCTTCGGTTTCATTTGTTTGCCATGGCAATTACGCCTGATACGTGACAAAAGAGATAGGCTAAATCTAAAGATGTATAAAATGCGTGACAGTCATATGTGACCATGATTAGGCTGTAAAACAATAACGTGGCTCAAGATCATTTTCTTCTGGCCACCGTCAAGTGGACGTAGAGCTCTCTCAGAAAGAAATTAAAAAAAACTCTTATAGGTTGCAAAGGTTTCTTTTGGTGACTGTACGCTATGCCGTATTTTTAAAATTAGTTGATCTTCCATTCATCACCGCCAGATTAAGAAATTATATGGAAGGCTAGTAAACAGAGTAATAAAATAATTAACACATACCATAACGATGATCTTTGAATCTTGTTCCCAGATCATTCTCCAGAAGTCATCTTCGGTCTCTGGGAGGGGTCCCTGTGAAGCGATGTACGCCCTCTTTTTCTGATAGCCTTCAAGAAAGTTTGCGTTGATGTAATCAGAGCCTGGTACACCTTGTATGTGCGATAATTTGACTCGGCTGTGGTCGTATGCAACTACGTTATTGTAACGGTTCTTGTGCCTGTTTTCCTGAGCCAGAGTCGCATTCCAAGTGAATTCGGCTTGAGGCTTTAGAGCACCATACTCTTGAGAAAACAAGAGATCGCCATTGGCGTGCAAACGTCGCACGTGTTCTTCAAATTCCTCCACTGGCACTGCTTCCCCAGGATTGTGGGCGGGGTTGTCTGTGGATTGAAGAAACAACTGTCATTTTCTCAATTGAGCTATCATCAATTGGTTATCCAGTATTGTCGTGGTTTTCCTTTACTACTCTCTGAGATCAAACCCTTGCCACTCTCTCAACCAATCGGATGAAGGAAACCACTTGCTATATGGTCGCCCACATTTTTGCACTGAAATCTTTTTGGCTCCCCATAATTTTCCTTCCCCCAATGAGCCGTTTTGGTAAATTTGTTTTTTTTTTTTTACTTCACTGCAACGAAAAGGGCGGCAACTTAGTTTTTGGAAGAAAATTTTTCTAGAAATTCTTACCGAAGGCTCCTGATCCACGACCAAGGATTCTTTTTGATAGAGTTCTTCCACGTTTTTGAGGTCTTAGGGCCATCTCTTCCTCGCCATTGCGAGGGCTGCTTTGTCGTCGACGATAGACGAAAATTCCCACTGCTATACATGCAGTTATGATAACAATTAGAACAACCACTACCACGATTGTAACTGTGTGGTCCTTGTTGGTTTCAAAGTCAACGAATCCTTCACTCTCATAATCACCCTCTTTGTCGAACGACCGCTGAAATGCAACGTACTTAGCTCCATCGTCGAGCTTGCCATTGAGAAACTTTTCCACGACTAAAAGAAAAACAAGCAAACTTGGTTAAAAGAGTCAAAATACCTCTTGTCTGACTCTAATTATTTGGAAAAATGGGAAAAAAAGAAGAAAAAAAAGAACGGGAGGAGGGAGAAAGCAGAGGGAAGCGGCAAGGTTGCTGTACCAAATTCAGAGTGGCAACTAACTCCACAAATGTTTTTTTTCAATTTTTTTGAACATTTGAAGGTAACTTTCGAGAAGTTAAATCTCTCTTTAGGAGCTCAAGTTTCATGTCATAATATTATTCATTCATTTTTAATGACGCTTACTTCGTATTCCATAAGAATCCAATTGCATAAATTAGGTAAAGCCGCGTCCTCTTTTCTTTCTTTATCGCTCAGATTTCAAAGACCTGATCCGTTTTATCTCCAAGGCGACAATTTTTTTTATCGGTATCACCTCTTTTCTCACCAATGTGTAATGTTGTAAGGATAATTTACATCTTTGTCACTTCTCGGTGTTCAAGAGTTCGCGATAACATTTGTCGCATGCGCACTATCGAAGAGCATTACTTGGTCTTCTTCACTTTCTTCCGGAATTCAAGTGTTATAGTTGCGTCCTACCTCGGTATCATAGTACATACTAAGGCCGTGCTTTCAATGAATGGATCTCATCACAAATCGACATAAATTTTCTCTATAACCCGATCGACATTTTCTCCCATAATGGGTGAATAAATTAATGAGTAAAAAAATAAAAAGATAAATAAAAATATATCATCGCAATTTTTACTAAAGCAATCTCAACGTTTTTTGTGCTAAGTCTGGCCTCTGAACCATGAGCTGTAAAGCCAAAAGTTTGACGATGTGCCTGGGCTTTCATTCCCTAAGTGAGTGTCGAGATAGCTTCTTTATGACACTGACCAATTTTTTTTTTTGTACCACTTAAAACATCATTCAATGATTTAGTCTGAAACTTTCTCTGAATACATATCCTAAAGCAATCCTTTGCTGAGGCTAACCACAGTGCCGTATTAACGCTAGTTAAAATAATAATAATTATAATAGTAATAATAATGATTATAATTTTAAAAATCCAACATAAACGATATCAATTAAATTACAAAGAAGACCCCTTCCGCTGTAAGTTGCATATACCCAAGGCATTGAAGCCGTAACGCAATTCAAGTGATTCAGAGAGGTTGAATTTTTTCATTTTTTTTCGCATGTGTATGATCAATTCAAATGTCATATCAGATTGATTATGAGTGGTCAAGTCGATTGACTCACCTTTTCTGCGCTTCCTTTTGGCGTCAGTAACACCTTCCGTAGAGTAGTACTTCCCGTCTCCAACAGGAAATGATGTCCTCTTCTCGTTATTGTTTGCAAATTCAGCCGTAACGTATGGTTCCCCTGCCACTCGATCTTCATATTTTCTGGTGACTTTAGCATATTTTGGATCTGACGATTTCCCTTGATCTTGTCCATCTGTAAGTTCCATGACTATCACTTGATACTTACTAAAAATGAAAAATTCAGAAAACACAATTTTTATTTAGGAGGAACTTCTTAAAGCCAGGTAAGGAGTTTCTTAAGGAGACAACCTAAGTGAATTGGCTTTGGCAAAGAAAGAATCAACCGACACCTCACTCTCCTGAAAAAAGTAAGTTCTAAAAAACTCCAGGGAAATTAGCACCAGGGCAGAAGCCACCCTGAGGGTATGGGTTACGACCATCCCTCGTCACTTCCCTTCCAGAGATTAGGCTACGAAGACTAAACAGGAAAAAAACAAAAAAAGGAAACAAAAAAAGTAAAAAAGGAGAAAACTGACGTGACTGGGGCACCGTCACTCAATTCCTGTTTCGGCACAAACGGTATGTTCACTTCCGTTTTTCCAACGTCGCCTTCGTCCGGTTCTCGCGGCTTTGGTGGATCTAACATGGTGAAATAGTAGACAAGTGATTACAAGGTGAAAAGAAAACGTATTACGTTATAGCAGATGCTGGAGGCTTTGCATCTCTTCTGAGAAATATTTAACAAAAAGCAAATTTTTCTGGCAATAAATTTGCTTTGTTATTGAGTGAAATTTCATGGTGACCCCGAGTGAGGCAAAAAGTAAATATCACGATGCAAACAAAAGAAAAACAAAATAAGGTAAAAGAAGATGACCTTTTTCCTTTCTTCCTTTTTTTTTTTCCAAACATCAAGTACAATTTAACATTTACACTTTCATTGATCGGCCATTGTGCACGCATAATTGATGTTCATACCTAAATCGGCAACCTTCTTGATTCAAGTCATATCTCTGCACTATTTAAGATGAAGCGAGGGGCTCTCGTGCAAGTAATTTCATATCACTTATTAAATGATTTTGCCACTTTAAAGCATAGTCATTGCGAAAATTCATTTCTACCCTCAACCATCCCTTTCCAAAATTATCTGATAAAAATAGCACGAACGTAAAAAAAAAAAGAAAAGTAATTAACCCAAATAATGGTGTACACAACTTTTAAAAATGATCCCAGGCACAAATCAGACAAGTAATCCACTAAACGCTTTCCAACCTATTTTGTGTTTTCCAAAATAGCATTTTCCGTGAAAAACGGACCTTTTAGGCATATTTTTCATTTGATTCCGCAAAATATCGTGCTTTTTTCCAGACAAAGTGAAATGTTGGCTTCAAAGCAGCACTATTTGGGCAAAAAACACGGAAATTTCTCCTGTGTAATAGAAGCAAAATGCTTAAGTTTTCACCGATTAAGAAAATTTGTTGCTTCAAAAGAGCAACATTTTGTATAATTTAACGGTAAGTTAAACGTAGGTGCATTTTACTCATACAAATATTCAATTTCTTCCTATATAATGCTCTGCACGTTTAAGAATGGAACGATAAAGTCGTTGATTTTAGCCCTTAATATGTTAAAGCGGTTTTTTTTTCATTTTTATTTGACATGGTATCACGAACTGTTATGCAAAAATTCTGCATGGTTTGACGTCCAATGCTGCAGAAATTCTGCATGGTGTGGCGTCTAATGCTGCAGGAATTCTACGTTGTACGACGTTAAATGCTACAGAAATTCTGCAAAGTTTGACAGCCCGAGCGTGCAAAAATTCTGCACGCCTTGACGTCCAATGATGCAGAAATTCTGCAAGGTTTGACGTCCAGTGCTGTAGAAATTCTGCACGCCTTGACGTCCAGTGCTGCAGAAATTCTGCACGCCTTGACGTCCAGTGCTGCAGAAATTCTGCACACCTTGACATCCAGTGCTGCAGAAATTCTGCAGGCAATGACCTCCTGACTTAAAGAAATTTTAGGTGTTGCAAGGTTCAACGCTGCAGAAATTCTGAATCGTTGCTTTACCATTCTCAAAAAATGAAAGACAAATTGTAGAGGGCCCAAGCATACCAACAGTTTCGATCAGTTTTCTTTTTATGCTTTTTCTATTTTTCAGCGATCATCGTTGAAATAACAATACTGTGCATGCTGATGTTTTTTGAATGACAGGATAAACTTGCGAAAATAACTCCACGATTGGAAACTAAAGGCTATTAACAGAGGCCCATACCCGCTTTATTAAACAGAACTATTCATAAATCAGACTTTTAATCAATTGCCAAAAGGTAAGTTGTTGAAAGGAATTAATTTTCTTTTCCCTACAAGAAAAAAAAATCGTTTGGTTGAATTATTGTACACATTCAGGATGAGATCCTAACACATTTAAGATTCTTTTAAAAGTTTGTTTTCAAATTTTTTTAAAATTTCGTTTAATCAAAGAAAAGATGGAAGTAATCCTGTGTTGGCATAAGGAGAGCTCATCTGTTGCAGAATAAGATGATCCGTTCATTTTTAAAGAAATTTAAAATTAGATGACCTTGGAATGAGGACACTAAAAGCCGAATTTACATCACTATCACTAAGTAACGATATTAATTCATATGAGATAAATTTTTTTCCACGAAGTTACCCGTTGAGTGATTTTCATTTCAATTGACGATACAAGGTTAAGATTTTTGACTCCTCTTCTTTCTGTTCACAAGGCGATGCAGTACCGTTGATCCAATAGTATCCCGGCAAGAAAATTACTCTTTTACTGCTCACACATAGATGTCTAGGTGTCATTTGCCTTGAAACAGACCAGTGTACAATTACAGGGATTTGTAAGGCCTCCTTCTGTATGTATGGATCTGAAAACTTTTGCGCGAATAATGTTTTACTGAAGTTTAGCTTAACTGAACCTTTTGTATGACCGTGGGTTTACTGAAGCAAATCGAAACGCATCCCTTCAGTGAATTCGTTGGAACTAATTCGTGCTGAGAGAGGACCGGTAAAGACATTGCAGGCCTACGACGAATTTTCGTAAAATCAGTTTACGCGTCACGGATATAAAAGGGAAAATTTCTAATCTCTCCTCTTGTGTGCATGGTTTCAGGGAAATCTTGAGGTTTTCACGCTATGAAAAAATGTTCAGGGTTTAAGAATACTTCAGGCCTCATACAATTTGGTAAATCCACAAATAACGTTAACCTTTCAGTAAAATTCACGCGTCGCATTTTAACTTTGGCCTTTATCACGCGTCTCGTATAACCCTTAGCGATGCACCAGTTTATTCATACCTTAAGTTTCCTCTAAGAAAGTGATTCTCCAGAGGGTCCAGCAAAGGAATGTGATGACTTTTGCAAAGATTCCACGCCGATTATTTTTGGAGAAATGGTCAACTCTTGTTCCTGTTCTGTAAAGATACCTAGCTACTTGATTGTATTATTTTAGTGTACCATACTTCCAATACTCCCATTCCCATTATCTTTCGGAAGCATCTGGCGTGTGAAGAATTTAACGGACGCAAATGAGATGTGAGTTAGTTCAAAGACAAATTATTTTCAAAGCTGACAGACCCATAAATCGCGAACTCGTGTCTTCTCATCATTGCCTCTTTTGTGACAAAATTTAGGGAGAAATTAAGAGCGGCGAAGAGAAAGTCGCAAACAACGACATTTCCGTCTGAGGTTTTCACACCATGAAATCAATCAAGAATGTGACATTTTCCCATGCGTACTAAACCCTTTTAATCTCAGAAATTTGAGGGTTTTTTTTTTATTATTAGTCTTATTATTGTTTTTTACCATATTAAGGAAACAGATCTATTTTTCTTCGTCCCGGCGGGCTGTAAGCACACTGGCGGCACATTGGGCATGCACTCAATTATGATTCATTGTAAAACTAAAGAATAGCGACACCGATTTCGCTTAATGAATACTGACCTTCACAGGCTTAGCGCTCACGGTAGGCCTAGTTGAAGATATGAAGTCTCCATTCAAAGTATTTCGATTAGAACTCGTAAGCTGTGCACTGTGCAATTTCACCAACGAGAGAGAAAAGTCCCTTCAACCTATTGTTTTACAAACCGCCAACATCCGCTCATAATATCCTGATAATCGTAGAATTGGGCTTTAGTCAGTTTTGTTTGCTATGCGCTCTTGTCAGACTCTGGGTGGAGTTAACTTGTATATTTTAACCGATGATGGCGAGCACACTGGAAATATATCCCAGTTCTACGAGCCATGATGATTTTTACGATTCGGGAATTCACCAGAGGAAAGACTTCCCAATGAAGATCAGTGGGTTGACTTCGATGACTCAATCAATTCTTTGAATGCAGGATCTTTCATTTATGGAGAAAGAATTCCGGATTTAGAGAGTCAATTAGAAATTGAAGGTTAAGTTAAAACACCTGAATACAAAGTATCACAAGCAGTCAATTCAGTGTTCATAACTTTTAAAATTTCAAGGTTGATAAGAGGTCAGAAGTATGCAAGTGTGACAGGTAACGCGAACTTCAGTCGTAATGTATCGTAACGATAGATGTAATTTCGTGTTATCAACTGAGTTGATAGCGTAAACTGGCCACCGTAAAGAGTTTAAAGGCTTACGTTTCGAGCGATTAGGTAACGATAAATAGTCTGAGCGAAACTTTGTTTGCCAGGCACAAGTTTGCGATCTCATTGCTATAAATACAATTTTACCAAACGCTTATCGAATCGGGTCTGCCTAATGTGCGAGCCAGCGAGTCATGCGAGTCACTGTGCGAGCCATGCGAGTCATGCGAGCCAGGTTGCGAGCCAGGGTGCGAGCCATGAAAAATGAAAAATAAAAATATATCAAATAAAAAATTAACATGTATGTAAAATATATCGTACAATACTACTTACTCATGAGTCCATGCGCCATTTTTGATTGTTTTCAAACCCAGTTTCTCTCGGACAGAAGTATATATTAGAGCCCATTTCAGACTTTTTCCATTTCAAACAAGACATCAACCGTAATTCCGTTTATTTTGGCGACCAAAAAAGTAAAAAGGAATTCAAATCAATAATGATGGATGCGTATAATTCTCCTACCTCTTTGCAGGCAGTAGATGCGGAAAAACGACTTGTAAAACTTATTGAAAAAAAATCAACAAATGTAAAAAAAATGAATTCTTTTAAGGCATGGTGGTGGCGAAGAAAAGCGCGTTGGCAAAAATGGTGCCGCACACAGTCATCGAGCGAAGCATCCTCTGCGGAGGTGGCAAATGCAAAATCTTTGCACGCGTCCGGATATAGGAAAAGTCTGCTGGGCGTGGTAACCGCGGAATGCGCAAGCGCTGTTTTGGAGGGTGCAGAAAACAAGAGACAATCCCTTGGCCTAAAGACAGTAGGTCGTGGCCCTTCCGCGGCAGACCGCTCTGATAAGCAATCCCTTAGTATGGCCAGAGCGAGGGAAGCGTCGGCCGACGCAATTCAACAAATCGCAGAGAAGGCAGAGGTTATAATTGATGATGACTTTGCATTGGAAACTGACGACGTCGAAAATGCACAGCAGCAGTTTAAAATCAACACAAAAGACACTCACAGGGCGGACAAAAAAAATCAAACAAAACAAAAAAGTAAACAAGTTAAGAAAGTGAAAGATGGGCACGTGACCAAAAAACAAAAGAAATTATTCCACGACAAGGTTGAAGGAGTTCACATGGACCTACTTCATTGTGATTCCTCTATGACCGAATTCACGTTCAAAGTGCTTTATACAATGGTGTATCTCGAAGAGATTTGCATCAGAAAGGAATCTGCCATCTGCTCATCTGTCTGGTGCAAAAAGGAATGTCACCACCTGATGTGGATTTTCCACAATTTGTTCAACTTTGATAAAGAGCAGCCGATTATGTACCAGTCAAAATTCACTGATCAACAGTGGAAACAAATAATTGAGGCATTCCCAGAAAACGTCCCACTGCCTAAAGTGACTTGTCCTTCAGAGGATGAGCAACAATATACGATAAACAAAAGAACATCTAAAAAGGACGCTAAATGCGCCACCTGTAAAAAAGAATTATCAGAGGGTAATATCCAAGCCACAACAGAAGGCCCTTACAGGACAATACAGAAGTCCTGGATTAAAAGAACATTCTTCTTTTGCCCTCGTTTGCAGTGCATGGGAAAATTGCCGAGGAATTCTTTATTTGCCCATATAAAACTGGAATGACACTGTTAATCGAAACACCTTTGACTGAACAGCAAAAGAAAGAAATAGACTTGAAAACTTGACTTATTTAACTAAAATATCACCCGCCGCTCTCAAAAACATCATCACGGACGGTGGGCTGATCATTTGTCAGTTTACATGTTCAAAAACATCTCAGTAAAATGGCACCTGTTGCATTTGCGAAGTGATCTTTTTATGCCTATCTACTATTAACTTTTCAAACGAGATATTTCAACTCTGCAAAGCAAGACTCTCACCTTGCAATTGTTAGTAACCAGCTAAGTAAAATAAACCTAGAAAATCAAAACAGTCAAGAGAGTAAGTCAGTTCGAGTTATACCATGGATTCCCGATTTCTTGAACCTCCCAGACAAACAAAAAATGGTTCCAGAAATATCTGGATGAGGTAAATTTCTCCTTTCTTTGTTTGCCTCTGTTTTGCTAATTGGACATAAAGATTGCTCAAATAACAGAAGGTATTATGAAATCGGCGGTTCCAAAAAATCTGGATTATACTGTAATTTTCCATATTGTAGGGAAATTGTGAGCAGCAGCACCAACAATAATAACAAGAACAAAAAACAACAACAACAAAAACATCTCTGTCTCTAAAGACTACAAAGAATGCGTGACTTCGATAGTGTTATGTAATCTATACAGTACTGATGTTATCTGAACATTGATAAATCGTTTTACTACCAAGACGCATCTTTGAAGGTATTTTTCTTCGACATTTTCTCTCCTTTCAAAACATAATATAACAGATCTTAAAATAAATAATTAAACAAATAAATAGCACGAGATAAATACAGTTACATCACGTTTTAGAATCATCTATGAAATTAAAACCGTCGCTACATGTCGCTAGTGTCACTCGCGTCATGTATCATTTAATATACAGCGTTATGTGATTTTTTCTTACGTTTAAATTGTGGCTCGCCTGACTCGCATGGTTTTTCTTACGTAAAAACCGTGGCTCGCACCTTGGCTCGCATGGCTCGCATGTTTTTTCTTACGTTAAAACCGTGGCTCGCATGACTCGCATGGCTCGCATCGTGACTCGCATGACTCGCTGGCTCGCATATTAGTAAGACTCTATCGAATCGTCATCTCTGAGTCTATCACTTGGAGATATAGAACCCATAAACATTTGATAAAAGCACGTTTTAGGCCAATTTTGTTGTTGCGAAAATTGATATGATGCATAATTCACTTCGGTTGAATTACACTTCGATAAAAATTAGTGAATTATTTCAGATTTTTTGGATTCTACCGTTTTTTTCAAAACAGAACCCGGCCAAAACCAGAAGGCGCCCACACAATGGCTTTGTAGAGTGGGTCTTCAGTACATTATCCCTTCCATTGGTTAGAGACTTATTAGGCAACACTGCACGGTTTGATTTTTCTTATTCTAGAAACAGTTGCAGCTGACAGAGAGAGAGGATCGTTTTTCCTAGAAGCTTATTTTTGCCCTTTAATTGAGATACACATGTAGTGATATGACTTAAACTGTATGTTGTATTGCTTACTTTTTTAACAGTTTAATATTCGAATTTTATCCTGTGGCATGAAGCCATGTGCTAATTTAGGTACATAATTTCTGTTGAAAGTTAATTGACAGAATATTTGTGGCATCTGTTATTGACTGGTTAGAGAAAGACTGTTATATTCCTGTATCCATGAATGAATTTCTGCAACACCTAGCGGATTAAAGGATGCAGAATTTCTGCAACATCCAGTGTATGAGTAGTCACAGTGTTTCTGTGACATTCAGCGTATGAGTGCTTGCAGAATTTCTGCGATACCTTGTGAATGAGAGGTTGCAGAATTTCTGCGACACCTTGTGAATGAGAGGTTGCAGAATTTCTGCGACACCCAGTGTGTGAGTGGTAGCAGAATTTCTGCGATACCTTGTGAATGAGAGGTTGCAGAATTTCTGCGACACCCAGTGTGTGAGTGGTAGCAGAATTTCTGCGACACTCAGTGCATGACAGGTTGCAGAATTTCTGCAACATTCAGTGACTGACTGTTAGCAGATTAGAAGGATTACCTATGCATCTTTTCATGATTGTCCATCAACACATAGTTTCTTACGGACACGCTAAATATTGCAGAGGAAAATGTAAATTTTCAATTTGTTAAATTCTGTCCACTAGATTTGATTATTTTTAAGTGATTACCAAAACTTGCAGAGGAAAATCATTAATTTACCCAAAAATGTGCTATTTTGAAAAACTCAAAACAGTTTGGAAAGCGTTACTAGTGCCGTTCTTTTTTCATTTCTGAAGAAAATAGCTGCCTCACAGCCGTCTTGAATGGCGAAAAGACCAACTGACTAATTAAGTAGATGATTCCTTCTAAATGTGTAATTCAGTCCATTGCTTTATATCACTGTGACCTGACAGATTTACGCTTACCTAAATTTCCACTTGAAACCATTTAAATTGCTTCCTTACCTTCGGTTGTAGCAGATTTAGGACTACTTGCTGGACCCCTTCCCTTCACGGTTGCAGCCAGAACTCGGATTGTGTATTCAGTAGATTGCTTGAGTCCTCCAACAACCACTTTGCTAATATTTCCTAATACCTTGTGTTCTGATATTTTTCCTTCTCCAGAATAATTGTAAAGTATGACGTACTCCGTTATAATACCATGCTGGAAATCTTTAGGAACCGGCTCCCACGTCACTTCGATTCTACTGCTGTCTAATGTCGTTACGGTGACTGATTGAGGAGGTTTCTCAGGTTCTGCAACAAATAACAGTTTTAAATCACTGGTTATTGTTTCTAATTTTGAACATGATATGACGCCATCCTAACATATGTAGAGTCGTGATTGGGCTACTTACATGCAGTAAATCAAAATAATGGTAGAAGGGGAAAATTCCACGTTGTCATGAAAAATCATTATGTTTTAAACATAGCTGAGAGCGTCAATAAATTTTGTTTTTGAAGGAAAAGGGAAATTAACATGATTTTCACATAATACGGGGGAAGTAAGAAATAAAGTTTAGTGTCAGAGATTATTCAACGTCAATTGATTTCCGGTTGATTTCGCGATAAAGTGATAGATAATTAATACATTGAGAAGGATAGGATCACATTATACATTTAAAAGAGAGAGACCAGAGTGTGAGAGTAGTCCTGTGTAAGATAGAGGGAGAGCAATTTGATCAGAGTTAAAGGTGAAGTTTCAGAACACAGCGGACTTGTCAGTCTCATTTCCGACACTGGTGCAAAACATCATTTTTAGGACATCCCTGTCCACTTTCCTACATTTCAGTATGTAATTCTGTCTGTCTACCATAAAGGTGGGGGTAAAATGCTTACAAAGGGCCTAAAATCTAGGAAAGAAATTTCAAAATCGAACAAGCGTAGATAAATAAATAAATAAATAAATGGATAAATGAATGAACGAATGAGCAAACGAATGAAGAACATAAAGTGGTGGACACAGCGAGTTGTATATCTTTCACGGCGTTCTGCTTGCAAAAAAATCAAAGCCATTTTTACTCACTGTCTTCGTCTGTTCTTTCTTCGATGGGTTCACTTGGTGGCCCATCTCCAACTCTGGTGGCAGCTAGGACCTCAATTTTGTAGACTGTGAACTTATCAAGTTCCTTCAATTCATCATATCTTGACGTAACTTTTGTCTCCTTGTAAGTACCATCCGTTAATTTTTTGTACCTGACAGTATAGCTTATGATTTCACCATGTCGCTGGTCTTCACGCACAACATCCCAGTCAACCATGATGCTGGTTGAACTAGTGAAACGACCTCGTACCCTCTGTGGAGGACCACTCGGCCCTGGGCGAAAGGGAGGAAACAAGGCAAACGTTATTAAAAATTTCACTAAAAGTAAATGTAAGAAAAAGAAATATTAGTGGGCATGCTCTTTCGTCCAGTTCCCACTCTACAAAAACGTCAATCTGTAGAGTGATAGGAGCTTGACAGAAAATTAATTAAAGCGTGTAGATAAGTCAGGGTGTAAAATTGCGCCTAATACAGACGCCAATGCGACTAGATTTTTCACTTTGGCGACCAAATCCTGAAAATTAGTCGCCAAATTGTCGACTAGAATGTTTCATCATAACCTTACCTAAAGATAAAGTGAATTAAAAAGATTTGCAAAGATAAATCCGCGGTAAACTTCCTCGTTAAGTTTGTTTCCAAAACGCAGCACATGCATTACGATCGATAACTAGACGCCATCTTAGATTTAGGTGAGCTTTAATGTTGTATATCATCCATCCTAGTGTCCACTTTGTAGTACGTTAAGGATCTTTCCCTAACTTAATTTCTAGAACGATGACAGCGTAAAAAAAGGTTTTGTTTGTCTTTGAAAATGACGACCAACTTTTTTTTAATTGGCTACCACGTTGAAGAATTTAGGAGCCAAGAGGCTATCAGAAAAAGAAAAAAAAAAAAAAAAAAAGAATTTCACGCCCTGTAAGTTCATTAGCTCTTTGGTTTAGAGGGTTGTCACATCCAGTAAAGTAACTATGGTTGAATCGCCCTTCTTTGAAAACCGAACAAAAAGTACGTAAAATAATAATAAAATACTAACGATAAAAAAAAAAGTATACATAAAGCCGGCGACACACCTGGCGATTTTATACGCCGATCGCAGCGAATTTGATCGTCACAGATCGCTGCGGACACACTTGGCGATTTTTTTTTCGCCGATCGCGACCTTCATCCCAGGTTCCATCGGGTGACGTTTAAAAATTGCGCGAACCAATGTAAACAAACAAGTTTGGAGTTTTTTTTTTCAGCTCCGCAACATTAAGCGCATTGCTTTTCCATATAAAGGTCACTCGGATTATAAGCTGTATTGTGTAAGCCAATCAGAACACTAAAAATGCAATATTGGGAGTTGAAAATTTAGTAACGGAAATTACTTATGATGAGTGTCTTTTCGAAGGTCGCATAATAATAAAGTAAAGACTTACTGTCTTCGTTCGTTCTAAACTTCTTTGGGTTACTGTATATTCCGTCTCCCTTGCTTGTGGATGCCAAGACACGGATGTTGTAATACATATCCTTTATTAGGCCAGTCAGGTTCACGTACATTTTACGAGCACTAACTAATGTAGAATTGATAGGCCCACCAGATCCATTTCCAAGTACCCGATAGCTGACGTTATAAGAAATAATGATACCATTCTGTTCAGCTCTCGAAACCGCTTCCCACATGACAAATATGCTTGTTGAAGTTGTGTTGACTAAACTCAAATTTTTAGGGGCACCACTGGGTTCTGAAATAAATAAAGAGGAAAATGCCGATCCATACATCCAAATGTTAGAGGAGCTACATTAAGACATTTAAGGGAAGGAAGGGGGGAAGGGGGGAAGGGGGGAAGGGGGGAAGGGGGGATGGGGGGGAAACGGGAGTCAAGGTTATGGTTAAACATTATCCACGTAACAACTATACCTCAATTCAGGTTGTCAGACCATCAATCAGTGAACATCACTAATTAATGGGAATTTAGCAAAGGACAGTCCACCGGTGGCTCCTGTTGTCCACTATTTCCTGGTCGAACTGGAATCTGAAATGTTGGTTTTGTGGGGGGAAAAAACCGGTGGACCCGGAAAAAAAGCCATCGCGGTAAGGATAAGAACCAAAAGAAAACTTGACCCACACGTGACGCCAAGGGCCCGTTTCTTTAAAGTCACGTTAATTTAATGGTTCCGGGGCCATATTGTCGAAAAACAATAGAATAGAGAAGCAGGTTCTGGCACCCGAACCAGTTCATTTTGCCTCGATAGCTGAAAGTCCTATTGTATGATTCTCAAAACTTTTGAAAATAAAAACAGAACAGCTTTAAGGGCCCGTTAGGTTATCGGGACTATCGAGACACAGGCCTCGGGTCCAGGAATTGAACACGGGCCATTGTGGTGGGAAGTAAGCGCTCTCACAACTGCACCTAACATGCTCCCCCGACAGTACATATGTGAAAAAAAAAAAAAAAAAAGCCTATCAGATACAACTCATTGAAATAAAAATAAATTATCTTCCGCTGCATATAAAACAAGAAAATAAAAAATAAATGTCAGTAACGACTTACTGTCTTCCAGTGTCTCCACAACCTGGGCAACACTTGCTGGTCCATTTCCAATTACAGTAAATGCTAACACACTAATGCTGTAGTTTGTAAACTCGTTCAGATCATCTAAAAGCACTGTTTGTTTATCATTCTGTTGCTCACTGGTGATATTGCGGAACTTGGGGATTATGTCACCATCTGGTAAGGCTTGATAATTTACTATATATCCTTTGATAATTCCATTTCGATCATCAGCAGTGACGGGATTCCAAGAAACGGTGATGTTCTTAGAAGATGCTGCAGTAGCTACCACTGCCTCAGGTGTGCCGTTGGGTTCTAAAGGCAAAATTATGATGTCATGGAATCCAAAATCTCTTAACAGGTAACATTAATTAAGGTGAAACAATTTCCCCCCCAACTCACTTTATTAAATTAGGCTGGGTACCAAAAGACGATATTTTATGGCCGCACGAGAACTAGGACTTTATCCGCTTAAGGTCTGATAACCTCAACACGGTAGGATAAATTCGTACCCACTAGAAGATGTGTAGTGTTTTTTTTTTTTTTGGTTTTACAGATATTTGGGGGAAATAGTAGATGAAAATAATTTTGTTAATACATTTGGAAACCAACAAATGCAAAGATCATGTTTAGTTAGCTTTCAACTCTCTTCTTTACGAAAAAGCGGCGAGTGAGAAAAAAACCTAAAGTCTCTTAATGACACTCACGACCAAAGAGGTGCACGAAATTGTTTCTACAAAGGCCACCACAACAAAAATGATACAACGTGGGGTAGATATTTTGGCTCGTCATCTATTCATTTTAAAATAATTGAAAGAAATGAGAGCTCCCAGTTTACGAAATATTTCGATTCACTCTATTAGGGGAAAATCTAACATTTGTGCTCCAGTAAAAGTTCATAAGTGAATCATTTTTCTCTTTTGTTATTCTAGAAAATGCCACATAATTTTAAAACGCGCCCTGAATTCAGCTTAAGCTTAAATACAATGTATTGTAGTAAATACAAATGTTCTAGATTTATTCATTCTAATTTCCATTACATTAAGAGAGAATTCCTGGTATCACGAGTTGTGGTATCCACCTTCTAAAATTTTGATCATTCAAAAAGAGAAAAAAAAAATAAAATAAAATACAACCCTTCAAAATTTTAGAGGGCACGGTAACGAATCCTGCAATCTGATTGGTTCTTTACCCGGTCAATATTTTCCTATCTCTGCCCACGGGCCACGGTAACGCTTTCGTGAGTCGCCGAGTACATCCCAACTTTCGTTTCATAAATATATCTCGTTTTTTCGGCTGGGCAGTATTTTTAAGCAAACAGGTCGGTCAATACCTCAAGCCGACAAATAACTTATGATCCTCTCTTTTCTCTCTCTCAAATCACTTTGGTTGACAGAAAAATATTGGTTTTAGAATGAATTTGTATAAGCAATAGTGTCATTACGTTGGTTGACAAGCGGCCTGAAAACCGTCTGCAATTAATTTTAGTCGTTCACAAAAAGTACATAGAAAGTTAAAACGTGAAGTATTTGGTTACAGTTAAACTGAATGATGGAACTTTCATTCATTTAATATCTGAATTTTCTCAAACAATTTGTTTGTAGTGAAAGAGCGAGCGAAGTTTTAATTTAAGTTCTACAACAAATCTACGCTCTCGGTGAGTCTTTCCAAGTCCGTTCAGTTTGGACATTTGTACCGTAAATTGCACAACAGAAACTGAAGGAATCTAATGAGAAAAGGCCGCATTAAATCCCCGTCTCTTTCGTTGGAATGTGCCATTCGAATTTAGTTTTTGTGGGGGAAAGACCACATTTACACACGCTATTGCAGCAAACAAACGAACAAACTCTCACAACTTCAAAATAAAAAATTTGAATTTACTCACAATTACTTTCCTCGCCGTTTACTTAATGAAGAGAGGTAAATCCTCGTACATGAATGAATCGTCGATGAGAGTGAAAAATACCTTCCGTTAGATCATTGACTGTTTTTGAAGAAAACGTTGTTGTGACAATGCTTGCCAAACTTGTGCCGTTGTTTTTCAAATGCTCTTGCGCTTTTTTTTTTCTTACGCGCTCCCTATTTGACAGGTATCGGATTGTGACAGATACTTGTAAAAACAATGTTTTAAAGTTTGTTTGGAAGCCTTTTAAATCACCTTTATCGTTACAGAAATAAAAAAGGTTTCGGTGAGGTATCTCTCCTAAATTTGCATCACCTCTATTTTAACTACCATTTACTCGCTCAAAAATTGTTCAGTTTATGGAAGATCTTGCCGTATTTACAGCCCTAAATCATTCGAGTTCTTTCAGAAAGAATTTCGTCAAGTTTAAAAAAAAAAATGTTATTTACCGGCTAAGGGTCGGTCCGTATGGTGAAAAACTGTGACCTCGGTCTTGAAATGCTGCCCTCGGTCACAGTTTTTTACCATACGGACCTCCCAGCCGGCAAATAACATAATTATATAGCTGCCACTGCCCCCGGTGAGCCGTTAGGTTTTAAAGGCAAAATTATGATGTCATGGAATGAAGAGTATATTAAAAAGTACATTAATTAAAGTGAAACAATAGACCCCCACTCGCTTAATTAAATTAAGCTGGGTAGAAAACGACGATACTTCATGAACGCGCGAGAAATAGCTGCACAAGAACTGACTTTCATGAAACATGGCGTGATGCAAGAACCCAAAGAATCAAACTCTCTTGCTTACGAAAATGCATCGACGAAGGATCAAAAGGAAAAAAGGTACAACCGAGTAATATATACCCCACATCGATACTCGCTTACTGCCGAGAGTGCTGGAAATCATGACCAAAGAGGTGACCGAAATTGTTTCCACAATGGCCACAACAAAACAAATGACACATCGTGGATATGTTGGCTCATCATGCATTCATTTTATAATAATTAAAAGAAACGAAAGCCCCCAGTTAATGAAACATTTCGATTCACCGTGTAAGGGTAGAATTTAATATTTGTATTCAAGAAAAAGTTCATAAGTGAATCATTTTCCTCTTTTTTTTTTCTTTTTTCAAAAAATAACAAATGATTTTAAAACGCGCCCTGAATTCAACCAAAGCTTTAATGCAAAGTATAGTAGTGAATACAAATTTTTCATATTAATTAATTCTAATTGTCATTACGACAAGAAAGAATTCCTGGTATCACGAGTTGTGGTATATACCTTCTAAATTCCAATTGACAGAACTTTGGTCATTATCTACATGTATTTGAAAAGCTAAATTCTGATTGTATCGAGTTGATACTAGCTCTAAGCGTGAAATTCCCGAATCAACTCGAAAAAACATAAATTACCCTCTGATGCATATAAGACAAGGAAATAAATGTCAATAACTTACTGTCTTCCAGTGTCTCCACAACCTGGGCACTACTTGCTGGTCCATTTCCAATAATGGTAAATGCTAACACTGTGATGTTGTAGTTTGTGAACTCATTCAGATTTTCTAAAATCAATGTTTGTTTTTCATTCTGTTGCGCACTGGTGATATTGCGGAACTTGGGGATTATGTCACCACCTGGTAAGGCTTGATAATTTACTATATATCCTTTGATAATTCCATTTCGATCATCAGCAGTGACGGGATTCCAAGAAACGGAGATCTTCTTAGAAGATGCTGCAGTAGCTGCAAATGCCTCAGGCGAGCTTTTGGGTTCTAAAAGCAGAATAATGATGTCATGGTGTGTAAAGTATTTTTACGGGTAACATTCATTGAGTTGAAACAAACCACCATTCACTTAAAGTAAACTACTGCCATTAAATCTGGAACGATCCTGGATACCTGTAGACGGAGTTTTATGACCGCAACGGAACACGGTTCTATCTTGGTGTTAATAACACTTACACGGTATCATAAATTTGTATCTACAAGCGGAATTGTAGTGTGTAATTAATTTTACAGATACGAATCGCATATCCATAGAAAAGGCAATCGAGAAACGCTGCAAAGTTTTTTTTTTTTTTTGGGGGGGGGGGGAGGAGTTTGATTCAATTCATTTGTATCCACTGTTATCATTCCATTGCGGTCTAATCGAGAGACTTGCCTTTAACTTTCAAAGAAAGCTGTAACTGACAAATCAATATAATTGCATCAGAGTAAACTATCCCACTTTTCGACGCTACGAAAAAAAAATCTTATGGAGCACTATATGCCTCATAACCAATTAACAAAGTTCTTATCGTTTAAAATATTTGTCTTTTTATCTATAGCTACCTATAATAACGAATGAGAAAAATTTAACTTACTGTCTTCCAGTGTCTCCACAACCTGGGCACTACTTGCTGGTCCATTTCCAATAATGGTAAATGCTAACACTGTGATGCTGTAGTTTGTGAACTCATTCAGATTTTCTAAAATCAATGTTTGTTTTTCATTCTGTTGCGCACTGGTGATATTGCGGAACTTGGGAATTATGTCACCACCTGGTAAGGCTTGATAATTTACTATATATCCTTTGATAATTCCATTTCGATCATCAGCAGTGACGGGATTCCAAGAAACGGAGATATTCTTAGAAGATGCTGCTGTAGCTGCAACTGCCTCAGGTGAGCTTTTGGGTTCTAAAAGCAGAATAAAGATGTCATGGTTTCCAAACTATTTTTACGGATAACATCCATTGAGGTGAAAAAATAAACCACCACTCACTTAAAATAAATTGCTCTCATTAAACCATTGGAACGATCCTAGATACCTATAGACGGAATTTTATTGACTGCGAATGAACACAGTGTTATCTTGAGTGTAATAACACTTACACGGTATCATAAATTCGTATCTACAAGCGGATTTGTAGTTGTAGTTAATTTTACAGATACGAATTCCATTATAGAAAAGGCAATCGATAAACACTGCAAAGTTTTTTTTTTTTGGGGGGGGGGGGGGGAAGTTTGATTCAATTCATTTGTATCCACTGATATCAATCCATTGCAGTCTAATTGCGAGATTTGCCTTTAACTTACAAAGAAAGCTCTCAATGACAGATCAATTTATTTGCGTCAGAGAAACTATCACACTTTTAAACACTAAAAGGTCTCTACGAAAACAGATGATTTCATAGAGTACTAAATGCTTCCTGACTAGTTAACAATTATTGTCGTTTAGAGATATTAGTCTTTCTATCTATAGCTACATATAAAAACGCATGACAAAAAGTAAACTTACTGTCTTCCAGTGTCTCTACAACTTGGGCACTACTTGCTGGTCCATTTCCAATAATGGTAAATGCTAACACTGTGATGTTGTAGTTTGTGAACTCATTCAGATCTTCTAAAATCATTGTTTGTTTTTCATTCTGTTGCACATTAGTGATATTGCGGAACTTGGGGATTATTTCACCACCTGGCAAGGCTTGATAATTTACTATATATCCTTTGATAATTCCATTTCGATCATCAGGAGTGACGGGATTCCAAGAAACGGAGATATTCTTAGAAGATGCTGCAGTAGCTGCAACTGCCTCAGGTGATGTTTTGGGTTCTAAAAGCAGAATAATGATGTCATGATGTCTAAAGTAGTTTTTAATAACACTTACACGGTATCATAAATTCGTATTTACAAGCGGATTTGTAGTGTGTAGTTAATTTTACAGATACGAATCACATATTCATAGAAAAGGAAATCAAGAAACGCTGTGTGAAGTTTTTTTTCTTTTTGTTCTGGAGGGGGGGTGGGGAAGTTTGTTTCAATTTATTTGTATCAACTGTTATCATTCCATTGCGGTCTAATAGCGAGACTTGCCTTTAACTTACAAAGAAAGCTGTAACTGACAGATCAATTTATTTGCGTCAGAGGAAGTATCGCACTTTTTAAACACTATTAAACGTCCCTACGAAAACAAATGATCTTATGGAGCACTAAATGCTTCATAACCAGTTAACAAAGTTCTTGTCGTTTCAAGATATTAGTCTTTCTATCTATAGCTACCTATAATAACGAATGAAAAAAAATTAAACTTACTGTCTTCCAGTGTCTCTACAACTTGGGCACTACTTGCTGGTCCATTTCCAATAATGGTAAATGCTAACACTGTGATGCTGTAGTTTGTGAACTCATTCAGATTTTCTAAAATCACTGTTTGTTTTTCATTCTGTTGCGCACTAGTGATATTGCAGAACTTGGGGATTACGTCACCACCTGGTAAGGCTTGATAATTTACTATATATCCTTTGATAATTCCATTTCGATCATCAGGAGTGACGGGATTCCAAGAAATGGAGATATTCTTAGAAGATTCTGCAGTAGCTGCAACTGCCTCAGGTGATGTTTTGGGTTCTAAAAGCAGAATAATGATGTCATGATGTCTAAAGTAGTTTTTAATAACACTTACACAGTATCATAAATTCGTATTTACAAGCGGATTTGTAGTGTGTAGTTAATTTTACAGATATGAATCACATATTCATAGAAAACTGCCTCAGGTAAGCTATTGGGTTCTAAAAGCAGAATAATGATGTCATGGTGTGTTAAATATTTTTACGGGTAACTTTCATTGAGGTGAAACAGTAAACCACCTCTCACTTAAAATTAACTACTCTCATTAAATCATTAAAACGACACTGGACACCCATAGACTGAGTTTAATGACCGCAACCGAACACGGTTTTATCTTGAGTGTTAACACTTACACGGTATCATCAATTCGTATCTACAAGCGGAATTGTGGTGTGTATTTAATTTTACAGATACGAATCGCATATTCATACAACAGGCAATCGAGAAACGCTGAAATGTTTTTTTTCGGGGAGGGGGTGGGGAAGTTTGTCCCAATTCATTTGTACCCAATGTTATCATTCCATTGCGGTCTAATAGCGAGACTTGCCTTTAACTTACAAAGAAAGCTGTAACTGACAGATCAATATATTTGCGTCAGAGGAACTATCGCACTTTTTAAACACTATTAAACGTCCCTACGAAAACAAAGGATCTTATGGAGCACTAAATGCTTCATAACCAGTTTACAAAGTTCTTATCGTTTTGAAATATTTGTTTTTTTTATCTATAGCTACCTATAATAACGCATGAGAAAAATTAAACTTACTGTCTTCCAGAGTCTCTACAACTTGGGCACTACTTGCTGGTCCATTTCCAATATTGGTAAATGCTAACACTGTGATGCTGTAGTTTGTGAACTCATTCAGATCTTCTAAAATCACTGTTTGTTTTTTATTCTGTTGCGCACTAGTGATATTGCGGAACTTGGGGATTATGTCACCACCTGGTAAGGCTTGATAATTTACTATGTATCCTTTGATAATTCCATTTCGATCATCAGGAGTAACGGGATTCCAAGAAACGGAGATATTCTTAGAGGATACTGCAGTAGCTGCAACTGCCTCAGGTGATGTTTTGGGTTCTAAAAGATAAATATTGATGTCATGATGTCTAAAGAAGATTTTAATAACACTTACACAGTATCATAAATTCGTATTTACAAGCGGAATTGTAGTATGTATCTAATTTTACAGATACGAATCGCATATTCATAGAAAAGGCAATCGAGAAACGCTGTGAAGTTTTTTTTCTTTTTGTTCTGGGGGGGGGGGGTGGGGAAGTTTGTTTCAATTCATTTGTATCAACTGTTATTATTCCATTGCGGTCTAATAGCGTGACTTGCCTTTAACTTACAAAGAAAGCTGTAACTGACAGATCAATATATTTACGTAAGCGGAACTATCGCACTTTTTAAACACTATTAAACGTCCCTACGAAAACAAATGATCTTATGGAGCACTAAATGCTTCATAACCAGTTTACAAAGTTCTTATCGTTTTGAAATATTTGTATTTTTTATCTATAGCTACTTATAATAACGCATGAGAAAAATTAAACTTACTGTCTTCCAGTGTCTCTACAACTTGGGCACTACTTGCTGGTCCATTTCCAATAATGGTAAATGCTAACACTGTGATGCTGTAGTTTGTGAACTCATTCAGATCTTCTAAAATCACTGTTTGTTTTTCATTCTGTTGCGCACTAGTGATATTGCGGAACTTGGGGATTATGTCACCACCTGGTAAGGCTTGATAATTTACTATATATCCTTTGATAATTCCATTCCGATCATCAGCAGTGACGGGATTCCAAGAAACGGAGATATTCTTAGAAGATGCTGCAGTAGCTGCAACTGCCTCAGGTGATGTTTTGGGTTCTAAGAGCAGAATATTGATGTCATGGTGTGTAAAGTATTTTTACGGGTAACTTTCATTGAGGTAAAACAGTAAACCACCACTCGCTTAAAATAAACTACTCTCATTAAATCATTAAAACGACACTGGACATCCATATATTGAGTTTCATGACCGCAACCGAACACGGTTTTATCTTGAGTGTTAAAACTAACACGGTATCATAAATTCGTATCTACAAGTGGAATTGTAGTGTGTATCTAATTTTACAGATACCAATCACATATTCAGAGAAAAGGCCATCGAGAAACGCTGTGAAGTTTATTTTCCTTTTTTCGGGGGGCCAGTGGGGAAGTTTGTTTCAATTCATTTGTATCAACTGTTATCATTCCATTGCGGTCTAATAGAGAGACTTGCCTTTAACTTACAAAGAAAGCTTTAACTGACAGATCAATTTATTTGCGTCAGAGGAACTATCGCACTTTTTAAACACTATTAAACGTCCCTACGAAAACAAATGATCTTATGGAGCACTAAATGCTTCATAACCAGTTTACAAAGTTCTTATCGTTTTGAAATATTTGGGTTTTTTTTATCTATAGCTACCTATAATAACGCATAAGAAAAATTAAACTTACTGTCTTCCAGTGTCTCCACAACTTGGGCACTACTTGCTGGTCCATTTCCAATAATGGTAAATGCTAACACGGTGATGCTGTAGTTTGTGAACTCATTCAGATCTTCTAAAATCACTGTTTGTTTTTCATTCTGTTGCGCACTAGTGATATTGCGGAACTTGGGGATTATGTCACCACCTGGTAAGGCTTGATAATTTACTATGTATCCTTTGATAATTCCATTTCGATCATCAGGAGTAACGGGATTCCAAGAAACGGAGATATTCTTAGAAGATGCTGCAGTAGCTGCAACTGCCTCAGGTGATGTTTTGGGTTCTAAAAGCAGAATATTGATGTCATGGTGTCTAAAGTAGTTTTTAATAACACTTACACGGTATCTAAAATTCGTATTTACAAGCGGAATTGTAGTGTGTAGTTAATTTCACAGATACGAATCACATATTCATAGAAAAGGCAATCGAGAAACGCTGTAAAGGTTTTTCTTTTTTTGGGGGGGGGGGGGTGTGGGGAAGTTTGTTTCAATATATTTGTATCCACTGTTATCATTCCATTGCAGTCTAATAGCGAAACTTGCCTTTAAGTTACAAAGAAAGCTGTAACTGCAGATCAATATATTTGCGTCAGAGTACTATCAAACTGTTAAACACCTTTCAATGTCTCCACGAAAACAAATGATCATCTGGAGCAATAAATGCTTCCTGACTAGTTAACAAAGTCCTTATCGTTTTTGAATACTTGTCTTCTATCTATAGCTACCTATAATATCGCAAGAAAAAAAAACTTACTGTCCTCAAGTGTCTCCACAACCTGGGCACTACTTGCTGGTCCATTTCCAATAATGGTAAATGCTAACACTGTGATGCTGTAGTTTGTGAACTCATTCAGATTTTCTAAAATCACTGTTTGTTTTTCATTCTGTTGCGCACTAGTGATATTGTGGAACTTGGGGATTATGTCACCACCTGGTAAGGCTTGATAATTTACTATGTATCCTTTGATAATTCCATTTCGATCATCAGCAGTGACGGGATTCCAAGAAACGGAGATATTCTTAGAAGATGCTGCAGTAGCTGCAACTGCCTCAGGTGATGTTTTGGGTTCTAAAAGCAGAATAATGATGTCATGATGTCTAAAGTAGTTTTTAATAACACTTACACGGTATCAAAAATTCGTATTTACAAGAGGATTTGTAGTGTGTAGTTAATTTTACAGATACGAATCACATATTCATAGAAAAGGAAATCGAGAAACGCTGTGTGAAGGTTTTTTTCTTTTTGTTCTAGAGGGGGGGGGTTGGGAAGTTTGTTTCAATTTATTTGTATCAACTGTTATCATTCCATTGCGGTCTAATAGCGAGACTTGCCTTTAACTTACAAAGAAAGCTGTAACTGACAGATCAATTTATTTGCGTCAGAGGAACTATCGCACTTTTTAAACACTATTAAACGTCCCTACGATACAAATGATCTTATGGAGCACTAAATGCTTCATAACCAGTCAACAAAGTTCTTGTCGTTTTGAGATATTAGTCTTTCTATCTATAGCTACCTATAATAACGAATGAGAAAAATTAAACTTACTGTCCTCAAGTGTCTCCACAACCTGGGCACTACTTGCTTGTCCATTTCCAATAATGGTAAATGCTAACACTGTGATGCTGTAGTTTGTGAACTCATTCAGATTTTCTAAAATCACTGTTTGTTTTTCATTCTGTTGCTCACTAGTGATATTGCGGAACTTGGGGATTATGTCACCACCTGGTAAGGCTTGATAATTTACTATGTATCCTTTGATAATTCCATTTCGATCATCAGCAGTGACGGGATTCCAAGAAACGGAGATATTCTTAGAAGATGCTGCAGTAGCTGCAACTTCCCCAGGTGAGCTATTGGGTTCTAAAAGCAAAAAAAAGATGTCATGGTAAGTAATCTTTTTACGGGTAACATTCATTGAGGTGAAACAATAAACTACCACTCACTTAAAATAAACTACTCTATTTAATCATTGGGACGACCCTGGATACCTATAGGTTATTTTCTCTATCTGGCTATAGTCATCGTATTTTCATGAACAAGGAAGCTTCCTTGAACAAGAGTTCAACTGTCGTAAAAGCTGTGAACGAGATTTGAGAAAGAGAAACCTCCGCTACCCTAAAAAATCCCCTAAAAGTAAGTTATTGTCAGGAGGACATATGCCTATTGCTTTCTGTTACATTAAGACTTTGCAAGAAACATATTCTAAGGAAATCAAAACTAAAAAAAAAAAGTACCGGAAAAGATAAAAGACTTTCAGCATCACAAAGTACTGTTACTGGGTTCATGTGACAAACGAAAGTTGTTTTGAAAGGAAATACATGTTTTAAAAGAAAATTGACAATGCTGCCGATATAATGTGATTGAGGGCAGCAACAAACACACTAAAAATAACAAAAAACAGCATAGAAGCTGAAATAAAACTTAACGCAACGTGATGCTTACTACGCATAACGTTGCGGGAAAACGGTAGATGCCGATCGCCTGCTTGACGCTTAAAGCACCTCACCTCAGTTACCAAATTGCCCTTACGATCTAAAAGACACGTTTTTTGCTGTTTTTCTACAGCATCTATGAAGGGGTTTCACAATGAACTGCGATAAATGAAAACTCATTTCTTTAACCATTCGTTGTTCGCATAAACTCAATGCTTAAACTTAGTGTTATTGACAGCAAGATACCTACGCTATATGACAAGACAATATTTTCTTGTATATGAGAATGCCCTTAATAAAAAATCCTATCGCCATGCCATTAGATTCCCGCCTTTAGTGTGTCCCTCGCATGCCCAGATTAGGCCGCCTAGTATCAGTTGTACCCTAAAAATTCTTATCAAATGGACTCTGTAGAATAAACCTGTTAAACCCCCTTCACAAATGTTGAGTGAAATTTCAAATTTGTCATCTTAAGGGCGTGTTTTAAGCTAAGATCAAGTTGATCCTCAACGAAATGAAGGACCCCAATGTTTATAGAGACGTCTATGCGAGGGAGGAGGAAAAAATGGTAACCTTGGCCATCCAGATGTTATTAATAAAACATCTTTGAACCATAATATTAAAAGGAGGCACTACGAGTCAAAAGCCGTTTCTCTCGTACTTTTCTCGGACTTTTTTGTGGTTTTCATCGGAATCCAACAATTTAGTACCAAAATGACCAAAATGACTTGTGACAGTCATTAACCACTTGCAAGATTCCGTTAGAGTATCAAGTTGGAGTCAGGAGCAGTTACACCGAGTCTCCTCAAAGTTAAGCACTTTGAATTACACTTTACTTGGAACAACCCACTAGAGGAAATATTAGTCTAACTTACTGTCCTCCAGCGTCTGGACAACTTGAGCAAGGCTTGGTGGCCCATCTCCGACCTCAGTGAATGCTAACACAGTAATGCTGTAGTTTGTGAATGCATTCGGAAGCTGTAAAATTATGGTTCTGTTTTCACCCTGTTCTCCACTGTTGATATTAAGGGTCTCGGTGAAAATTTCACCATCTGATAAGGTTTGATAATTCACTCTATACCCTAAGATGATTCCGTTGCGATCACCAGCTGGGACAGGCTTCCAGCTTACTCTGACACTTTTAGATTTTACCTCATTCAGTACGACCATTTCTGGAGGCTTACTAGGCCCTAAGGGCAAAAAAAATATATATATATTAAAGTATCACTAAAAGAAACAAGAGGCTGCGAGCAATACATCAACAACAACTCGTGCTGGTCGTACAACAAATAAATATTGTCTAAGGTTGTACAAAAATCAATAATGAGAATAACAAAATAATTAACTAAATAGGTCAATTAAAATAAAAATTAAAGTAACACTCACTATGCTGGTTGGTAGTCTTTTCCACCAAAGCACTTACAATGCTGACACCTTTACTGTTAAATGCCTGCATGGCAAACTCGTATGTGGTGTGTTCATTTAGTGGTTCTATTAAAAGTGATGTCGTTTCGGCTCCCTCAACAGTTTCATTTATCCAGGTTGGAGTGCTGTTAACCCGGTACAAAACGTAATAGCCAAAAATGGCACCTCTAGCTTTGTCCTTACTAAGCACCTGGGTAGTAAAGTTAACAAAAAATTAATTTGATGAATACAACTATACTTCTTACGTGCTACATGTACGTGTACACATATTTCAGGGCGTCCAGATAATGTACATGCACCGTCATAAACAGTGCATGTACTCACTGATTATTTTTTTCAATTGTACGTTATTTTAACAAACACAGTCTGTGTTTCCTTACGCTTATACTAAGGGGGATCTCAGAGGACATCAAAATGTAATTACAGCTGTAAACTAAAAACGCGACACACAAGCCACAAGCAGTGGTATCAACGATGTTCTTGCTACATATATCGCATTAACTGTGATCTGTGTAAGAAAAATGATACACAACAGCACGGAATCTAACAGAGGGTGCTGAAAACTGATAATGTCTATGATGACATCACCTACATGTACAAGCAAGCTACTGTCCTAAGTTAAGTCACGCAGAGAGCCAAACAGGCGCATGGTTATTCGAAAACTATCGAAGTTTTCAAAGATTCAAAGTTTCGTCTCATCATACACAGGTTCACATAATTCAACATACATGTAATTATTATATTTAACGCTGTACTAAACGAAACAGTTATGTGAACTAGTAATTCAGGTTTAAAACTCTCCCCTTCTTAATGTAAAATGTGCAGGGGAAATAGATAAGACTTGTCAATATTAAAAATAAATAAAAACATTCGGAGATAAATGTAACGTCTGGTACCTACCTGCCAGGAAACATTCACTGCAGTTGAATTGACAACAATCACATCAAAATTCGGAGCTTCACTTGGCACTGTAAAAGTGAATTAATCTCTTCAGTATGTCATTATATAACAAATAAAAGTTGTAGCAAAATTGTGTTTGCTTGATTTCCTCACAAATGTATCTAAACTAGTGCTTGCTCCCTACTGCTTGCAAAATTCTCACAGTTAAAACACACATAGATTCTTGTTCAAGTTTGCTCCACAAATTTGTGGCACATTTGCACATAACAGCCGTCACAAAGTAATTACTACAATTTCCAAAAAGTCTACCTGTCCCTTTCCCCTGCTGTAATACTCAGGTACGTATTATCCATGTGATTCTTTTTATACAAAGCAAAGAAATGCAGAGGTTAAATAGCATACAGGTACCTTCTTCATCTGTTGTAACAATCAGAATTTGGCTGCTGTTACTTTTGCCGATTGCGTTTGTCGCAAACACTCTAATGTTATATGTTGTCCAAGGAAGAAGACCTGTGAGAGAGGTGTTTGTGGAGGAACTGGACACCACACAGGCACTGCTTGAGAGTGATCCCTGACAAACAACACTCTTAAAGATCTGATTATATTGACTGATCTCCACTGTGTAGTTCTCAATGGGGCTCTTTCCATCAAAACCAGCTGTCCAAGAGATATTCACCACCCGTGAGCCGTTAAAATCAACCATCAATGTATGTGGTGGGTCTGGTACCACTGTGGAATTAAACAACACTTCAGTAATCATATCACCGCTCAGATAAAAGAAGAAGAGTTTTAGAAATGTCCTACTTTGGACAAGTTCTATGTTAACAACGTTAAGTCATGAGTGGAAGCTGACCATTTCCATCTTAAATCCAATAAAACAACAGCCCTTCCACACTGTAGTCTCCTTCTCAGTCCCTGTTTGGTCTTGTTAGGCAATGTACTCTCTCTCCCACCAACATGTTGTGTGACAAGACCAAACAATGACTTTGAAGTAGACTATCCAAGCAGGGGCAGTCTTAACTGCCACAGACAGTTGAAAATGAACAAAAACAAAAAAAAAAAATCTCAATAAACTGGCAGCAAATGTGGCTTAGTTGAGGACCTGAGTTGGGCCACCACAAAGAAAGCCATAATGTGTACATTACTTGGTGTAGCTATGGTTAAAATATAAAAGAGAGACTCGTATACAATCAGATATAGTTCATGTATAGCTGCTGTTATCAATACTTTTTGTTTCTTTCCAAGTCAGGTTAACTCTTAAAAAATAAGATTGCAGATCAAATTACAGTTACTGATGTGACACTGTGAGTGAGATGTGCTGTTGCTTGTCTATGTTTTTTTGGTTTTTCTCTGTTTACTGCCAGAATTGACCTTCTTTTTTTCCTTAAGTGGGGGGGGGGGGGGGGAGGAAAGGGGGAAAGAACCCTTTTGGAAGTTTATCCCTTTAACAAGTAAGAGTGATTGGAATCTAATTCCTCCTTACAATATCATCCCTTAATCACACAATAAGGTAACAAGAACAAGGGAAAGAAGAAGTTTTCGTTCATAAGGGAAATTCTCTTTGTCAGTGCCAATAGGAAATGCATGGAGAACAGTATGGAGAATATGCATACTGATGTTAAGGTGTAAAGGGTTAAAGACAGTTGAGCTTGAAACTGAATTTCCTCCTAAAGAAGTTTTAAAAAATCAAAAAAAGAAAACAGACTCAAAATAAGTCAACACAGTTAATGAAGAAGCCATTAACCGTTTAACTCTCAGAAGTGATTAACATGTTACTTCTCCCTATATTATCCATACATAACACAGCAAGCAGGTGATGAGAATACTCTAACTTATTAGGGAAAAATTGTTATCTTGATCTAACACCAAATTCTCCCAGTTACTTTACAAGGAAATATGTAGCAGCTAGAGGGAAGAATTAACAATCAGATCCTGGGATAAATAAATAATTGTACAATAAATTATTGTACAAAGTGATGAGATCAAATAATAGTACAAAATATCATAATTTATAATGATTATATATCATTGAGAAAAACATACCTTGTATAACAACTGAAGTTGTATCTGAGGAATTGCCAACAGCATTTGTGACAAAGCAGGTGTAATTTCCCTCATCATTCCTTGTACTTGATGAAATTAAAAGCTGTGATTGACTTTCAGTGAATTCTGTAATATTCACCAATCCATTACCAATCCCACTATCATTCCTAGCAATCACACTTCCATCTTTAACCCATTGTACCTCTGACACTGGTGGTGAAGCATTGTACTGGCAAGTCAGATGGATCTGTTTGTTTATTGCAACAAACTTTTGTTTACTGCCACTAATTTTGACATCTGCTCTAACTGTAATCAAAAGGATTGTTCAAGTTAGTCACCACAAAATGTGAACACTATTTGAAATATTTCTTTGAATTATGTCATACATTATTGAACAATTTGGTCTGTAGTATCTCTGTGTCTTTCTAATTGTTGTTTGTAAATATATATTGATGAGCCCACAAGGAAAAACACCAAATCAAATCATGCAATAGGTTTTTTCATCATCCAAACGTTTCCTTTAATATGCATCTCATACAAGACAAGAAAAGCAAAGTAAATAAAGAAGTGGTTTGTGACCAGTCTTGCACAATGCTTGCATCAGACTGGCTCATGATTGGCTCATGAGACATCAATTTGCCACTCAAAATTTCAAAACATTTCAAAGTGGAATTTTAGTTTAGATCCTTGTTCTCAAATCCTTGGATGTATACTTCACAAAAGATGTTGTCCATTATTTCCTAATATTTCCTTTTGTGAAAGTTTTACCAAACAGTATAAGGAAAGTGTTAACACATGACATGCCCAAAACAAAAGGTTATGTGTTTAAGGTGACAGAATGGCAATACAACCTCTGCTGAGTACATGTGCACTTAGAACCTGCAATAACCCTTCAACTCCCAATATCTGTTTCTTAATTCTCCCTTCTAGCTGCCACATAGTTCTTTGTAAATTACATGTAGTTGTAAGAATTTGGTTTTAGATCAAGATAAAAACTTCTGCTGATAAGTATTAGGATATTCTCTTAAAAACTTATTTGTTGAATAACATTCATATTGTAGGGAGAAGTTACAAGTTAATCACTTCTTGGAGTTAAAGGAATTTAGCAGACACTGTGAACAATATCAAGCAGACACTATAAGTTCCTTTGGATGTCCTCTGAGCAGACAGTTATATGTATAAGGGTCTCAGGTACCTGATGTGCCGACTTACCAAAGGTTTCACTCAACCAATACTAGTAAGCATGCTTTGACACTATATATCTCATATATTTGCAATACAGTCTAACAAAGCCCTTTGCAGTGTTCTCCAGAGATTGTTTTAGTATCGAGACAGAAAAATCACTAACTGACAAAAGTTAGAATCTATTTCACATCAAGACAAGTATTTCACAACTGTGTTGGACTTTTGATTAGTTGCTGTGACTAAGAATCAAAAAGCTTGCTCAAGGATCACCATTTTTGATCTCAATGGAAAAATCCTCACCTACCAGTGTATAGCCGATATGTGCACAGGCACATAAATTTTAATTACAAATTAATTGACAAAAGAGAGTTATGAAAATTATGTACTTAATTTTCTCTCAACAGGCACCGCTACATTGAAAAGACAATTTTAGAACACAAAAATAAAAACTTGGTGCTGATCTTGTTTGACCTTATTACAAAGTGATTTATCACAACATCACAGACATTGAGGATTGACAATTAACTCACAAACTCAGTGTATGAACAGTTGCCAAGTTTACAATCTTTAAAAGTGATTCATTCCAAAGAGAACTGAGCATGTACTGTTCAAACTAAACTACCATTCTGGCATCAGGAGGCTACAAAACTGTTGTGGAGAGGTGAAAAAACTAACAATTTCTGATTTTTACCGACTACTGGCCATGTTTTGATAACCATTACCGACCAACTGATGATGAATATTGCCAAGTAAATGACAGTCACAGACACTCAGGCTGTCAGACCACTGAGTGATCGTTACTCAGTCTCAGTTAAAGGGTATACAGTGCTGCTATGAAATCTAGCGCTTTTAGAAGACAGAACGACTACGGATAATAACTTCCTCAACTTGACAGTGGAACTGTGAACAAGAAACAGTTCCAATTTGCGTTGCGTGTTCCAAGGTCGTTTATAAACAAACCAGCCGCTAAATATAGTTGTTTCAGAACACCAACGCTCGATGGCAACTTATATTTTCAAAATAAAGTCACCAGTCACGTCCCATCGAGGAAAATTATCCCCGTAACATATGCGTAAACCAAATCAAGAGGAAGTGCAAATAGTTTAGAGATATTCGAAATACTTTCGAGTAATAATTAGTGTTTAACTGGCACCTGTGTGTAAAATAAGCTTGCATGTACTAAAGTTTGCGAAATTTTTTGGTATCTTCGTTAAACAAACGAAGAAATTTAAAGCAATGAATTCGATTAAACTTTGCAGAAGCGAATTTACGTCGAAGCCATAGTTACACAAGAAAAACGAAACATTCGAATTAAATTGCAATATCGAAATATTGTGCTGAAGAAAATCGACCAAAACTTTGCATTTCAACACATTTAACTTAAAAACTTCTTCTCTCACACATAAGAGAACTATATCCCATCATTCCGTTGTAATTTAACGTGAAAATTCAATGCGCGGCCGGAGCAAACACCTCGTATACAGAATAGGTTAAGTCAAGGTAAATGATTTCCGCTTCCAAATCTTACGAACACTTCTGTCTTCAAAAGAAGAAAAATCACTTTTACCTCCTAGGCCTGATGAAAAAGACATTAACAGCAGAATGACGAAGAACCAATAATAGAGACGTTCTCTGAACGTAAAAGTTCCGGCTTGAATTTCGTCCATAGTTAGGAAGCACAGTACGATCGAAGCCGCTGTTTAGAATATTTGATCGTACCCTACCCCCCTGAGAAGATCCACTGAATGATTAGGTCACGACCTTGAAATAACTAATAATAAACTTGTCTGCTCTGTATTACCATACAAGTCAAAAATTGTCTCTCCTCCTTTAAAAAAGACCGCTTTCGACTTCCGCAGGTCGCAATATTCGGGGATTTTTTTCTTATTAAAGGAGGAAGAAGAAAGAATCAGCCAAAAAATGGCTAAGCTCTGTTAATCATTTCTAAGGTTACAAAAGCAATATCATCACAAAGAAAATTCGAGAACGTGCGTGACGTAAAAAATAGCGACTCTTTTGTGTTTTCACTAATGTGAAGAGGTTGAAATACCAAAACAATTACGTTTTAAAAACAACTGATCCAAACCAACTGTAGTTATTTTTAACGATAAAGGGATTTTGTACGTTACTTACATTGTACATTTAGATCTCCTGGAGATGATGTTATGTTGCCAACACTATTAATAATCACACATCTGTATTGTCCCGAATCCGATCGTTGAACATCTGTGATCGTCAAACTGCGCTTGTTGTTCAGTGACGACGCTGTTAGTCGTGGATTTACTGTTGTGTTCAGTTTTTCCTCGTTCTTCGTCCAAGTGACTCTTGGTGAAGGATTTCCATCTATCATGCAACTAAACACAACATCTTTTCCCTCAACTAGGGTGGCATCCTTTGGATTTTCCACGATTTCAGGTGCAACTTGGAATTTAAAAACATAAGTGTTACGCTCTGTTAACTCAAATCAGTGAATTTCAAAAGCTACCGGCTTATTTCATTGCATATCTCAAAGTCTTCGTCATTTTTGCGATTTTTTTAGATTTGTCAAAACATGAATTTTTACCAGTGAAAGACTATAGGGTTATTTTAATTCTTAGTACTATTTTTTTCATGCTTATCTTGTGTATATTTCATCATCTAACTAACGATTAATGAGAAAACGTGATTTGTTATTTCTGCTAAGACCTAGGAATGCTTTGTCATCAGTGATAACGAGCGATGTTTAACGAAAAGTTCTAACATCTCTGCCGTCCTTGTCGACATTCAGATGAAGCTGACAAGATTGATGGCTCTGCAATCTACCACGAAATTGCCGAAAATTACCCAAATACGGGACCAAACGAGATTTCTTGAAGAACAGGAAAAAAATTATGCAACAGAGAATTGAAATAACAAGCCAGATATCTGTTTGTAAATACTGGGCGCGTACATTCAACTTTCGGTCCTTTGCAACATTTTTGTGAAATTTCGAAACACAAAGATAAAAATTTTATTTTTTTTCACAAGTTGCGACACCAATGAAATCATAAATTTTCCTATTGTTCAGTTCTCGTAAGTTAACGTTTGTGGTACAAAAAAAAATGTCTGATTTATACTTGACATTAACTCAGTTTAAGATTTGAATGGTGATTCCTAAGGTTTTTGCTTTCAACTGCTCGGAACCCATCGCTACTTCCCCCATCACTTTCATTTGTGCCAAATACCTTTCAAACCCTATTGACCTTGAGTAGAATTTCACCTTCCAAATTAGGCAAAACAGAAAAGAATTGCTAGAGCACTCACACTGTACGTCGACGTTTGCAGGATTTGAGGAATCATTTCCAAGGCTGTTCCTGGCCACACATCTGTAATTTCCGCTTTTTGATCTGTTAATACTCGCTATAGACAGTGTCTCGTTATCTCCTGAAAAAAGTATCCCTTGGTTGTTATTTAAAGGAGATCCATCTTTGGTCCATGATAGCGTTGGTGGTGGATTTCCGGTCGCGTTACAAAATAAGTTCATGGGGAGTCCTTCTTCTACTGTAACATTCTTAGGATGCGTAATAATTTCAGGCTGAACTGTAAAAAAAAAAAAAAAAATGATAACGAAAATGAATAGATAAATAAACCAGAAGCATAACAGTTTCAGTTTTTTTTTTTGCAACAAATAAATGGCTAAACGTTCCTTTAAGCAAGAAAATTCCAAAGAATGTCTAGCAAAACCCACTCTTTTCTTCTGCCAGTTCGTTCCTACATTCCTGAGAGAAATATATCTTATTTAAGAGATATATCTTATTTAATGGGTAAACTAGAAACAGCTTGTCGTTCACTCAAACAGAAGCAGGCCCTATCTGGCTTCTAAAGGTTATGAACCCATCGCTAATTCCCCCTTCACATTAATTTGTGCCAAATACCTTTTAAATCCTATTAACTGTACAGAATTTCTCCTTCCAAATTAGGTAAAACAGAAAAGAATTACTGGAGCACTTACACTGTACGTCGACTTTTGCAGGATTTGAGAGATCATTTCCAAGGCCGTTCCTGGCAACACATCTGTAATTTCCGCTTTCCGATCTGTTAATACTCGCTATAGACAGTGTCTTGTTGTCTCCTGAAAAAGTTATCCCTTGGGTGTCATTTAAAGGAGATCCATCTTTGGTCCATGATAGTGTTGGTGGTGGATTTCCGGTCGCGTTACAAAATAAGGTCATGGGGAGTCTTTCTTCTATTGTAATGTTCTTAGGATGCGTAATAATTTCAGGTTGATCTATAAAAAAAAAAAAAAAAAAAAATTATTACTAAAATGAATAGATAAATAAACCAGAAGCATAACCTTAAGCAGTTCTACAATCGATCAAATAATTTTTTCATTCCCTTTTTTTGTGACAAATAAATCCCTAAACGTTCCTTTAAGCAAGAGAATTCCAAAGAATTTCTAGAAAAGCCCACTCTCTTCTTCTGCCAGTTCGTTCATCCATTCCTGAGAGAGATATATCTTATTTAAGAGATCTATCTTATTTAATGGGTAAACTAGAAACAGCTTGTCGTTCACTCAAACAGAATCAGGCCCTATCTGGCCTCTAGAGGCAACGTATCTGATTTGTAAAAGGTAATGCAGGTAATTGTCTTTCCATCTCTAGGATTACGAGAGACTGTTTGGACCCCTATTTTAGAATGTTGTAACACAACCCTGAAATTTCTATTACACCCAATTCTGTTTATTTATTTAATTTTTTTCGTTCAACTACATTTCTCTTGACCCGAAGTTGGTCTATACCTTATCGATAACGCTAAAAAAAGTTAGGTCTTTGAGATTGGGTATAGCTCGACTATAGTACGATTTCATGACCTAGAAAAGCAAACTTATTCCGTACTTACAAAGCACGTTTATCACAGAGGGGTCAGAAGTGTCATTTCCGACCCTGTTTTTCACTAAACATCGGTAATCTCCACTGTCTCCTCTTTTCACATTTGTTATTGTCAATTCTTGAGAGTCGTTGGACAAACTGATCCTGGAGTTCTCGTTTGCTGTTATGACAGATCCATCAAACGTCCAGGATATGTGCAGTATAGGGCTTCCTGTAGCGTTGCAATACAACTTGACGGTGTCTCCTTCTTCAGGGGCAGCACTTTTTGGCTGAGTAAGGATGGAAGGCTTTACTGTATTGGGGAAAACAGAAGAGAAACTAAGTCTGAAGCACTCCACTATGTTTTCAATGTTGTAAACAGTCTACATTTCCGCTACATTAATCATTGAAGAAATTTCTCATAGACTTCATAGGAAGTCACGAGGTGCTTTAAGATTATGCAACCCTGGAAAAATTAAAAGAAATAGTAACATTTCTGCTCTGATCAAACCTAAAGGAAATTATTTTACTTTTCTAAGGTGTACATTATGTATATTCACCCATGCCCCGGTGCTGGGACAAATTACAATTTGTCACACAGAATGGGAAAAAAAAAACATCCTTCATCTTAAAAATGTTTAAAAGTTTATGGGCAACGGAAACGGTTACGGCAATGATTATTGGTAATTCCAGTAGGTTGTAACCGTCTCTGAGAGTAGCTTATCATCTATCTCATTAAAAATTGGGATGTCCCAGCACACATCAAGAAGTCCCCGTTACCAATAAAGTAACTCGGAATTCCTGCGCACACCTGCGTACACAGCTGCCTATCTCTTTAATATGCACTTTATAGACAGCCCTGGAGCCTCGTGCGAAATCTTGCTCTCGGTATCCGGTGATCTCACATTTCTTTTAATTAGACCTTAAAAACTGTGTTCATTTCTTCGACGTCTGTGTGGAGACATCCCAGCTTATGGCTGTCCTACCCTAAAACACGGGTTAATGAGAATTTGTCAACAGCTCTTACACACCTTCGACAATGATAGATGTCGAGTCTGATGAACTGTTAACCATATTTGTGACATTGCAAGTGTAATTCCCACTATCAGCCACGATAGCTGTGCTGATCGACAACTGTATGAGGCTCTCATTGAAGTGCAGAATATTCAATCGGGAGTTGTTGATCACTTTCGTGGAGTTTGTTGAAATCACCTCTCCATCTTTTATCCATTGCACCTCAGTCACAGGCGGTAGGGCCTTGTGCCGACATGTTACCTTGATATCGTCGCCCTTAGCCACAATCTTCTCCTTATCACCATCAATTGTAACTTCTGGATCAACTAAAATGTGATTTAATGATTGTAATTGTATCATCATCATGGGCTTTTATTTATTTATTTTTTATCTTATGTGTATAGATGATATAACTTTCCGAGCATAATTGGTATCATATGAAAATCATACACTAGAAGTTATGAGTCTGCAAATTCTAATAAGAGGTTTTCTGGATAATGCCGAATTTGTGAAAATAATATACATGTGGACTGAAAGGTTTATGAAGGAACAAGAACAAGAAATGGAGCAGCAAAGAGAGAAAATATGTCAATTACAGAGTAAAATTTCAGTGGATAATATTGGTGTATTGGCGCCAGTGGCCAACATCTACATTCATCCATCGAAGTACAAAATAACTTTTTAAATTAATTAACCGAGTAGTTAAATACAAATCCAGAGCAAATTCGCAAACCACAAAGATTTGTAGGGTTTGTAAAAATAATAACCTGAATTACTTATGGACAACACTTAGAAAAAAAAAAACCAACCAACAAACCAAATAAAAGAATATTCCACACTCGCACGTTTCACAGAAAAACTACTGTTAGACTTACAATGTACTGTTAGGGTTGCTGAAGATGAAGTCACAGTATCCAAACTGTTATTAGCAACACATTTGTATTGTCCTGCATCCGATTGTTGAACATTTGATATGATCAATTGGTGGTTTCCATCATTGGAAGAGACTCTAAGTCGCGCATGTTCAGCCACATTCAATTCCACTCCATTTTTTTCCCAAGCAACATCGGGTTTAGGGTACCCTGCTACTACGCAATTGAACTCGGCAGTTTGTCCTTCCACTTCCGTGGTATCCCTTGGAGATTGGGAGATTTCAGGGGCAACTATCAATATAAATAATGAAAAATAAATTATGTTTCCTACAAAATCAGACATAATTTACTAAATGTAGTGCGATATAGTGGTTAGAGCGCTGTATCACATAAGAAAGCAAATGAAACCGACTTTCCTAAACATTCTTTACCAACAATGAATTTTAAGTATACAACTATTTATATTTTGATCGATCCATATTTTTTAGTCGTGTCGTAAACCATAGTTGAACTCACATCGGACAGTCACTATGGCAGCATTGGAGGTAGCATTTCCAACCTTGTTGCTCGCCACACATCGGTATGCTCCGTTGTCTTTCCTGCTCACATTCCTTATTGTCAAATGCTCTTTGTCTGTTGACAAACGGATCCGTACGTCTTCATTTGGATTTATAGAAGATCCATTTTTCGTCCATGATATTGTCAAAGAGCTTCCAGTAGCGTTGCAAAAGAAAGTCAAGTTCTCTCCTTCTTTGACCGGATCAGCTTGTGGGTGCGTCTCGATAGCAGGCGTCACTGTAGAAATGCAAGAAAGTATTTTAAACTTATGAAGTTTGTCTATCATTCGTTTTTTTCCGTATCCAAACAGTTTAAATAGGTGTTCTTGAGCTGGTTCCTAAGCACATAACTAAGAACTAGTTGGGGTCTGAAATATAGGAATGTCAAGATCGAGCTCCTCGTCTCGGTCCTTAACGACCAGGAGGCAAACAAACAAACAAACTAAAAAAAAACAACAGCAAAACAAAACAAATACTAAAGCAAAAACAAAGTCCAACAAAAACAAACAAACAAACGAATAAATAAACAATACAAATCTCTTGGGTAGCTGATTTTTTTATCCTAAATGAGATAACTAACGCCGAGTGATTGCTTTGGGAAATTGTATTTTTGTGTTTATTCATAACGGAGCATACCTTGCACAATAATCAATGTCCAATTCGAGGAACTACCAACAACATTAGTGACATTACAAGTATAATTTCCAGCATCTTCTAAGGAAACTGTGGTGATCAACAACTGAGCTTGGCTTTCATTATGATGTGAAATAGTCGCTCTTGACCCATTTGAGGGAACGCTGAGGGTTGATGCAATCACATTCCCATTATTTAGCCACTGCACTTCAGACGCGGGAGGCAAGGCGTTAAACCTGCATGTGAGCTGTAAATCTGTGCTGTTGGCTACATAATGTATTTGATCTCCGTCAATTGTCACCTCTGGTGCAACTGAAATTTAATAAAATTTTATAGAATCATTTTTCTTTAATTTTTACAGTTAAAGTTAAATATGGAATAACGGTATATTACCTACGTCCTTTATAAACGTATGAACTGAGAAGGAGGAAAGGAGGATGTGAGAGCTGGAAGGTGAATTTGACGATGCTGTGAAAATATGTTTCCTTTAATGCTCAACACATATCTTTACAGAATCGCCATCCAAAACTCAGATGTCAACTTATTTTGGTCCGTTTTAAAATCCTTAGCATTGTACCACCAAAGGTTGACTAGCTTTACAAGAACCTGTATCTATGGTATTTGAGGACAACAACGCAGAGTACACAATCAAACATTCAGTAATTCCATCCTTCGAAGATAAACAACTTTTACACTCACATTGCACTGTAAGAGTCGAAGGAAATGACTCAGAGGTCTGCAAACTGTTATTAGCGACACATCTGTATTGTCCTGCATCTGACCGTTGAACATCTGTTATTTTCAAAGTGTGATTGCCGTCCCTGGAAGAGACACTTAATTGTGAATTTGCTGTTACATTCAATTCGACTCCATTCTTTGTCCAAGCAACAGTAGGTGTGGGGTATCCAGCCACCAAGCATCTTAATACAACGGTTTGTCCTTCTATTTTCGTGACATTAATCGGAGGTTCGGAGATTTCAGGCCCAACTGAAATATAAAAGAGAGCATAACAAAATGAATAAATAAACACATAAGAATTGCAAGTCACTGCAATATCAACCTATTTCGCGAAATATTGCAACACTTGTGAATAAAAAAACAATTTTTTTAGAATAACATTTCGCCTCGTTAAATGAACCTATCAAATTCTTGTGGAAACTAGCTCCCTTTCCAATACGAATAATAATATAAAAAAATCGAAGGAGGGTGGTCAGCATCAAAACAAATGTTTACAATGGAATTCAAAAGCACCTAAGCAATTAAACTAAAACAATGAATATTGGCCTTCGGTATAATTGTTAATTATGGTTTAGAGCATGCATGTCCTTGTGGGAAAGGAATGATTTTGTGTTCAAGTAGTTTTATCGAGTACCTCACGTTTTTCCTTCAATTTTCGCACATCTTGAAAGTTCTACTTTCATTTCATCTCTTATTATTTCGGTTCCTTTATTTATATGAGTATTAGATAGTGTTCTTTTTATTCAAACCAGATTACAGCCGGTATTCAAAATTTGAGGTTTCAGGAATATAAACCTTTGGAATGAACATGTCGAGTCCAACCTTTATTCAAAACCCTTCCTTTACTTTTTTGTAAAACCCATGCATCGCATATAAATTTTGAGCTTTATCACGCGTCACATAAACCCGCGCTCCCATCTGTGATCTCAATGAAAACCTATTCACTTGCCGGTGTGTATGTCCGTGGCACATCACTTACAGATTTTTTGGCAAGGGAAAGACTCGACTATGCCTCGTGTTTCCCCCTACCCTTCTTTCGTGCTCTAGCCGCTTCCTGCGTGCCTTATAACACAACAGAGCACAGTCGAGGCTATTTCGTTTATTAAATATCAACACAAAGTGACATATTTGTGTTTTCACTCATGCTAAGATGATGAAATATTGAAACAAATTTAAAATTCACTTAAACAACCATTCAACCATGCACCTGTTGTTGTTGTTGTTGTTGTTTTTTTTTTTAAGAAGAAATTTTGAATATGGAAGCAATCTTCGAAGCAATGCACACTACTTAAGCAGTAGTGAAAATAAGGCCTGAAAGTAGTGTGCATTGTTGCGAAGTTCGCTTCCATATTCATCTATTTATCCGCAGTTAACATAGATGATTTTCACATCAGAGAAATTTTATAAATTACTTACATTGTACTTTTAGATTCCCTGGAGATGATGTTAGGTTGCCAACATCATTAATAATAACACATCTGTATTGTCCCGAATCCGATCGATGAACATCTGTGATTGTCAAACTGTGATTGTTGCTCAGTGACGACGCTGTTAGTCGTGGATTTGTTGTGATGTTCAGTTTTTCCTCGTTCTTCGTCCAAGTGACTCTTGGTGAAGGATTTCCATCTACCACGCAACTAAACACAACATATTCTCCCTCAACTATGGTGACATCCTTTGGATTTTCCACGATTTCAGGTGCAACTTGGAATTTAAAAAACACATCTGTTACACTCCTTAACTCAAATCAGTGAATTTCAAAAGCTACAGAATTATTCCTTAGCATATCTCAAAGTCCTCGTCATTTTTTTGTTTTTGTTTTTTAGATTTGTCAAAACATAAATTTTTACTGATGTAAAAGACTATAGCGTTATTTCAATTCTTCTTCTTCTTCTTTTTTTTTTTTTTTGTTGTTTCATGCTCATCGATACGTGTATATTTCATATTCTAACTAAAGATAATTTAGAAAAGAATGTTTTGTAATTTCATCTGTGATAATGAGCAATCTTTAACGAAAAATTCTAATATCTCCTCTTCTGTCCTTGTCAACATTGAGATGAAGCTGACAAGATAGATGGCACCATAATCTACCGAAAATTACACAAATACAGGATCAAACGAGATTTCTTGAAGGGGGAAAAAGTACCTAGCAGAGAACTGAAATAGCAAGCCAGATATTTGTTTGTGAATACTGTGCGCGTGCATTCAACTTTCGGTCCTGAACAACTCTTTGTAACATATTTGTGAAAACTCAAAACATGAAGATAAATATTGAATTCAGTTCTCGAAAGTAAACGTTTCTGTTAAAAACATGCCTGATTTATATTTGACATTAACTCAGTCTAAGATTTGAATGATGGTTCCAAGGTTGTTGCTTTCAACTCTTCAGAACCCATCGCTACTCTCCCCCCCCCCTCCCCCACAATTCATTTGTGTCAAATACCTTTTAAATCCTATCAACTGTTAGTAGAAATTCTCCTTCGAAATTAGGCAAAATAGAAAATAATTGATGGAGCACTTACACAGTACGTCGACTTTTGCAGCATTTGAGGTATCATTTCCAAGGCTGTTCCTGGTAACACATCTGTAATTTCCACTTTCTGATCTGGTAATATTCGCTATAGACAGTGTCTCATTCTCTCCTGTGAAAATTATCCCTTGGGTCTTAGTTAAAGGAGATCCATCTTTGGTCCATGATATTGTTGGTGGTGGATTTCCGGTCGCGTTACAAAATAAGGTCATGGTGAGTCCTTCTTCTAGTGTAACATTCTTAGGATGCGTAATAATTTCAGGCTGATCTGTAAAAAAAAAAAGAAAAAAAATTTATGTGTCTGTGTTTGTGTGTGTGTGTGTATATATATGTGTGTATATATATATATATATATATATATATATATATATATATATATATACATATATTTATAAAGAATAAATTGAGAAAAATGAATGATAAATAAACCAGCAGCATAAACTATAGCAATTCTAGGACCAGTCCATTAATTTTTTATTCCTCTCTTTTTTTTGTGACAAATAAATCACGAAACGTTCCTTTAAGCAAGAGAATTCCAAAGAATGTGTAAAACAACCCACTCTCTTTTTCTGCGGGTTCGTTCGTACATTCATGATAAAGACATATTCCATTTACTAGGTAAACTGGAAAAAGCTTGTCGTTCACACGGGAATCAGGCCCTATCTGGCCTCCAAAGGTAACATGTCTGTTTTGTAAAATATAATCCAAGTAGTTGTCTTTCCATCTCTAGGATTACGAGAAACTGTTAAGACCCCTATATTAGAACATTGTAAAACAACCCAGAAATTTCCATTACGCGCAATTCTATCTATATATTTATTAGTTCAAATACATTTCTCTCGACCTGAAGGTGGCCCATACCTTATTGGCAACTCTAAAAGTTCGTTATCAGACACTGGGTTTAGCAAGACTGCTATACGATTTCATGACTTAGAAAAGCAAACTTATTCTGTACTTACATAGCACGTTTATGACAGAGGGATCAGAAGTGTCATTTCCAACCCTGTTTGTCACTAAACATCGGTAATCTCCACTGTCTCGTCTTTTCACATTTGTTATTGTCAATTCTTGAGAGTAGTTGGATAAACTGATCCTGGAGTTCTCATTTGCTGTTATGACAGATCTATCAAACGTCCAGGATATATGCAGTGTAGGGCTTCCTGTAGCGTTGCAATACAACTTGACAGTGTCTCCTTCTTTAAGAGCCGCACTTTTTGGCTGAGTAATGATGGAAGGCTTTACTGTTTAAGGGAAAACGGAAAAAAATCCTGAAAGTCTGGAAACTTTCCATTAGTTTTTCACTTGTTGAGCCTACATTTCCTCTAAAAAGACTACATGGGAAGTCAAGGGGTGCTTTAATATTATGCAACCCTGAAGAAACAAAAATAAATAGTAACATTTCTCCTCAGCTCAAACCTGTTGTGGGTGAAGACAAAAAGGCGCTACTTGGAGGACCTTAAAAATTAGGTTTACACCGAGCCTCTTAAACATCACATAGTACCTACCTTGGATAGCGATCGACGTCGAATCTGATGTACTATCTACTTCATTTGTAACCTTGCAAATGTAATTTCCAGAATCATTCAAGGAAGCTGATGTGATTGAGAGTTGCGATAGACTTTCATCATAATGGATTATAGTCACTCTTGATCCATTCTCGGTCGCAGTAGAATTTTTGGCAATTACCTTTCCATCTTTTAACCATTGCACCTCAGACACAGGCGGTGAAGCGTTATATCGACAGATCAACTTGACATTATTGTCTTTAGCTATAAACTGTTTTTGATCACCATCAATTTTAACTTCAGGCTCATCTGAAATTCAGATAAAAAACTTCTGAGGTCAATGGATGATTTTCACTACAGCCGTTGTTCTTTTGAGAAAACGAACACCTGCGAGGGGACTACCGGAATATTAAATTAAATATTCAAAATGTCGTTTCGTTATCTCTTTCCTAGAGTGATCAAGAACCGAACGGTTGGAGGAATGATTCAATTCTTTTTCACTATCATCTCTAGCCAAGCCAAGCAGGAAAACAGAAACTTCAAGACTGCTAACAAGTTAAAACGGCCTGTGTTACGTTTGCTCTATACTTACATTTAACAGACACAGAGGCAGTATTAGATGTATCGTCTCCAACCTTGTTGCTCGCCACACATTTGTATTCCCCTTTGTTTACCCTGCTCACGTTCGTGATAATCAAATGTCGATTGTCATCTGAAAAACTGATCCTTGAATCCCCTGAGGTGGTTATATCAGATCCGTTGAATTTCCACGTTATTGTTAGAGAGCTTTCAGAAGAGTTACAAAATAACGTGACATTTTGTCCCTCATTGACGGTAATAGTTTTTGGCTGCAATTTGGTGGAGGGCTTATCTGTAAGAGAACAGAAATATTTTAGTCAGTTATTTGGTATTCCAAGGTATTATACAATTTTACCCCTACATTTTCTTTCGAGGCTTTGTAAAGTGTAGTAGGTTAAACTTTCCCATAATAAGAGTTCTTGTTATTTTTTAAATTTGTTTTTAACTTTTAACTAAAGAAAAATGGAAACCTTACAGACCAAAAGTTCAAAACCAACTTTTTTTATTTTTATTTTACTATAAATTCGTTTAATTATGTTCACACCGAGCTGCTGGGTTGGCTTTTTTTCCACAAGAGAAGATTTCAAACGAAAAATTTAACCCGGAACAGTGAGAAAAATAATGCCGCAAAAATGTTGTACAGCATGTAATGAACATCGTATACATACCTTGGATAACAATCGACGTCGAATCTCTTGTACCATTTACTTTATTTGTAACATTGCAGGTGTAGTTTCCAGAATCCTGTGCGGAAGCTGAGGTGATTGAAAGCTGTGATAGACTTCCGTTATAAAAGATATTAGTCACTCCTGATCCATTGTTGGTCACGGTAGCATTTATGGTAATCACCTCTCCATTTTTAATCCACTGCACCTCGGACACAGGCGGTGAAGCGTTATACCGACAGATCAACTTGAAGTTCTCGCCTTTAGCTATAAACTGTTCTTGATCACCATCAATTGTAACTTCAGGCTTAACTGAAATTCAAATCAAATTCTTTTAAGGTCAAAGTGACATTCTCCAAAGCTGTTGTTCTTTTAACAGAACAAAAGCCCGCGAAGGAGACTACGGTGATATGAAATCAACGATTTAAAATGTCACTTAATTATTCAATTCACGGGGTGAGTAGGAATCAAAAGGCTGTGAGAGAAGCAACAAAGCACCTTAAAGTCTTTGAGTAATGACCCGAAAAATTAAATCAAATCTCGTGTATTCACAGACTCATTCAACTCCCAGAAGTGTTAAGCATGTAACTTCTCTCCATAAAATCCAGGCATTATTCATGTTTAAAGATTTTTAAAAGTGCAACATAGCTGATTTGATTTTCAAACACTCGTCTTAGATGATATCAGCCGATATTGCTCTCTCTCGTAAAAATTGAAAAATGCACATTTAGGGAATGTGCAGTAGGTTTAATAATTGTCGGCAACGGAGAGCAGTAAAAAAAAAAAAAAGACTTAAAGTTTTCAATCAAAACAATAACAAAATTGTGAAAAATTCCCTTCTACGTGTGATGTAAATAAGTTAACTCAAGTGTACAGACAATGAAAGCAAGCAGCTTGGAAGAAGTTCAGTTTTTGCCGTTTAGCGTAATAGTCGTGGTTAGCCTCTCTGTTTTAATATCTTCTTGTTTATTTTTCCACCCTTCCTAAAAAAAATGAGTTAAAATTGCGTGACAGTGCCACAAGCAGTCCCACGGGAAGTTTACGCAAATCAAAGTGGCATTTTCAGCATCTCCTTCACGCTCGATTGCCGTTGCATTTGTAATTGTCTGAGCGTTTGAATCATTTCGCGTGCAATGTCCAAATAAATGTTCTCTTTACTGGGTGCTTTCTACCTACTTACTGCATGTGATAGTCTTAGCTCCTGTTGATTATTTCCTTAACTTTTATCATCTAACCATTTGAGGACGTGTTGATTTGTAAGGAGAGAATACAGGTTGATCAACTTTAGCGGTGAAAGGTTCTGGAAAGTTTTCCGAATGTTGCTCATTGGATACTTTAGAATGCATTCAAATGATAAATATTTTTCAGCATAAAAGAGAGACAAAAAACGGAAAAAAAAACAAAACAAAACAAAAACGAAACTGCTGTACTTATCGCGTACGTCACAGTCATGTCTGATTCATTTTGCCGTAGATCTTAATTATTAGTCATGACAATTATATTTACGACTCTCGATTGTTGATCAAAACTAAATCTAAACACAGGAAGCTTACAAAATCTGTCCCAGATTGGGTAAAGATTAAAAACCGAATGTTTTAATGAGAAAAATAGGCGAATTAACCACGCATGACTTTCGAAAGGCATTGAAAGAGCGTTGCGTTGCGTTTAAAACGACACAAACAATGGTTTTTTCTCTGAGCTTTCCGAAAACGCCTTTAGATTTCCTGATTCATTAAAGAAAGTTCTGTTTCATACCCTTATTAATTGCCCTATAATAGTTTTAAACAGAAAAATCCAGCCTTTGAGATAAAAAAATTGACCAACGTCATCATCAGTAAGACTTGAAATTCAAAATTCCCTAGGGTCGTTCAATCGTGAACCGCACAGCTAGAGTTACACCAAACATCCAAATATGTCTTATTTAACTTGTTCACAATTCTTAATTTTTACTCTACTTTATGCTTAAGAATTTAGATTGAAGAAATCTAACCAACATAAGTCAAATGAATTGTTTGTTGTAACTCGAAAGTATGTGAAAAGCCTTAAGTTGAGACGAGAATGTTGAACGTATTAACTAATCAATTTTGCTTCACTCAGTGCTTGAGAGCAAGTTATCGTCTTTCGATTTATGAAGAGCAAACTGAATAAACAAGAAGCGCAAACGAAACTTAACACACAAGTCTTTACATGAAACAAATCCACTTAAACGCGGGACAAATATAAGCTCGTATACCACCCGGAAGTTTTGTCATAAATCAAGGAAACTTGTTAGTTGAATCCAATATCGTTCAAAAATGAGCTGGCAATATGAACTTAGAGATATTTCGATTAAAAAAGTGCCCTGGATAGGCTGGTAAGGCCTAAAATCTAGAGATCACGTCAGTTTACAATTATGCATGCATACCATTACGGCAAGGATGTGTGTCGCAGCCTGGATTGATAAAATAGAATGTACTTGCTTAGTTGAAGCAACTAACCTTGACATGTAAGAGGTACAGCAATTAAGAGAAGAAAAGCTATTATCACAACCATTTCAATGCCAAACTGTAGCGCGTTCTTTCCGTTTAAAGAGCAAAGTCAATTTATCGTTTGGTGTCAATGTATATGCAATGGAATGCAAATTTGCAAAACAACCAATTATAGGCAATTGACAGACGTGGTGAGTCAATCAAACCAACAAATGTTTGTGGTCGAGACCGACCATCAATATTCAGTAACTCAGAGTACAAAAAATAGACGGTATTAAGTCGCTAAGGACTCTCTTGGTTTTGAAATTTGAGCGGCGGGGTAAACAAGGTAGGCGAATGCGTCTGATTTCAGACAGTCTTATGTCTAGAGGTCGCAGACTCCAAGTGGAATCATTTATCGCTATATCACGTTGCAAAATGGAATCGTTCGTCTTGAGTCAGTGTGGTGACATGTATCAGTCGAAACTGTAACGAAGTGAGAGTAAAAATTGGTTTGCAGTTATCTTAACATGTTCCTGGTGAATAACTTTCTTGAAGACCAGAATTATCTACGGGCAAAACAAACAAGATATTCCGTATCTAAGAGTCGCTATTCTTTCTGAAAACAAACAGAATTATCTTAACGACAACAGTCTGCGGTCAGAGGTTTCACAATCGGATATGATCAATTTTAAAAATTATCAAGAAGGGATATAAATGGAAATTATCACGAGTAAATTTCGGGCAGCTATCAAAGGCCGATGTTTCGTAAGGTCAGTAAATTCCGACAACTGCAGGCTCGTGCTCAATTTGCACGTTAGTAAACTACAGTAAACACAACATTAAGTACATTTTTTAACGTGTCAGCAAATATCTTGAGGAATCTTGAAGCCTGCAGCCCAACTGGGTAACCAAAAACTTAACAAATTCTTAAAAATCATCAAAGCACACGAACAGACAATCGTCGATAGAAATCATGTCAATCGATTCCTTTTGCCCGGCTCTGTCTATTGCTTCCTCTTTCAAGTGATTTTTCAGTCTTTCCAAAATGATTGATTCAGCTATTTTCTTCATTTGAGCCAAATTCATCCGTAGTGATTCAAAATATGTCTTCAAATACTCCTTGAAAGTCAATTGTGTGAGCGAGCCTTTCCCATTTGACGTGCAAAACGGTAAACCACGTAAAAAAAGAAAAAGATTCCAAACACCAATGAACAAATTAAAATAGCGTTCTTTTTTCGGAACTTGCCAGTGGTAATGAAAATGAATTCTCATTCTGTTTAGAGCACGTTAATTGAATAATCATTAGTTTTTGTGGAAATAAAGCAAAACTCGCTACAGCTCAGTATTAATTTTTAGAAAATACAATTTTCTTACATTGCACTTCCAGTGTGGCTGGATATGATGTATTATTTCCTAGGCTATTTTCAGCAACACATCGGTATTCTCCTCCGTCTGCTTTGTTCACATTCGCTATTTTCAAGAAGTTGTTGTCTTTTGACAAAGTGATCCTGGTGTTGAGTGTTATTGGAGATCCATCTTTGGTCCATGATATCAAAGGGACGGGATTTCCAGTGGCGTTACAATAGAGAGTAACATCTTCTCCTTTTATCTTGGTAACATTAGAAGGATGCGTGAAAATCTTTGCTTGATCTATATAATAACAATATTTATAATGATAAAAAAATGCATGATAAAGTTAATAAAGGACCATCTTAGTATCTACGCAACTGCGCACCTACCCCTCTCCTAACCTCAATCAACCCAAACTTGCCATCATTCAGTTGACTCTTGTTGGGTTAGTGGGAGAGGAGCAGGTGCGCAGTTGTTCAGATATTTACGTTGATCCTTGATAATAACGACATTAATAAAACGGGATCCAGCAAATTTCATTGTGAAACAACCAAAATCCTTCAAACCGCCCTTCCCCAGGCAATACATAACCGCATTGTTGCGTATTGTTATAATAGGTATATCGAATCGGCTGCACAGTACTTACATTGCACGTTCACCTCAGCAGAGATAGAGTTATCTTTTCCAAGAGTGTTGTTCGCCACACATTGGTACATTCCACTGTCTTCTCTATTTACAATTCTTATCGTCAGATGTTTGTTATCCGATGAAAATCTTATTCTTGTTTTGACGGTCAGAGGTAATCCACTCTTGGTCCATGATATTGTTGGTTCTGGATTTCCAGTAGCGTTACAAGACAAAGTCACATTTTCTCCTTCGTTTTTCGTAACATTCTGCGGAGAAGCTGTGATCTCAGGTTTATCTGTGGGAATCAAAATAAAAAGTAAATAAATAAATTAGTCCATTGTAGAGCTAGAAATAAGTAACAAGTAAAGAAATGATCTGACGGCTGAGTTGGTGACGTTAGTTCGCTAGTTAACGAGGCTGATCGTTATCCGAACAGTTCTATTGACAGTTTTAAGTCGACTGAGCGGTACGGTCTTAACCCTCTAAATCCTAAGAGTGACCGGCATCGAAGTTCTCCTTACAGTAGTGCTGCTACATCATCTATCAACATTATATGAGACTATAGAAAATGATCGCCAACCCAAGAAGCTTTAATCACTAAATGATTTCTCCTTGTCAGTACCAGAACAAGTTTATAGGGAAGAGTATAGAGAATATGCATATTGATGTTAAAGTGTAAAGGGTTAAAAGCACTTCCATACAGGAAAAGGAGGGTCAGAAGAGATTTTAGTTGTTCTACCTTAACGCAAAATACCGCCCATAATACATCATACTCCCAATCTTCCTTTAATACGCTCAGGTTCATGAAAACATGATAATGCCTAGGATTGTAACCGCTTTTAATGTTTTTGCTTCTTGTACACAGTGCTCAATCGAGGGCGGTGCTAATTGTAAATCCAGTAAATTATGACGAAACATCATACTGTACTTACATTGGATTTCAACAAGGGCAGCATTTGAAATATCTTTTCCAATATTGTTAGTTGCAGTACACTCATATTTTCCTCTGTCTTTCATAGTCACATTTGCTATGGTCATTTTCTTGTGTTCTTGTGAAAAGCTGATTCTGGAATTATTATATAAATTTGAAGAGAATCCATCTTTGGTCCATGAAATCTTCGGTTCTGGATTTCCTGTTGCATTACAAGATAAAATGACGTTGCTTCCTTTGGGTTTTGTCACATCATGTGGGTGAACGATGATCCCGGGTCGATCTGTAAAACACATAATTGATATGTGTACTTGATTGCTATAACATTTTTCAACTGGTCCAGTTTCAGCAAGGAGATCTCGAAAATGTCATTAAAAGGAAAATATGTTGATCGAAAAACAAGGCTGATTAACTACATGCATAATGCATTGATAGGGAAAAGGAGTAACAGCCAAAACTACCGTAAAAGTCTTCATTAAAAATTGCTTTGAAGAATATCTTTAATTTTCGTTCAAGATTAGGTAGCTAATTCTAGAACAATCGCCATTTTCTCAATAGATCTTAGCATTTCTTCTAAGGGAGTTTGTTTCTGTTTCTTCTGAGGGAGTTTGTTTTTTTTCCCTGTTATTTTTTTATGATAACCATGACAACCTGTAGCTTTGCAATGTTTACCAAGAAAGTATGCAAATCTCAGAATTTCTCTTAACAGCTGCACCCGCCCATTTTTACAAGCGATCTAAACACTTTTTTTTCGCCCAATTCAAACAGAAATTTCATTTGGAATAAATATAGAACCGCCACCGGTTCAAAAATCCGCATTAATTAAAACAGATACAGTTAGCTTCATGCCGCTCATTTACCGTACTCAAGCTCAACGCAAACGATAAAGCGATAGTAGTGACTGATATATTGTTGTACTCTACTTACATTGCACATCCAGTTTAATGCCGCTTGAAGTATCATTCCCCAGGCTGTTTTTGGCCACACATAGGTATTCCCCGCCGTCCGCTCTACTCACATTTATTACTATTAAGTGCCTCTTGTCTGCCGATAAATTGACCCTGGAACTTCTTGTGATAACTGACCCATCTTTGGTCCATGATAACGTTGGGATTGGATTTCCAGTGGCGTTACAAGAAAGAGTCGCGTTCTTCCCTTCTTCTGCCATGACACTCTGAGAACGACTTATCTCAGGTATATCTATGGGAACACAGTGAAATAAGGTTATTGTTGATTGAATAAACAAAGCAGAGATATTGGCTGTTTAGAGTCGTAATAGGAGACCTAGCGCTGATGAGTGGTTTTAAGCTTATCGTTTTATTCAGTTTAACCCCCGTATTTTCATTATTATTACTATTTTAACATTTTTTCCCTGATATTTTTTTAATGATAACCATGGCAACCTGTTAGCAACCTGTTAGCAACCTGTTAGCAACCTGTTAGCAACCTGTTAGCAACCTGTTAGCAACCTGTTAGCAACCTGTTAGCAACCTGTTAGCAACCTGTTAGCAGTGACTGATATATAGTTGTACTCTGCTTACATTGCACATCCAGTTTAATGCCGCTTGAAGTATCACTCCCCAGGCTGTTTTTGGCCACACATAGGTATTCCCCGCTGTCCGCTCTACTCATATTTGTTACTGTTAGTTGCCTCTTGTCTGCTGAAAAATTGATCCTGGAACTTCTTGTAATAACTGACCCATCTTTTGTCCATGATATCGTTGGGACTGGATTTCCGATGGCGTTACAAGAAAGAGTCGCGTTCTTCCCTTCTTCTGCCTTGACACTCTGAGAACGACTTATCTCAGGTACATCTATGGGAACCCAGTGAAATGAGATTATTGTTAGTTGAATAAAAAAAATAAAAAATATCATATTTCTACTTTTTATTTTATTTTAATTTTATGGCAACTACGCCAACTTGTAGCTTAGCAATAGTTATCGAGACAGTATAAAAATATCAAAATTGCACTGAACGGTTGCACCCACCCATCCTCATAAGTGATAAATAGAGAATTATATATATGTGCGTGTAGATATGGAAATTCTCTTCGAGTGTTGAAGATGAGTTGAACAAGAGATGAGAATTTTATATCTAAGAGCTACCATGTATTACTATCTTTTTTAATCATAGAAACACAGAAGCCCTTTACTGACTTGAAAAGCCGACTTTATTAATGACTGAAAGTAAAAGAATCGACAATTCCCGAATAAAAATCTTATCCTGCTTTGGGGCTAAGGTTCAACTGAAAATATGCGTTGAATCATGATTTACAAAAAACAACAATGGGCATAATATTCATTTCACAAATTTATTCATCATCCTGACAGAGAGGCGCGAAAGGCGAGTGACATGTCAGCAGCTGATTAGCAATATCAAACACATGTGAAAAAATATCGTATTTTTTTTGGTGTGTTGTTGCGACTTTTCTCAGGGCTGGAAACCTTTGTATAACCGCGTAGTTTCTGTGTTAAAAGGTTTTTTTTCTTATTGAAACAAAAAATTCATTGGGATAAAACAAAGAACCGCCACAGGTTCGAAAATCCGCACCAACACAGATGCTGTTAGCTTCATGTCGCTCATCTACCGTACTCAAGCTCAACGCAAACGATAAAGTGACTGGTATATTGCTGCACTCTACTTACACTCTACTTACATTGCACGTCCAGTTTAATGCCGCTTGAAGTATCATTCCCAAGGCTGTTTTTGGCCACACATAGGTATTCACCGCCGTCCACTCTACTCACATTTGTTACTGTTAGGTGCCTCTTTTCTGCTGACAAATTGATCCTGAAACTTCTTGTAATAACTGACCCATCTTTGGTCCATAATATCGTTGGGACGGGATTTCCGGTGGCGTTACAAGATAGAGTCGCGTTCTTCCCTTCTTCTGCCATGACACTCTGAGAACGACTTATCTCAGGTATATCTATGGGAACACAGTGAAATAAGGTTATTGTTAGTTGAATAAACAAAGCAAAAATATTGGCTGTTTGGAGTCTTAATAGGAGACCTAGCGCTGATGAGTGGTTTTGAGCTTATTGTTTTATTTTATTTAATTATTTTCATTATTATCTTTATTATTATTATTTTTACCAAGACCAAGTAATGCCAACCAGCGATTAGACGTGCTTCCTTAACTCAAAAGTCATTCTTGCGAAGGCTTTGCAGAACTGGGCTCGCATGTAAAAAAGCACAAAGCTTGAGAACTATGCATGTTTTTTTTTCTTCTGGTAGTAAAGCGGAATATCATGTAGCAGATTTAGCAGGCATGTACATGTAAATTATATCAACGCCGTAAAAAAACTAATAATAAATTTCAAAAACTCAAACGAGAAAATAGACAGTTATATAAGAGCAGGCTCCCCAACTAAGAGAACATCCACAAGGGCTTGAAGCAATGAAAAGGAGTTCACACAGAGGAGCTGGCTCTTCTATTTATCACTTACACTGTACGTCCACTTTTGCGATCACGGAGTTAATTTTTCCCAAGTTATTGACCGCTACGCATCGGTATACTCCACTGTCTGTTCTGCTTACTTGATTTATTGTCAATGACTTGAAGTCTGATGAAAAACTGATCCTTGATGTGTTGCTCATTTGAGATCCATCTTTGATCCAGAATATTGTCGGAGCTGGATTTGCGACAGCATTACAAGATATATTCAACTTATTTCCTTCTGCTATCGTCGCACTCAGAGGATGAGTAGTAAACTCCGGTTGATCTGCAGTTTTGAAACAAAATAAAGAAGTAATATTTGTCTCCCCTTATCATTGATGCTTGGCAGGTTCAAAGTGATTACAGGTGGATCCTTTAGCCACGCTTAGAAATGTTATACTTAGGAGGTTGCGCCCGGTTATTTCTGAACATTAGAGAGAATTTATTTTAATAAAAAGAAAACCATTAAAGATTGGTTTATGAATGTAAAAAAACACCGATATGCTGAGAGTATGCCACAAAAAAAAAATTAAATAAAAAAACTAGGATAGTACAGGTTGGAAAAATTTGGCAAGGATTGTAAACGACTGCAAAGCAACGGTGCTAAATAAGTGAATGAATAAATTTAAAAACTTGCAACTCTTTGAAATTGAATCCACTTGTTTGATGCTGTCCAATGGCAAAGGCATAATAGTATTTTTGCACTGGTCTATGAAAAGCATGACGCTCTTAGGGAAAAGGAATGAAAGAAAAAAATACCTTAGAAAAGATCTTTGAAAATTGTTTTGAAGGTGCTTTTCAATTTTAGTTCAAGATCAAGTAGATAACCTCGTAGAACAATTACTATTCCCTCAGTGGATTTTAGGATTTCTTCTCTTTGAGAGGGAGTTTGTTTTTCATTCTTTTTTTTTTTTTTATCTTAATCTTTGTTTCATGGTAACTATGACAACTTGTAGCTTAGCAATAGTTATCAAGACAGTATGAAAATCTCACAATTGCACTAAACGGTTGCACCCGCTCATCCTTATAAGTGATATAGAGAGAATAATATATATGTGCGTGTAGATATGGGATTTCTCTTAGAGTATTGAACATGAGTTGAACATGAGAAGAGAAATTCTATATCTAAAAGCTATCATGTATTAGTTTTTTTTAATCATTCAAACACAAAAGCCCTTTATTGACAAGAAAAGTCGACTTTACTAATGAATGAAAGTAAAAAGAATCGACAATTCCCGAATAAAAATCGCACACCGCTTTGGGGCCAAGACTCAACTGGAAAAATGCGTTGAATCATTATTACAAAAACAACAATGGACGTAATATTCAATTTACAAATTCATTCATCAAACCTGACCGAGAGGCGTAAAAGGCGAGTGACACGTCAGCAGCTGATTGGCGATGTCAAACACACATGAAAAAATATAGTTTTTTTTCAAGTGTGTTGTTACGGCTGTTCTCTGTGCTAGAAATCTTTGTCTAACACCGTAGTTTATATGACAAAAGGTTTTTTTTTATTTTTTTTCTAATTCAAACAGAAAAGTCATTTGGATTAAACAAAGAACCGCCACAGGTTCAAAAATCCGCACCAACACAGGTGCTGTTAGCTTCGTACCGTTCATTTAACGTACTCAAGTTCAACGCAAATAACAAAGCGATAACAGTGACTGATATATTGCTGCACTCTACTTACACTCTACTTACATTGCACATCCAGTTTAATGCCGCTTGAAGTATCATTCCCAAGGCTGTTTTTGGCCACACATAGGTATTCACCGCCGTCCACTCTACTCACATTTGTTACTGTTAAGTGCCTCTTGCCTGCTGACAAATTGATCCCGGAACTTCTTGTAATAACTGACCCATCTTTGGTCCATGATATCGTTGGGACTGGATTTCCGATGGCGTTACAAGAAAGAGTCGCGTTCTTCCCTTCTTCTGCCTTGACAATCTGAGAACGACTTATCTCAGGTATATCTATTGGAACCCAGTAAAATAAGATTATTGTTAGTTTAATAAACAAAGCAAAAATATCAGCTTTTTGGAGTCGTAATAGGAGACCTAGCGCTGATGAGTGGTTTTAAGGTTGTTGTTTTATTTAAAGGATGGCAATGTTCGGAGGTTTCATCTTCTAATTCGTTTAAGCCCCGTATTTTCTCAAGATTTCTGTGTGATCTGTTTTGTTACTGATATGGAATTTGCATCCACTTGCATATCGTTATGTATATTACCGGCTCTCAACTTCCAAGCCTGCTGCAATATCTCAAAAAAAGAAAGTGTTCGCATTGATTATAAGAAATTTCAGAAAATGCCACGATTATCTTCCTGGTCAGAGTTGTCTTTTTCGTCAGCGGGCTCTGATCATGCTTTGCCAAGTTAGCCTCTTTTAGGTGGCATACTTTGCAAATTTGGGTAATCAAATTACTAATCTATCTGAACACATCGTAATTTCTCTCTCTCTCTCCTTGTCTCTCTTATTTTAGCTTTTTTTTTTCATTATTATTATTATGGTAATAATTACTTTTACTATTTTTACCACTAGTAAGTATACAAATGCCGACGGCGCTGAGACATGCATCCTCGACTCAAAAGTCATTGTTACGAAGGCTTGGTGGGACTGAGCTTAAGTGTAAAAGATCATGCAGCCATATTATTATGCTTGTTTTGTCTTTCTTTCTTGTTTTGTTTTTTTTTTGAGGAGGTAAAGCGAAATATCATTGAGCAAGTGTATACCTGTGGTTTATATCAACGCTGTAGCAAAACTTATAATTAACAAAAATCAAACGAGAAAATAGACAGCTGTATAGGAGTAGGCTCCATAACGAAGGGAGCATAGTCAAGGGCTTGAAGCAATCGAAAGGATTTCAAAACCTATTATGGAGCTGGCTCTTCTAAATATCACTTACACTGTACGTCCACTTTTGCGATCGCGGAGTTAATTTTTCCCAAGTTATTGGCCGCCACGCATCTGTATACTCCACTGTCTGTTCTGCTTACTTGATTTATTGTCAATGACTTGAAGTCTGATGAAAAACTAATCCTTGATGTGTTACTTATTTGAGATCCATCTTTGGTCCAGGATAATGCCGGAGCTGGATTTGCAACAGCGTTACAAGATAAATTCAACTTATTTCCCTCTGCTATTGTCACATTCAGAGGATAAGCAGTAAACTCCGGTTGATCTGCGGTTTTGAAACAAAATAAATGCGTAACGTTAGTCTCCCTTTATCATTGACGTTTGGCAGGTTCAAGGTGATAACAGGTGGATCCGTTAGCAATGCTTAGAAACATTATACTTCGGAGGTTGCGCACGGGTATTTCTGACCATTACAGAGAATTTATTTTACTAAGAAGAAAACCGTAAAAGATTTGTTTGCGAGTGTAAAAAAGCACCGATATGCTAAAAATATGCCGAAAAGGAACGAGGATGGCACAGGTTGGAAAAAAATTGAAAAAAATTGCAAAGGACTGCAAAACATCAATAAGAAATAAATGAATGAATGAATGAATTTAAAAACTGGCAACTCTTTTCTCCAGGAACATGAATCCACTTGATTAATGCTGTCCAATGGTAAAGGCATAACTGTCTTTTTGCACCGTTCTATGACAAGCATGACGCGAGCACTATTCTTTTTGCGTTCAAATCTGGCCACTGATCACCAATCACGATCAACAGTTTTGTTGATAGTTTGATTATAATAGTATCCTTGTAGCTTTTGACTGAAAAATGTTATAGCTCTGGTATTGTTGTAGATATATGAAAATTTTAGATGAAAATATGTTTATCAAAAACAAGGCTGATTAACAACATGCATGATTCATTCTGAGGAAAAAGGAATGAAAGCCAAAAACACCGTAGAAATGATCTTTAAATTTGTTTTGAAGGTGCTCTTCAATTTAAGTTAAAGATCAGGTAGCTAACCTCGTAGAACAATTACTATTCCCCCCGTGGATCTTAGAATCTCTTCTCCTTGAGAGGGAATTTATTTTTCATTCTGTTTTGTTTGTTTTGTTTTATTTTTATTCTATGGTAACTATGACAACTTGAAGCTTAGCGACAGTTAGCGAGACAGTATGAAAATCTCAAAATTACACATAAAGGTTGTACCCGCTCATTTTTATAAGTGATATAGAGAGAATTATATATATGTGCGTGTAGATACGGGATTTCTCTTCAAGTATTGAACATGAGTTGAACATGAGACGAGAAATTCTATATCTAAAAGCTATCATGTATTAGTCTTTCTTTAATCATTCAAACACAAAAGCCCTTTACTGACAAGAAAGGCCAACTTTACTAATGAGTAAAAGTAAAAGAATCGACAATTCCTGAATAAAAATCGCACATTGTATTGGGGCCAAGGTTCAACTGGAAAAATGCGTTGAATCACGATTACAAAAACAATAATGGGCGTAATATTCAGTCAATTAACAAATTTTTTCATTTATTCATTTTTTTTTTGTTCACACAGAAAAGTCATTTGGATTAAACAAAGAACCGCCACAGGTTCAAAAATCCGCACTGAAACGGATACTGTTGGCTTCATGCCGCTCATCTACTGTACTCAAGCTTAACGCAAACGATAAAGTGACTGGTATATTGTTGCGCTCAACTTACATTGCACATCCAGTTTAATGCCGCTTGAAGTATCATTCCCAAGGCTGTTTTTGGCCACACATAGGTATTCCCCGCCGTCCTCTCTACTCACATTTGTTACTGTTAAGTGCGACTTTTCTGCTGACAAATTGATCCTGGAACTTCTTGTAATAACTGACCCATCCTTGGTCCATGATATCTTTGGGACTGGATTTCCGATGGCGTTACAAGAAAGAGTCGCGTTCTTCCCTTCTTCTGCCCTGACACTCTGAGAACGACTTATCTCAGGTATATCTATGGGAAAGCAGATTACTGTTAGCTGAATATACAAATAAAGAATATTGGCTGTTTGGAGTCGTAAGAGGAGACCTAGCGCTAATGAGTGGTTTTAAGCTTATTGTTTTATACAGAGGATGGCAGTATTTGGGGTAACACATTCCCAGCCGTTTAACCCCCGTATTTTGATCATTATTACTATTTTTACCACGAGCAAGAAATGCCAGGCTTGGCAGGACTAACCTTGCGTGTAAAAGAGCACAAGGTCTCAGTATCATGCATGTTTTTTTTATCTTTTTTATTTTTTTAGGAAAGAGCTGGCTCTCCTATTTACCACTTACACTGTACGTTCACTTTTGCGATCGTGGAGTTACTGTTTCCCAAGTAATTGATCGCCACGCATTGGTATACTCCTCTGTCTGTTCTGCTTATTTGATTTATTGTCAATGAATTGAAGTCTGATGAAAAACTGATCCTTGATGTGTTCCTCATTCGAGATCCATCTTTGGTCCAGGATAATGTCGGAGCTGGATTTGCAACAGCGTTACAAGATAAATTCAACTGATTTCCTTCTGCTATTGTCACGTTCAGAGGATAAGCAGTAAACTCCGGTTGATCTGCGGTTTTGAGACAAAACAATTGAGTAATTCTTGTCTGCCTTCATTATTGACGCTTGACAGGTTCAAGGCAATCACAGGTGAATCCGTTAGACACGCTAAGAAATGTTATTTTTAGGACGTTGCGCACGGTTATTTCTGACCACTATAGAGAATTTACTCTAAAAGGAAGAAAACCTTAAAAGATTAGTTGCGAAAGTATAAAGACACCGATATGCGGAGGATATGCCGAAAAGGAACGAGGATGGCACAGGTATGAAAAATTTACAAGGACTGTAAACGACTGCAAAACATCAGTAATAACTAAGTTTATGAATAAATTTAAAAACTGGCAATTTTTTCCGCAATAAAATGAATTCACTCGTCTATAAAAAAGTGCAAAACAAACAGACAATTGCTTTTTAGTGGTAAAGGCATAACTGTCTTTTTGCACTGGTCTATGAAAAGCGTGACGCGTGCTCTATCCTGATCATCAATCACCTTCATCAATCATCAAAAATCATGATAGTGTGATTATCAAGATATCATGGCAGCTTTTGATTGAAAAATCTTATGGCTCTAGTCTTGTTGTAGAAATATGAAAATATTTTGATTAATTTGCATAAAATCGAGAACTAATACTACAGAATGCAACAGAGGTTTTCGTAAGATTAACACACGTTTTTAAAAGGTGAAAGGGTCCACTTTTCCAATTTTAAGTCAGATTCATTTTACAGCTGTACATAAACGAGGCCTGTTAATCTGACCAGTGGCTAAAAATGTATGTTTACTTACATTGAACGTCCAACTCGGAAGCATCAGAAGTAGAGTTTCCGACACTGTTGTTTGCCATACATCGGTACTCTCCGCTGTCAGTTCTCCGCACATTTATTATGGTCAGCGTCTTTTGATCATCCGAAATAGACATATCAGCGTTTTCACTTGTATTTAAAGGAAACCCATTTCTGGTCCAAGATACGTTAGGTTCTGGTTTACCATCAGCATTACAAATAAAAGTCACCGCAGTTCCTTCTAGGGGTGGGATGGTCTCCATGTTAACATTTGGCTTATCTAAATCTGTAATTTCAAAGGAAACAATTTTGTACATAGACCTTTTCTAATTAACAAATAGAGAAAGAAGGGTAGGGAGACTGACTGCTTGATCAAGAATAAAGCTGCCAAAAATGTCCAACCATCAAAGTTCACAATCTGCAATAGTTTACAAACTGAAATAATTCGGCAGGTAAATTTTATTAATGTTTAATTCAGCAGAAACTGGGACAAACTCCGCTGATAGGATGAGCCATTCTGCTCGTGTTCAGACCTTAACTTGTTATTCTAAATACATGTGCTTATTACTCTAGGTAGCGTGATTTGTAGATGGTGTACTCACAATGCACTGATATTTCCACTTTACTTGTTTGACTTCGTCGGCTTGGGTTGGCGGTTACTGTAAGGTGGTAAATCCCACTGTCTGTTCTTCTCACTCCGAGGAGAGTAATCACTGTGAAGTTATTTGTTATTTTTACCTCTAAACGACCCTTGTTTGAGGGTTCTATCCAGGGTGTGCTGTCGAAAAAGAGAAAATCTACCATTCTGGGTATTTTGGCCTTTCCAAATGTCGCCTGACGAAAGGATTCATTTCCAAATGTGTAATTCCATTCAAGAGAACTGTCGTCTCCCTCCAGGGCATAGAGTGGATTTGGAGGTTGAGATGTAAATCCCACACCTGTTTATACAAAGGATACAGCTTAATTCAAGTTATCTTCGGTCTGGACAAGGCTCCAGATGCTTAATGATTGAATTTACAAACTACATTCTCTATATATTGATTAGATGTGATTAGACTTAAACAACTCCTGCAAAACCACTGTTGTAATAGAGTGTAAAAGGAAAGCTTTTCCACCCTACAGAGGTACTCATTTCCTAATGTACACCTCAATTATAGATAACACCTAATCTCGTAAGACTCAAGAGGTTTGGTGAACGAATGTAAACAGAAAAGCTTTTCAACGAAGTTTAAATCATGAAAATTATAACAATGCAGGCGTCTCAACCGTGATGGGTACACTGTACATTCTTTTAAAGAAATTAAAAGGAACAAATTTTAATAATTTATTAGGCTTAAATTGAAATGAGGGGTGCAAAGAGAGCTATTGATATTGATGTTGTCGTTGTTGATGAACAAATCTTTGAGTAGGCCACACGAGCAAACTCAAAGAAGGCATGCTTTCGTTTAAGAGAAAAGACAAAATTCACCTTTACATCATACAATCATACCGATAATTTCGGTTCAATTAGAACTGTATAGCAAAGCATCCACTTTGTTTACGACGGCATACTGTACTCAAAGAAAATTTAAAGCTTCTGACTCTGCTAGAGTCATGTTCACGGTGAATTGCTCAGCTATATTTAAAAAGTACGTGTTTATCTCGGGTGTTACTAGACTGGGGATCAGCCGACTGCGGAACCTCGGGAACCTGCGAACCATTAATCTTTTGTAAGGACAAAAATAAAGAAGAATAAATAAGATCGGGTATAAAGAAGATAAAGTTAAAACAGAAATATGTTTTTATTATCTACCTTGACATCCAACCACAGGAAACCCAAGCATCTGTGAATATGTGAATATGCTCAAGATGCGCAGTGTTTTGAGTAAGGACAAATTTACCCGCTCATCGATTAAGTGGTTGGTTGTTCTTTTGCATGGCGTAAATTTTTGGGCTTATTTAGGGCAATTTAACTCGGTTTTAGTTCATTTGCCTTTCTCTCTTTATAATCCTTTCCAAGATACGTCTAAGAGTAACGCAAATCAGACGAATTCACTAAAAGCAAAACGCTGCTTATTCGCTCCGGACGCCCTGATTTCTCAGAAATTTATCACGCTTCACGAGCGATGGCGTTACTTTTTGCTCGTGTTCGTCATCCAAGGATCATGTATAATAAGTTCCAGCCTATTTGTTTGCCGAGAGCCTTCAGATGAGGCGTTATTCGGATATCACGGTACCCAACCAGTTAGAACTTTCAAATTAATGTTCAATTATTGTCACTCAGCTCGGGTGACTGCGTTATTCGGATATCACGGTACCCAACCAGTTAGAACTTTCAAATTAATATTCAATTATTGTCACACAGGGTGGGTGACTGTTCCCAATGACATCACAAACCCTTGTACTAATACTGGGAATATCGCCATAACTAAAGTTGGACGTCAAGGAAAGTTAAAACACAATTCTCTTGTAAAGCATTCTTCTTTGATACCCAAAAACAAACTTTCATCTAATGACTTTTCTTTTACAAAAGGTTGCGCGGTCTACTGATCCACAGCTTCATAATACCCGTTTATCTCTTCAGATCATCATTCGTGACAGCGACCTGATGATTTCTTATTTTAAATTTCAACGCAAAACTTCATAATTGTATTCGACAGAATCAGCCATTCACTTTTAGAGTAATTTTCAATAAAACATAGTCCAAAGGCCATCTGCAACGCGGAAGTCTTCGACCACGCATGTGCATGGGACAACACGCATATTTGAGTAACGACGAAAGAGATATCGATTTCGCTTTCTTAACTCGCTGAATTGCAGCCAAAAATGATTTCGCTTAGAGTCGTGTTACACTTAACAGAAAATTTCCTCCAAATCTCCTTAACCAACTCAAGCCCAATTCTAAATGATTACGTGTTAGTTGATGATGATGCTAGTTACGACTTTCCGGTTGCAATCAAATTCCTTGATATGATTTTATAGTACTCAGGGAGGTTCATATTTAAAGCAAGTGAAAATGTTTTTCTATTATCAAACACTGAAAATTTTTTACGTCAGATTAAAATTCAATTGCTCGCGAGATTTAGCTTCTGTCGCTCTCAACATCTCGGCCTCGGAAAAAAAAAGCCGCATTTCATCGTCTGTTTTGCATCAAATTTCTCCTTATTCATATTTTGTTTCTGTTGATCGTTTGGCCAAATAGTAAACCGACCCAAAAAGGACCAGTTTTTCTTGTCCTGCATCGCATCTAGGCTGCTTGTCAATTACTTAACCGTTTGAGCGTATTCAATCATATGTATCAAAATGGCGTGCAAATTAGATCATTCTACAGCTTACCTTCGGCGGAGAAAACACAAAGAGTACTCAAAATGATCAGTTGAGCCACCCCCTTCATCATTCGGTCTATGTTTGGCGTCCTTCGCACATCGAATTAGCTATTTTAACAATGTTCAAACGACGCTTTCTTGAGGATGAAAGCTTGAATATTCGCTCGAGTCGCGGAATGTGTACTATGTAATAAGACGACGCTGTTTTGGGCGTAAAGTATGAATTACGTCTTATCTGGGTTATCATTAACTTGGCGGTCACGCACATCATTCAGTTTAGACGATTTTTGGTATTTAAACCGAGGAAAGTCTAGGAGATACTAAATAACGGCTCTTCGGCAAGACACTTTTATTGAATATAGTTTTTAATGATTTTTAAACAATCGGCGACTGTATTCAGTCGATAGAAACCTACCAGTCTTCATTCGATTGCTTCCGCGGGGAAATTTTTTTTGGGGAACCAGTCTATTCCGAGTATCAAATTAAAATATTTATAATTTTCCACGTAGTTGCTCTATATTTATTTCTTGTTCTGAAGTATTTCTGGCAAACCAAATGGTGTAAAATTTAACAAACTCCATGAATCTGTCCTCATTTTACATCAATAGTCCAAAAATATATTTCAGCTTACAATAAAAGCGCAAAATTGAAATGTTGATTTTTTTAAACATATTTATCATTATTTTTTTTCTCAGAAGGCACGGTAACGAATCCTGCAATCTAATTGGTTTTTAACGCTGTCCATGTTTTCATATCTCTGCCCACGAGCACACCCCGACCTTCATTACCATTTTTCATAAATATATCTCGTTTTTCCGGCTGGGCAGTATTTTTAAGCGAAGACTTCGGTCACGACCTCAAGCCTCTAAATAACTTATTATTCCTCTCTTTCCTCTCTCTCAAATCACTTTAGTTGACAGAAAAATATTGGTTTCGAGATAAATTTGTTTTAAGCAAAAATGTCTTTAAATTGGTTGACAAGCTGCTTAAAAACCGTCTGTCAGTAATTAATTGTGATCCTGCACAAAAAATACCTAGAAAGTTAAAACGTGAGGTACTTGGTTACGGTTGAATTAACGATGGAACTTTCATTCATTTAAATTTTAATTCTCTCAAACAATTTGATCGTAGTGAAAGGGTGTGCGAAATTTTCAGTTCCACTACAAATACGCTGCTGGTGAGTCTTTCCAAGTCCGTTCAATTTAGACATTTGTAGCGTAAATTGCACAACAGAAACTGAAGAAATTCGATGAGAAAAAGTCGCATTAAATGCGCTTGTGTCTAGTTGAAGTGTCTCATTCGAATTTAGTGTTAATGGAGGGAATTAAAGACCAGGTTTACACACGCCATTGTAGCAAAGAAACGAGCAAGCTCTCAACTTAAAACTTTACTTACTGAACGAGGTAAAACTTTGTACGTTAATCAATCGTCGATGAGACTGAATAATACTTTCCATAAGATCATTTACTGTTTTTGAAGAAAAATTGTCTTGACAGTCCTTGCCAAGACTAGTTCCAGTGTTCTTTCGAAAGTGTACACGACGTTTTTTTTTTCTTACGCGCTCTCTAATTGACAGGTGTCAGATTGTGACAGATAATTATAAAAATAAATGTTTCAAAGTTTGATTGGAAACCTTTTAAGTCACCTTTATCATCACGCAAATGAAAATATAATCTTGAAGCATGTCTTTAATTTGCATATGTATTACCTCTATTTTAACTACCGTTTACTCGCTCAAAAATTGTTCAGTTTAGGGAAAATCTTACAGTAATTACAGCCTAAATCATACTGGATCTTTTGGGAAGAATTATGATAAGTTTAAGGGAAAACATAAAAATGTTATTCACTTACTCTGTCTTTAGTACCTCGGGCATAGTTTTTCCCAATACGGACCTCTCGGCTGGCGAATATCATATATTTATTAACAATTTATTCATTATCTTCTTTAACAAAAAAGTCTCTTTCGAGGAGAACATCAACTCAAATGGTTTCTCCTCATTTAATAAAATTTCCCCAGACATTAGACATAACTGGTCACTGAAACAAAAGGTCCCATTCCTACCCCTCTAAAGAATGAGTAATTGTGTCAGCCCTTTCCTCTCGGTGAGATCTTTTACCGTGGGTGGGAACCTACCGGAGTTTGTATCTATAAACGGCAGTACGATTCTGCCACTCCGAAAACAGTAGTATTTGTCACTGAGGTCAGAAACCGTGAAATGGTAGCCAAAAATATGAACAGGGTACTGTAGTTTGAGGAAAAGATATTTCTAACGTGCGCTTTTGCTAATTTTTGAAAATATTACCTCTAGCATTACTTGTTAAATTTTTATTAAGCGTAATAAAAATGTGCGCTTTAAAGGGGATAGCGCTATTATAATTTGCTTGCTATTTGATATTGAAGTAAATTTGAAGAATCGCCTCACTTGAGCAATGTGCGACCGCCAAGTAAATGATTACCCAGATTAGACGTAATTCTTACCTTACGTCTGAACAGCGTCGTCTTGTGACGTAAAACACACTCCGTGACTCAAGTGAATATTTAGCCTCCATCTTCAGTTTAAAAATACAATCTTTAAAACAGTTCACACGAGGGTGCAGAGCGCAGATTTCTGAATGATGAAGAGGGCGGCTCTACTAATCATTAAGAGTGCTTTCTGTGTTTTCTCCACCAAAGGTAGGCTTTGAAATGATCATTTGAAATGATTAATAGCACACAAGGTTAATTCATATTTGTTGTACACGATTAAACGGTTATGTAATGTAGTTATGTATTAATGTAGGAACAGAATAAACTAGTCTGTAATTGGTTCGGTTTAATTTAATTTTAAGGCGTAAACAGATACAAATATGAATGATGAGAAAGTTGATGTAAAACGAAGAATTTATGGCAGCTTTTTCAGAGCGATAAACACTGACTCAAAAATTTGATTTTCATCTGTCTCAATATTTTTGTGTGGGATTGTTGAAAACATCGAGCTAAATTTATTTATTTCTTTGCCTTAGATACGAATTTCCCTCAGAGCTAAAACCATATCAATGAATTCGATCACAACCGGAAAAGCCGAAAATAACATTATCAAACAAAGACGCTGTTATTTAAAATAGGCCATGAGTTGGTTTAGGAGATTTGGGTGAATTTTTCTTAAAAGTGTCAAAAGACTCTGAGCAGCAACCATTGTAAGTAGCAATTTAAAAAGTTATGAAAGTAAAATCGATATCTTGAACGTAAGATATGGGAGTTGTCTCACGCGCGTTATGTGCTTGAGACAATTTCGGATTCTCGTGTTTCAAATGGCCGTCTGACTACGTTTCATTGATAATAACCCTGATAACGAATGGCTTATTCATGATGGCAAAATATGATTTTTCATCTCGTCACGAGCGTGCGACAAAGAAAAAATTCTGAGTACCCGTGAGGAATCGAACCTCAGACCTTCGGTTTCCGCACTCCGATGTTCTACCACTGAGCCCCAGAGACTCTATCAGCATGTCAATAGCGTCGTTAACAACAGCAATGACATAATGACCAGCTGTATTTTTACCCTGTATTTTACAAATAATTACAACTCGCTCCTTTCAATCTCTTCAAAATAATGTAGTCACTACGGTTGACATAAAGCACTGTTATCGTTTTCACGATTCAAACTTTTTTTTCACATTCCCTTAAAGGAGAGGCTTTGTTAGCCTGCAGTGCAGGCGTCTTATCAATGCGAGCTAACGTTACAAGCTCGGGATCGTTTGTTTGATTTGGAGTTAGAGTGGATGGTGTGGGTAGGGGACGGGGGAAGGGTGAGAATCTTCACCTCCCCATCCCACCCCTCTCCTTATTTTCGACCGTCAACCGCCCCCTTAGCACAAATTTCTCTCCCCAGCGTTCCGCTGCTATTACAATCAAAGATGGCAGCCATAATTTGTCGAGAACGATTTCTTTATAATTAATGATTAATGTTATAAATTGTCACACAATGTAACGAAATACTAGACTGATCGTAACGCGAATAGGAAGATTTCGTGACATGATATTTCACAACGTTGTAAACAAAGTTCAACACTGATTTGCATGCGTACAGTGAACTAAATAAGGGAAAGAAACGTGTAATTGTGAAATTGCAACTAAAATAGGGTATATTACAGTACTTTGGGATTGGGAATTTACTGAACTCGTGATTGTGGGAAAATTACTTTATTTCGCAACTAGAACTGTAAAACGAAGTAGCACTGAATTGTAAGAGCAGATTGGTTTTAGATCGTTAGAGTGTTAGTATGTTCAGATTGTCAGGAGTGATGGAAGAAAATAAACGCGTTTAGAAAACAACGAAGTATACAGTCCTCTTGATTCCGCGACATAATTTCGTTTGGAAAATACTGAGCACTGGCTCGCCAAAATTATGCCTGCTGAGCTGGCTATGGCCTCGTAAGCGTTCTTTCTTTGCACTATGTAGAACTCTCTTGATAAAACAAAACAAACCCAAATTCGTTCACCAAACATCTTAAGCCTTGCGGGATTAGGTGAATTTTTAAAAATATATCCGTTGTATTATCAGGTGTGGTATTTACAGCTGAACCTTCAAATCAATTCTTTGCCCTTGAGGGAGGAAATGGTTATCTAGAATGGAGGTACACACAAGGAAATGAGTAACTCCGTAGGGTGGAAAAGCTTTACGTTTTACACTCTCTTACAACAGTGACTTTGCAGGAGTTGTTAAGGTCTAATCACATCTAATCAATATATAAAATGTAGTTTGCAAATTCGTGCATTAATCATTTGGAGCCTTGTCTAGACCGAAAATAACTTGAATTAAGCTGTATCCCTTGTATTAACAGGTGTGGGATTTACAACTGAACCTCCAAATCCACTCTTTGCTCTGGAGGGAGACAATAGTTCTCTTGAATGGAGGTACACATTTGGAAACGAATCCTTTCGTCAGGCGACATTTGGAAATGCCAAAATACCCAGAATGGCGGATTTTTTCTTTACTGACAGCTTTCCCTGGATAGAACCCTCAAACAGGGGTCGTTTACAAGTAAAAATAACAAATAACTACACATTGATTACTCTCCTCGGAGTGAGAAGAACAGACAATGGGATTTATCACCTTACAGTAACCGCCAACCCAAGCCGACGAAGTCAAACAAGTAAAGTGGAAATATTAGTGCATTGTGAGTACACCACCCATGAATCACGCTGCCTAGAGTAATGAGCACATGTGTTTAGAATAATACGTTTTTAAACTTAAAAGTTTTGAACACGAGCAGAGTGGCTCATCCTGTCAGCGGAGCTTGTCCCAGTTTCTACTGAATAACAAATCCAGGTGCAATGCTGCCTTCTCTGACTGACATTTAGTGCATTCGTCGCTTGCTCGTACCCATTTTCGCAGACGAATTCTTTCTCATAAAATAAATAGAGAAGCTTTGACTACGCCCCGTTCTGTTGAAAAGCACTTATGAAGCGGCTATAGCACTCAAGAACCCTTTTTCTCTTATTGTTAACTAGAAAAGGTCTATTTACAAAATTGTCTTCTTTAAGATCACAGATTTAGATCAGCCAAATGTTAACAAGGGGAGCCCCCTACCCCTAGAGGGAACTGTGGTGACTTTAATTTGTAATGTTGATGGTAAACCAGAACCTAATGTATCTTGGACCAGGAATGGATTTTCTTTAAATACAAATGAAAACGCCGATGTAACTATTTCGGATGATCAAAAGACGCCGACAAAAGTTGAAAAACACTTGCTTGTTGTTGTTGTTGTTGTTGTTTTTTTCCCCTGTTTTATAGAAAAGTGGATTCATCTTATAGCGGTAAAAAGTTACCGGTTTTTAAATTTATTCATATTTATTCATTTACTTGTTACTGACGCTTTGCAGTCGTTTGCAATCCATGTCAAATTTTCAAACCTGTGCCATCCTCGTTCCTTTTCGGCATAATATTCTCAGCGAATAAATTCGTTAACTAATCTTTCAAGGTTTTCTTCTTTTTGGAGTAAATTTAAGAGGGAAAGGAAATCCCTTTCAAGGAAATCTACTGCTCAGATCTGCTGTTCTTTTAGAGGATTTGGCTGCCTTATCTTGAACTAATATTTAAGAACTTATCCAATAGTACATTTGATGCATTTAATTCATGTTAACAAGAAATCTTATCAATAGCGATTTGGTAAAACTTTTGACAGTTAAAATCAACGGTAAAATCAACGGTAAACTTTCGACCAAACTTCATTCTTTTTTAAGTGAATGGTAAGAATTTAACGGTGAATATATATTGGTGTGTAAGAAGTGTAAAAACTTATGAAAGTGTAAACGGACTATAAGAACATACAAAGATAAGAAATAATTAGAAGCTAATTAAAAACAAAAATTAAAAACAATTAAAAACCTAATTAAAAACCTTCTCACGAATTGAGTCCGACTGCACATTAGGAGCAGGTCTCAGTTGTTGAATAAAAAGCATTTTATAAAGTAGGCAGTCAAATTTATTCGTACATTTCTTTAAAACACTAAAATTCTTCGCAAGATCCCCTGGGGCCAAAGAATACTTGAATGGATGAAATCGAGTTTTTGTGTTCTTTAACATGTTGGTGCAGATGGTGGCCTGTAAAAACCAACATAACCTGCATCGCACAGGTCATATTTAAATTCATAAATAAGGTACTATTGGTTCACAATCGGTGGCTTCGCTTCTCGTAACCTAAGATCTTTTTTGGTCCTCTGGCTGACAAATACAGGCTGTACGGTCGTGTGGATTTTCGAACTCAAATCTTTGAGTTGGAAACGTACAATATCGGCTGGGGCCTGATCTTTAAACGATAGGACGACACGAATGGGGTCTGTTCAATCACTGACAGTCGTTGAGGAATCAAGTTGATCCGATGCCTTGGTGGCCATAAAACGTGAGAAAGCAGAGCTGACATGTTTGTCAGGATACTTTAGTCGAGAAAAGAATAATTTCAGTCGATCATACTCTTCAGAGCTGTAACACCAGTTGGATGAAAACCGAAATGCAGGATCAAGCACAGTTTTTAGTAACCCGCGTTTGTATCATGTACTTGTAACTTAGGATCATTGCACTTTCATAAGAAATACTGGTCCGTCCATAAAAACAAATACAGGTATTCGTTTGTTGTGAAACATAGGCAGTTGTATAAGAAAACGTCCGACCCATAGTACATTACATAACTACAAGGTCACTTCATTCCTTCACAGAAAGAGTAGAAGGTCTTGCAAAAAAAAAAAAGAAAAAAAAAAAGAAAAAGAATTAGGAGAGGTTATTGCAATAAGTAAAGATTGAAAAGAAAAAAAATCTGTGGGGGTAGGCTCAAACCACAAATGCTAGCCTCTACGAGAGATCACCGCATGAAGGCATCTAAGATGAAACTAAGCCATTTCTCTGGATGAAGCTGAAATAAATCTAAATCAGTATTTAGTACTTTCATTACCTTATTGAATGCTACACTTACAATATGTATATAAAATTCCTGATCATACTCAGACATATGCTCCCCTTTTTTCCAGTTCCACCTAAATTTATCAGCAGCCCACAGAATGTGACAGTAATAGAAGAGCAAAATATTAACTTCACTCTGGACTGCACAGTTAATGGAAATCCTACACCAGATGTGAAATGGACTAAAGATGGAATTGATATATCAGAAAATCAAAGGATTAATGTTTCTGAGTTTATAGGAAACACTTCAAGTTTGACAATTACCAATATTAAGCGAGGAGATGAAGGCCAATATAGATGTATGGCAAATAACCGTGTAAAAACCACTATTTCAGCTCCAGGAAAACTGACAGTCAACTGTGAGTATTATTTTTCAGACTGAATTGCAAATATATGAGATGTACAATGTCAAAGCACGCTTACTAGTATTGGTTGGATGAAACCTTTGGTAAGTCAGCACACCAGGTACCTGAGACCCTTATACATTTAGGTGTCTGCTCAGAGGACACCCAAAGGAACTCGTAGCATCTGCTTGATATTGTTCACAGTGTGTACTTGTAGTTTACAAGGAACCGTGTTGCAACTAGAAGGAAGAATTAAGGAACAGATATTGGGAGTTAAAGGGTTAATGCAGGTTCTTAATTTTCATTTATATACTCAGCAAAGGTTGTATTGCTGTTCTGTCATCCACACATAAAACTTTTGTTTTGGGTGTGTCTTGTCTAAACATTTTCAGTATACGTGTACCTATTTGGTAAAATTTGCACCGAGACAAATTGACGTCTCATGAGCCGATCTGATGCAAGCATTATGCAGGACTGGTCTCAAACCACCTCTATATTTGCTTGGCTTTTCTTGCCCTATATGAGATGCATTTTAAATAAAACATAATTAAACATAAAAAACCCCTTGTGGGCTCATCGATATACATTTACAAACAACTAGTAAAAGTATGCAGGGATATTACGCACCAAACAATATATTAGATAACTCACAGAAATGTTTCAAATACATGTACTGCTCTCATTTTGTGGTGACTAACTTGAAAAATCCTTGTGATTACAGTTAGAGCAGATGTCAAAATAAGTGGCAGTGAACCAAAGTTTGTTGAAATAAACAAACGGATCCATCTGACGTGCCAGTACAATGCTTCGCCACCAGTATCAGAGGTACAATGGGTTAAAGATGGAAATGTGATCGCTAGAAATGATGGGGGATTGGTGAAAATAACACAGTTTACTGAAGGTCAATTACAGCTTTTAATTTCATCAAGCACTAAACAGGATGAGGGAAATTACACCTGCTTTGTCACAAATGCTGTTGGCAATTCCTCAGATACAACGTCCCTTCTTATACAAGGCATGTTTTCTTAAAATGTATGAAGATAATTTGTACCATAACGTGATCTCATCATTTTGTGCAATGTACAGTATTTTATCCAGATTCTCCTCTATCTAGGGGTGTCGTTTAGAGTTTAGTTAATGAATCCTTCGGTTTTTGTTAACTTATGTTAAAACTGGTTCCATTTTTTTCTCCTTTTCAAAAGTTTTAAACCTCTTTAGGAAACACAGCTCCAAGCTCAACACACTTTACACCCTTACATTAGTATGCATACTCACCATATTGTTCATAATACATTTTCTAAGGTGCTGACAAAGATAATTTGTCTAACAAACAAGAACTTCTTCTTTCCTTTATTCTCGTGATCTTAATTTGTGATTAAGGAGTAATATTATATGGAGGAATTCGATTCTAATCAGCCCTTACTGGTTAAAGGCATAAAAACACCATTTGGCAGCCTATTCCTAATGGTTGAATGGTTCCCCCCCTCCCCCCTCCCTCCCCGAAAAAGAAAGAAAAAAAAAAGAAATGTCGATTGTGTCAGTAAATAGAGTAAAAATCCAAGAGTTAACCCGACTTGAAAGAAATAAAAATTACAAATAACTACATCTGTACATAAACTGTATCTACATGTGTCTTTCTTTTATATTTTAACTATAATTACACCAAGTAATGCAGATCTTCAACGTGGCTTAATGTCAGTTATTAACCAAGACCTGCACCTCTCTCCATAATTGGGTATCCATCAGTGAAGTTACATGGGAGAGATTCTAATAAAACGTGGTCTTTCTTATGTTTTCGAGTTAGAAGAGTTTAAAGAAAGAACATGCACAAAATGGCGGGTCCAAACTTGAATAATAATCTAAGTGTGTATTAACTGTGAAAGTTTTGCAAGCAGTAACGAGCAAGCATTAGTTTAGATACTTTTGTGAGGAAATAAAGCAAACACAGGTTTGCTTCAACTTCTATTTGTTATATAATGACATACTAAAAATATATATATTTTTTAATTTACTTTCACAGTGCCAAGTGAGGCTCCGACTTTTGTTGTGACTGTTTTCAATTCAACTGTAGTGAATGTTTCCTGGCAGGTAGTTACCAGACGTTGCATTTATCTCCGAATGATTTTATCTTTGAATATTGACATGTCTTATTTATTTCCCCTGCACATTTTACATTAAGAAGGAAAGAGTTTAAAACCTGAATTACTTTTTCACATAACTGTTTTGTTTAGTATACCGTTGAACGATAATTACATGTATGCTGAATTTTCCGAAAGTGCTCATGATATGACGACAATTTGAATCTGAAACACTTCGTTAGTTTTCCAATAACCACGCGCTTGTTTGGCTCTCTGCGTGGACTTAGACAAAAAGCATGTATATAGTTTGTAAGACTCTACTCTTAGTTAACTTGGAACAGCAGCTTACTCGTACATGTAGGTGATGTCATCAACGACATTATTTTCAGCTCCCTCTGTCAGATTCCGTGTTTTTGTGTACCATTTAACGTATTAAGATCATAGATGATGTGATGTAGCCAGCAAGAACATCGTTGAACCCTCGCCTGTGGTTCGTGTGTCGCGTGTTTACATTACAGCTGTAATTACATTTTTATGTCCTCTGAGACCCACCTCAGACTTCAGAAACACGGACTGTGTTTGTTGAAATAATTTTTTATTGAAAAATTTAATCAATAAGTACATGAACTGTTTATGATAGTACAGCACAACATCCGGAAGCCCTAAACTGTGTGCACACTTAGCATGTAAAGAGTATTTTCTCCTTCAAAATGAACGTTTTGTTTACTTTACTACCCAGATGCTAAGCAACGAAACAGCTAGAGGTGCCATCTTGGGCTATTACGTTTTGTACCGAGTTAAAAACACCACATCTTGGACAAATCAAACTGTTGATGGAGCCGGAGCGACATCGCTGTCAGTGGGACCACTAAATGAATACACTACATACGAGTTTGCCATGCAGACGTTGAACGAGAAAGGTGTCAGTAACTTAAGTGCTCTGGTGGAAAAGAGTACCAACCAGCATAGTGAGTGTTACTTTCCTTCATTTATTTAGTTAATTTTTCATCTATTGTGAATAATTGGGTTTTTTTTTGCTATAATTATGATGGTTTGTATGATCTCAGACAATCTTTATTTGCCGTATGCCCTACAGTGTAGTGTGAATTGTTGTTAATAGACTGCTCGAAGCCTGATGTTTCTTCTGGTCAGATTTTTCTTTCATTACTGAACGTACATCGAATTGTAGAGAGATTGGTGACCATTAAACCACGGAAGTTGCATGCATTTGTTGTATGCCTTTTCTAATAACCCTATTGATTAAGGTATACTATGCAATTTGAAAAGATTACCAACCGTTCTCCCCTCAGAGTAATTTGGTATTATTAGCTGAGTTGATAACGTAAATTGATCTCCGTGAAGAGTTTCAAAGCTGACGTTTCGAGAGCTATCCCCTCATTCGTTCTCTCCTTAGTTTGTTGCCGTGAAAAGTACTTCTACGATGCCTTATGATAGTTTTGTTTTCCTTTCAGAGCCTAGTGGGCCACCACAACAAGTCATACTTAGCGAAGTAACATCTAAAAGTGTCAAAGTAAGCTGGGGTCCTGTCCTTGCTGTTGATCGAAATGGAATCATCCGAGGATATAAAGTGAATTATCGAGCCTTACCAAATGGTAGCAACTTTACTGAATTTGTCAATATTCCCAGTGGTCAACAGGGTGGAGGAAGAACAAAAGTTTTAAAGGCTCTGAATGAATTCACAAACTACAGCATTAGTGTGTTAGCGTTCACTAAAGTGGGAGATGGACCACTAAGCGATGTCAAGTTTGTGCAAACACTGCAAGACAGTAAGTTAAAATGATGTCGTCACTATCGTGTTACTCAAGGTAAAATGTAATACAAAGCGATTAACGTGTGGAATGCACATAGTGTAACTGCGTCTGACTCCCAAAGGACACTCAAGGTATTGTATATACACTGTGATCTGATGAGGAAAATCTATACTGGAACTTGCAAGTGTCAAAGTGACTGACCCAACTCAATTTAGACATTTTCGTACTAACGTCTTCCTTCAAATTGATGGATCAGAATCAAAACAACAGAAAAAAAAAGTTTATGAAAAATACCAGAGAAGCTACGTTTGAATCGGCGTGCTTCCTCCTCAGACTATGCTTCGTAGATAATCAGCTCTGAAGGTGAAGCTTATCGCTTCCAAACGCCTTTTCGATTATGTTAAGAGGCATGTTAATAGTATTTTTGCGCGACGTTTTGTACATTAAGCGTCCTGTAGCGTCAGCTTAAAGCGAAGAAGCATGCTTCATGGATTACTCGCGATTTGATGTAAGAAAAAGAAGAGGCTCTACAGGAAAGCAACAACATCAGGCCGACAAAGGGCCTGTAATATGTGATATTAGGTTGTTATTGTAAGGATAAATTTGATGCTAGTGAATATTAGGGGTCAAAGGTAAAAGAGTGATGTTTATGTTTACCCTCAAGCTAAAAAGTTTTCTAAGAGAAAATTAATTTGAATTGTGCATCGTCATCGTCATCGTCAGAGGAAAATTGTGACCAGGCTAAATTCCTTGTCTTTTGAAAACTCTTTACCGTAGTCTACATTTGAAAGGAAATGGAAAACCTAGCGATCCGATTTTTGTTATTACTGACCAGGATAGTAAGTGGTATTTTTCTTTCTTTGCTAGTTTAGTCATATTTTAGATCCCGAAAGGGTGTGACACTTCTTTTTGTTATGGCAAGGTTGCGACCACTCTGAATTACCTAAAACTTTATATAAAGAGGGAATTACCGGAACCCTCTTTTAATGAGCGGCATGCCGTTATTACTGCATTGCTTTTTCCTATACACAGGACAGTTGAGAGCAGCAGCATACTGGTCATAAAATGGCTCACTACCTCACTTAAGCTGACGAATTAACGGCTTTATCGACAAATTACTAGACAGGAATAAAACTCCTATCCTAGTCCTGTCGAGCCTTCGCTGTAACTCGTTTTTCTTGTCAATTGCCTCTAATATATTTGAATTCTTATTTCGTGAACTTTCTTTTCAGAACCTTCTGCTGCTCCTGTAAATGTGAGAGGCCGTAACACCAGCTCAACCAGCATCTTAGTAGAGTGGTACGATGTTCCAGTTTTTGATCAGAATGGTATCATTACGGGTTACACTATTACTTATCGCTCACAAACAGAGAATCACAATGGATCTGCTATAGCTGGCCCCGATGTCCTTCAAAAGGAATTAACAAGTCTTAGAGAGTACGTCAATTACGATATCACAATACGTGCATCGACTTCGAAAGGCGATGGACCAGACAGTAGCCCTATTGTTATTAGAACAGACCAAGATAGTAAGTACTGTTCTTTTACAGACTCTCTTGTCCACAAGTAAGACCGATGTTTGTATTCACCTTCCACCTGAATGTTTAAAATTTAAGGGAAAAATCATTTGTAATATGTATTATGATACTTTCCCTATAAGGAAATTATAGTTTAAGTGGATGATGAGCGGAAGATATTCACGTGTCTTTTGAAACTCTTAAACTCAGTAGAAAATTTTTACAACTGAAATATTGTGAAGTTGTTGTTGAAAAAAATTCCTATTCGATGTTATTTTATCTTAAATTACCCATCTCGCTTTTATTTTAAATGGTGATGTTATCAGTTTCACTTTGGAAATTTCGAAGTTGGTCGCCTAAGGACTGTGTGGTCTTCAGTTTTTATTTGAAACATGATATATACAAACAGTGCTCATTGATTTTAGAACCCTCTGCTCCTCCTACCAGTATACGAGGACATAACAGCAGCTCAACCAGCATCATAGTAGAGTGGGGAGAGGTTCCACATGCAGATCAGAATGGTGTCATCATAACTTACACCATCAACTATCAATCTCTGACACAGACTGACAACGGCAATAGAACAGTGGCCGCTCCAATAAAAAAGTTAAATCTGACAGGCTTGAAGATGTTTGTCAACTATTACATTACTTTGTTTGCAACTACGGTGAAAGGAAATGGAAAACTTAGTGGTCCTATTTATGTGATTACTGACCAGGATAGTAAGTGATTTTTTCTTTCTTTTACCCCATAGTTCGGTCAAATTAAGATCCGATTAAGATTAAGTGAGGTGCAATTGAATCCTTCTTTTGTTATGGCAAGGCTGCGACCACTAAAAAGTAACCAAACATTGATTTAAAGAGCGAATCACCAAAAACCTCCTAAAGTGAACGTCATGCCGTTTTACTTACTGAACGCCGGGAGGAGACTGTTGGGGTAAGCTCAATCGGTCTAGCTGCAAACAGGGCCTTATCATTAACTCCGCGACAAGATGGTTTTTTCGCTCGCGGGCAAGTTGTGCAGAAAGAGCCAGCGCAATTGACCCGGCACTAACGATGAAGTGCAAGAAAACTTGCAGACCTCTCGCCGAATAGCGTCGCCCATGGCCTGAAACCCTTGTCCTGCTTAGCCTTATTTTGTAACTCATTTTTTGAAAACTACTTCTGAAATATTTGAATTCCTATTTCCTGAACTTTCTTTTCAGAACCTTCTGCTGCTCCTGTAAATGTGAGAGGCCGTAACACCAGCTCAACCAGCATCTTAATAAGGTGGGATGATGTTCCAGCTTTTGATCACAATGGTATCATCACGAGTTACACTATTACTTACCAGTCACAAACAGAGGGTCACAATGGATTTGTTATAACTGGCCCCAGTGACCGTCAAAAGGAATTAACAAATCTTAGAGAGTACGTCAATTACGATATCACAATATTTGCGTCTACATCGAAAGGTGATGGACCAGACAGTAGCCCTGGTATTGTCGTTAGAACCGACCAGGATAGTAAGTATTGTTCTTGGAGAGTTTCCGTTTTTATCATGACTATAATATGTGATTTTAGGTTAATATTGTAGAAAAAATTAGATCCTAGTGAATCTTAGGTGTCAAAGGAATAAAAGTAATATTTATGTTCACCCTCCAGCCGAAAGTTCTTAAAGAGAAAACCAACTTGAAGTGTGTATCGTAATACTCCACGTTAGAGGGAATTGTGACTGATGACCAGGAGAAATTCCTTGTCTTTTGAAAATTTTTTACCCCAGTCTACATTTGCAAAATCAAAATGCTGTAAAGCTTACATTAAAAGAAGAAAATATTTCCAATAAATGTTATTTTGTCTTTAATTACCCATCGGAAAGAAAATATTTCCAATAAATGTTATTTTGCCTTTAATTACTTGTCTCGCTTTTAAATGGTGATGTGATCATGTTTTACTTTGAAATCTTGAGGATGGTCGCTTTGGGATTGTCTCATCTCCAGTGGGTAATTCATTCACAAACAGTATGCATTCATTTTAGAGCCCTCTGCTCCTCCTGCCAATATACGAGGACATAACACCAGCTCAACCAGCATCTTAATAGAGTGGGGAGAGGTTCCACCAGCAGATCAGAATGGCGTCATCTTAACTTACACCATTAGATATCAGTCTCTGACACAGAAGAACAAAGGCAGTGAAACAGTGGCTTCCTCAATAAAAAATTTAAATCTTACAGGCTTGATGGAGTTTGTTGACTACAACATCACTTTGTTTGCATCAACGGTGAAAGGAAATGGAATACGTAGTGATCCTATTTTTGTGATTACTGACCAGGATAGTGAGTGATTTTTCTTTTTCTTTTACCTCATAGGTCGATCAAATTTAGATCCTAGCGGGGTGCAGTTGAATAGTTTTTTTGTTAAGGCAAGGTTGCGACCATTCAAAATTACCCAAACCTTGATTTAAAGAGCGAATCACCAAAAACCTCCTAAAGTGGACGTCATGCCGTACTTACTGAACGCTGGGAGGAGGCTGTTGGGGTAAGCTCAGTCAGTCTAAATTGCAAACAGGGCTTTATCACTAACCCCGCAACAAGATGGTTTTTCGCTCGCGAGCAAGTTGTGCAGAAAGAACCAGCGCAACTGACCTGGCACTAACTAAGAAAACTTGCAGACCTTTCGTCGAATAGCGTCGCTCAAGGCCTGAAACGTATTCGCAGGTGAAGAAATGCCGGCTGTGCTGAAGCGATGATGAGGAGGGCCTCGTGTCGTTACGAAGAACCAACGGTTTAACTGATTAAATTAACAGCCAGCGTTTTAAAGACTAAAAAAATTTAAAGTGGGTCTTAAACGGTCGGAAGTAGTTGATGGATGTTATTAAATTGTAAAATACAAAGTTACAGAGAAAGACTACCCAAGCAAACGTTATTAAAATTAAAATCCCGGGAAAACAACAAAAACAAAAGTTGTCTACAAGTATGAGAGAAACGACATTTCAATCGGCGTGCTTCCTCTTAAGATTATGGTTCGAAGATCATAAATTTTTAGTATTTTCTAGCATCTGAATGGCCTGAGTTTTGTTTTTTTACTCCACCCTCGTTCAAACCGTCATTTATTTGGTGATAAACTGTATATTGGCTTGAAATGTGCTCTTTCTTAGGCTGAAAAATTTTACATTTAAGCCAACATTAATTTATAATAAAGTCACAGTTTGACTCTATAAAATCCATTTGATAGGAATGTTGAGACTGCAACTAATTCTAGGCAGCCTAATTTGGGCGTGCATTAAGGGACTGATCAAGAGCTGGGTTCCACAGCTATGGACATATATAAATATATATATATATATATATATATATATATATATATATATATATATATAGGAAGTCTGCAGGTCGATTTTCGCGTGGAACAGTGCTCAATACGTTGAAGCAGAGCAGAATAAATATTATGAGAGGAAAAAAGGACGTAACTACATTTCCCGACAAGCCTGTTTCGTGAATCGCTTCACTCTTCAGGGGTTTAATGAAAGAATATTCATATGACTATCGTTTATATACTAGGAAAATTTGCATAATACGCGGTAAACTTAAAAACTTTAAAGTTCAGCTGTTGCGTAGCAACGTTTTGTTTCTGTGTCGGCATGAAGATACGAGTTCGTTACGCTTATTTAGTGATGAGAGGTCGGGTCGGTAAATTATCAGGAATTTTTCTTTTAGGCAGAGGTTGCACCTTTTACTGGAGCTGTTGTAAGGAGAGTTAGATGATAAGACGCGCCATGAGATAGAATAGTGTAGTATGTGTAGTACTCTACCAACCTCTTGTCACGAGCGTGGGACAAAGGAAAATTCTGAGTCCCCATGAGGAATCGAACCTCAGACCTTCGGATTCCGCGCTTCGATGCTTTACCACTCTACCACTATTACGATGTTCAAGACACATGACACGTGTCTGCATACTGTTAGGGTCAGCAAGTCGAAAAGAGACAAAAAACAGCCCTCTCTATTTCTTTACTGAGCTCAAAACGTACCATATCTCTCATTCTATTTCCCTCCATATTAGTTTGCTTTTTTTTATGCGGACCCGCTCTTTTTGCAAATTTTTTTTTTCACAGCTTCTCCGGAACTTAAAAAAGTAATCCTTCCAACGTCATTTTTAAATTCCTAAAATTCATGTGAAATTGAATGTTGCTGATATGTGTGATCTATGATGTACTCTTTAAGTTCACGTTTTTGCCTCTAGAACCCAGTGGTACACCACAAGCTGTTATAGTTAATATGATATCTTCTGGAAGTATCTTTGTCTCTTGGAATCCTGTCATTGCTGATGATCGAAATGGAATTATCAAAGGATATAAAGTAAATTATCAAGCCTTACCAAATGGTGACATGGTCGCCAAGTTCCTCAATGTCACTTATGAGCAACAGAACAAAAGGCAAACAGTGATTTTAGATAATCTGAATGAGTTTACAAACTACAGCATTAGAGTGTTAGCATTTACCGCTTTTGGAAATGGACCAGCAAGTTTTAGCCAGGTTGTGGAGACAATGGGAGGCAGTAAGTTTTATGCCAGCATCTTCGCTGTTATTTTTACTTTTCTTGTGTTTGTTGCTGCATTTAATCACATCATCATATCGGCAGCATGTCGATGTTTCTTTAAAAGGTTTATTTTTTTTCAAAAACGTTTTTTGTCTGTCCCATTGACGCAGAAATAGTACTTTGTGATACTAAGTGTTTTTTTCTTAAGTTTTGATTTTCTTATATTTCTTGCAAAGTCTTTATGTGACAGATAGCAAAAGGCATATGTCCTTCAGACAGTAGACTTCTTTCATGGGATGTATTTAAGCAGCGGAAGTGTTCTTTTCCTAAGTGCTCGTTCACAGATTTTGCGACGGTTTAACTTTTGGTCATACAAGCCTCAGTAAAAGTAGGATGACGTGCAAGATCAGCCGACGAAGTAAACTTTATGAACATTGCTAAAATTCAGGTGTACTTTTTAACATCATAATTTTACCCATAACACTCGGTGGCCCACCGAAGGCCACATGTTGTAAATATATTTCCGCTATTCCGGATTTTTGTTGGTCTTTTGTTGTGGTTTACTTCTGAGCTTCTTACTTTCCATGCGAAAGTTTTTTCGTACCAGAAAGCAGTAGCCTATAGTCCTTCCATGCTTGTTTGCTTTGAGAATTTTTCCCTTAATGAAGACGCTTTCACTTGGGAAATGGTTGATCACAGCTTCGAAACTTGTAAACATGGTCCTTCAAACGTCATTTTGAATTTCGCGAACTATAAAAACATGAAAGAGAGAAAGTGTAGACTTAAAAATCGTGCCGATATATTTAATCTAAGATGTACATGCAATTTCACTATTTTGCCTTCAGAACCAAGTAATGCACCACAAGCTGTTAAAGTTAGTGTGACATCTTCCCGAACTATCTCTGTCTCTTGGAATCCGGTCATTGCTGATGATCGAAATGGAGTCATCAAAGGATATAAAGTGAGCTATCAAGCCTTTCCAAATGGTGACATGGCCGTCAAGTTCCTTTATATCACTTATGCGCAACAGAATGAAAAGCAAACAATAATTTTAGATAATCTGAATGAGTTTGCAAACTACAGCATTGGGGTGTTGGCATTTACAGTTTTTGGAAATGGACCAGCAAGTGTTGGCCAGGTTGTGGAGACAATGGAAGGCAGTAAGTTTTATGCCAGCATCTGCGCTTTTATTGATATTTTTAGTGTGTTTGTTGTTGCCTTTAATCGTATCATATTGGCAGCAATGTCAACTTTCGTGTAAATGATTGATTTCTATACAAAAAACGACTGTGGTTTGTCCCATGGTAATAGAAACAGTGCTTAGTAATACTTAGTGTTTAAAATTTTCCGTTTTTTTTTTAGTTTTCATTTTCTTATATTTCGTGCAAAGTCTTAATGTTACACATAGCAAAATACATATGTCTTCTTGACAGAATGTCATTATCAATGGAAGTTTTCCTTTGCCTAGTGCTCATTCACAGATTTTGCGATGGTTAAACTTTCGGTCATATAAGCCTCCGTGAAAATATTGTGGCGCGTTAGATTAACAAAGTATACTTTCCGAACGTTGTTAAAATCCGCATATACTTTTAAACATTATGATTTTATCTCTAAAACTCAGTGTACCAAAGAAGACTAATCTTCTTTACATAATAAAGCATTAGGTTGTTAGCATTTCCTATTTTTGGAAATGGACCGGCATGCGTTGCCTACGTTGTGGAAACACTGGAAGGCAGTAAGTTTTTTGGCAGCACGCATTTATGCTGTTATCTTTACTGTTTTTGTGTACGTTAATGTCTCGCACACACCATAAAGAAGAATGACTGTGGTTATTTAGGCGAATTTTTTAATATTTCTCACTCAGTTCATCGTTAAATACAGGATAGAATGAGATGGAAAGGCATTTCAGTGTTTCGTGCTTTCTCGAAGTGACTTGTGTCAAGGATGGTTTGGAGGGCACTCAAGAAGCTAGAGTTGCTCTCGGTTACGCCTCGAGCAACTCTTACGCATCTTTCGTGCTCTCCAAACTTCCCGCGTGCTTCATATCTCAATGAACGCACGCTGACATATGAACCAATTGTTAATGGTGGGAAGACAGAACGCAGCGCTATTTTATTGTCGGGAAACTATTTTTTTGTTTGTTTGTTTTGGTTTGAGGCTGTAAAATTTGCTGATAAACAAAATTGTACTAGTAAAAACAAAGAAGATGCTGGGGTGAGAATGATGCAACTTCAAGGGTGTGTTCTATACTGGCAACGATGCATACATTTATGTACAGTCTATTTTGTCGATTCTTTCAAATTAGAAACGTTCATGTCCTAATTTCTCCTGGTCATGATATATTGTTAGTTTCCTTTGTTTTGTTGTCTGTTCTTGAATACAATGATGCAAAGTGCAAGATAAAACTGTAATGTGACCAAAAAAACTAAATTTTCAAATTTCTGCACTTTGTTTTCTGTGTACTGCAGCGTAATGGATTTGATACGCCTTGAACCAAGTTAGCCATTCAATGTTATCTTTCTATAAAAGATGATTTTCTAGTTGCAAGAGATAATTGAACTTTAAACTCATATTCTATGATGGAGCGTCTTGTACTCACCGATAACTAAATGTGAAACTATTATTTTATGTTTTTATTGAATAGAACCAAGTCGCGGAGCAAAAAATGTTTCTTCTAGTGAAGTAAACTACACGACAAACAAAATAACTTGGGCAGGACTTCCTAAAGAGGCGGCAAATGGCGTTATTAAACTTTACGAAGTCCGTCTCGAGTTAAAGGAGAGCTGTTTGAAGGTTGACTTTACCTTTCATGCGATGAATTCAACCAAATCAAGTGTATTAGTGACTGGCTTCTGGATGTGCGCAAAGTATGAAGTGTCCGTTAGAGGTTACACTGTGGCAGGCCCTGGACCCTATAGCAAAGCTATAGTTGTTCAAACAAAAAGTAGGTTGGAAAAGTGAAACTCATGAACTGTTCCATCGGCTTTATACTTCGGAGTTTTTATCAAGATATGTACTTTTTTGAGTCCCATATGTGGTCCTTATCAAAAACCTTAACAACACAGACCTTAACAAACACTGCAAAGAGTTCAGCATTTTCATTAGCTGCTACCCAATGAGATAGTGTTGCTAGGTTACTAGATTACTAGAATCTCATTTTCAATGTGGGTGTAAGTTCCGTCCTTACTTTTGCTTGCACAGGTCTGAAATTATCCCAAGCGTGGTCAAAGGAAACACCTTCTCCACCTTCCTTTTCTCAGATTCGAAGCGGGGAAGGCACAACAGCAAACATAACATTACCACGCTTCCCAGGGAATGCAAAGTATGTGCCCTATAATCTAACTAGTTTTTCTTTGTGAAGAATTTGCCAATCTTTGAGGCTTTTTGCTGAATTAACGAACATCCTATTTCACAGATTCTTTCAAGTCATTGTTATTAGATACAGCGTGGACTATACTGGTGAGGTTAACTCACCGGACAGTTTTGCACCAAAAGATTTGATGACGTACGAAGAAGCCCACAAATCTCCGGTTCCTGCAGCGTATGTCACTTTTCAGTTTAGAGGGCAGGACTTTGATGCGTTCCGAGAATTTGTTGTTGGAGATGGAGGACATTCAAGCAGTAAAATAAGAAATAAGAGAAGCAGTGACGGCGAGGTCTTTCTTAACAAACCACTCCAGCCAAATACAAATTACAGAGTGTTTATCAGAGCTTTTATAGAGAAGGTAAAGTGACAAACGTCCTCTTTTGAAGATGCAAACCCTTAGGACAAAATTCAATCTTGCAGTACATTCAACCACATCTAGGTAAGCTACGTGCCACCAAAATTTCTGGCTGAGATATACGTTGCAAAAGATGTAGCTTACGACGAGGGAATGCAAAAGCTAACCTTTCATTCTCCGAGTCTTATTTGTCAAGAAAATCAAAGACGTTTTCAGTTAGTCGCTCATGGTGTTCGCTCTTTCGTTCACCCCTTTGTTCGGCCAATCAGTCAGTCAATCGGTCGGTCAAATGTTTTCTTCAGTGAAGCTTTTGATTACAATTTTAGGGTGGAGAACAAGAAAAGTTACTATGAGTTCGGAAAAAAATGGATTTACATATCCTAGAACTTTACGGATGATAACTTACTTCCTGATTTTATGATTGCAGATGGTGTACGTTTCTAGTAACTTCGTAACGATTGAAACCAAAGGTAAATTTATGGAATCGTTTGTGTCTAAATCAACAAATATTCAAGCAATTCAAATAAATGAGTTTTTCATTACTTATGTCAATGAAGAGCTAATTTAACAACCCTTTTAACAATAAATCACGGAGTTCCAGTTTCTTTATTTTCTCTGAAGGACGTCCCGTTTGCTTGGCTCACACATTCAAATTAATCGGGACTCCTATCACGTAAGCCCTTAAAAAGGTAGATCCCGGGTAATTTCTTTTTTCTCTCTCAGAAAAATGACCCTTCAATTTTGTTACTGTTGTGTAAAAACTGCTAACTCAGTGAAATTCTACCAGGGAAGCCCGACGTTAAAGACCTTCCTGAAAAAACCATTTTTCAAGTTGGCGATGTGGTAGTATTAAAATGTGAGGCAACTGGAGATCCTCAACCTTCTGTTACATGGAGTAAAGATGGAAATACCAGTATACCACGGGCTCAATTCAGAAACAATGGCCACATTCTTGTCATTCAAGAGGTCGCATCTAGTGACGGAGGCATTTATGAATGCAGAGCGTCAAACATTTTTGGGCAACGCCGAACAGCTACAGCAGTGATCATCGCTAGTATCATCAACCATGGTATGACCGACCACAAAATGAAATTTTTCTTCTATGTGAGCAAAAGCTAAATACAACTGATGTCAGATTTCACGAGTGAAATATTCGAACCAAGGATCCCATGACATTTCGAATTGCGGGTAGAAACTGTACCAGTAAGCTTGCCGAAAGTGTTAGAGGTTATGTATTAAACGTCGTTCTATAAACATTACCTAGTTTTATTCGTTGGCTGTATTAAAGATGTTGAATCTTGAAACTTTTTTCCATTTTTTTTTTTTAACTCAGTGCCGCCCAGCATCATGAAAGACGTTTCCCCTCGATCAGTTCCATGTGCAAAGGGAATTCCGTGTTCTTTGCTATGCCACGCAACTAGTGAAATTATATTTAACTATTCTTGGACAAGGAATGGCCAGGCTCTAGATGGCCATAACATTAAGGTCATGAACAACAGTGTTATTATCACTCCTCTTGATGATGAAGATTTTGGAGATTATGCGTGTCACGCCACAAACTCATTTGGATCTACAACTTACAAAATAACTTTGTCAGGAAGCAGAGAGGAAGAAAACAGTAAGTGTTGTCAATGTTAAAAACTCTGAACGTTCAAGAAACATTTGATCCTTTACAGTTCTATCTGATTTCGGTACGTAGTATTTATAGATACCTTTACTACGTCCAATACGTTTTGCATCAAACTTATAATTATGTTTTGGGGCCATCATTTAGAAACAGATTAGATTAGATAATTGGGATCAAATAATGTCAACTTCTATGCCACCTATCTCTTTAGAATTGCCTTTTCCCCAATTTGAATTTCGTTTGACTTATTTTAAAAGAAGAAGTGCTCGGTTTTTTAAATTTGTTTTGAATGTTTTATAATCAATGTGATTTCGAGGTATTTTTTTCTCTATTTATCTGTATATTTTCTCTACTTTTTGGACAGATACACAGAGCATCTTTCGGGCTAATGACATTGCATGGTCATGCATCGTTTTCGTGTTGCTTGTTTTGATTGGTGTATTAATATGGAGGCTTAAAAGAGCTCAGGCGAGCAACAGAACAGCGACTGCTAAGAAAGCCACTATCATAAATACTGTCCAGTCTGTGTTTCCATTGGAACAGCATGTGTCAGAATCAGGTTCACATATGGAACTACGCCCCAGGCCTTCGGATGGACAAACACGGTTACCCCCTGAATACCAATCCTTACAAGGGAGCTACATGAACGCTGGGTATTACAACGTGGTTCCCGAAGAAGGGAACAAAAGGGGATTAAATGAAGAAATATATGAGGAGATAGAGCTTTTTGATCGTTAATTCCTAGCTCTTAAAGGGAGTTCATTGTTACACACTCGCCAACTACGCGTCAAATAGGAAGGTATTTTGGTGTTGTTATAAAATTTGAAAGTGCTTTGTTTTTACAATTAATGAGTGCAGAATACACTAAATCCGTTTGAAAATTGACTGTCAGTTGTTTTGAGTACATGAATTAGATCAGATTTTTCTTTAGATTGTTTGTGTCAACGTTTCGCGACTGAACAACGATTTCAGGCGAAATGAGTCGTTTTTGAATCTGTTTCGCGTGATTAAATATCGTTTTTAAGGACTAACCACACTTAAAAGAGATAAGATTGTTAAGCAATAAAAATAGAACTATATTTAGTCTGAATATTGTAAGGGTTTCCTTATATTGGTGATGGGAAAAAGGAATGGAAATATTATATTACTTTAAGCCATTTAAGCCATTCGATACAAAAAATTGTAATAACCAGGTTGATTATTTCTTATTCCTTTTGGCGATCTCATCTAAGTACAATTTCTTTGACCTTTTTCTTATTGTGGTCGTGAATTTGACATGGAGACAGATGTTTTTGCGTAAACTGCGGTTTGCGGCTGGTTACCGGTATATTTTGGAAAAAAAAAATTAAGTACCAAGAAAATTACTCTACCCTATAAAATTGATCCCGTACAGGACTTTCCTGGAAATAACCCTCCTTTATACTTTTATCCATTTAATACTCTCGTTTTTAGGCTAAATCCATGTCGAATTCCCGATCAGGAAAATAGTTTTCAGTTTTTAATTTAACACGTTCGACACCTCTTTTTCTTAGAGATGATTTAAGGTGTAAACGTGAAGTACTTTTATCTGCCGCACTGAATTTGTAATTGGATAACTTATGCGAATAGCACGTAGTTTTCTTAGGGGCGGTACCTTGGGTACGCCCTTTCTTCTTCGAATTTTGTGTTTACTCTGCTGTTATGTAACAACCTTCAAGTACAATTTTCTTTTAAGATACCTTTTCAAGTATGATTTTAATTCTGTTACTAAGTTCATTATAATTTTTATATCTTGCTTCTGTTCTGGCCGATCTTAATCGTAAATGCAAGAAATTTAAAGAAGTAAATGATTTTGTAACTGCGTAAACAACTCGAAGACGCAAATTTAGTATGCAGGGCCTGTCATACGTAATTTAACGTGATTCGCTGGTTGAGATAGAATGATGACGATAGAATAAGATTGACAGCTTAGTAGTGTCACCTTTAGTGTAAAAGCTGGTGCACAGCATCTTTCAATCAGATAGAGTAAAATAGAGCAGTGTTGAGTTGTGTTGAGTGGAATAAGCTGAACTGCATTGAGTAAGGTCAAGACTGGGCTAGTCCCCGAAAGAAGAAATTGTACTAGGAGTTCAAGCCAGAAAATAAAGGAATTCAACCGAGCGTTAGAGAAATCGTCTAACAAGATATATATCCTCTTAACGTTTTGTCCTTTTTCTTTACAATAAGTTTCGAACCCTCGCTTTTCCATTGATTGAAAGGGAATACAACTCGGTGCCTAACTTTCCACTTGACCTCGAACTCGGTTAGTGACCGGTCATTATTTCTCGCCTGAGGAGGGGAGGGGGAGGGGTGCGAAGGGATTTTTGTTGCGACAAAGGAGTTTTTACGTGGACTCCCTTAAAATATATAAGCGTTTTCTTTGTTTATTTTTTTCAATTTCTATCCCCGTATAGTAGGGGGGGAAGATTTCATGATGCCCGCTCCCTCTCCCCCCTCCCTCTTCCCTCCCAGCCACCATAAAAAGCTGGTGTTATTTTATGCATGCAAGTGTCAACTAAATTATATTTACGTTTCATGAAATGAATAAACTAGTGAGCAGCACAGCACGAACTGAAATGATAACATCTTGTTCTATTGTACTGGGCGTTTTTTCTGAAAATAGAAGACTTCGTCAGGAAGTTTTAACAAGTACGGAAAATGAGCTTGCAATGTACCAGGCAAGTTGTCTTTTTACAGAAGTTAATCAAAGAAAGAAATCCTATTCTCTCTGATTTCATACGGAAGCTTGATTCGACTATTTTGTTTGTTTGTTTGTTTGTTTTTAAGCATATCAAGGAATTCGATGAGGGTTTTCGTAAGGCCTGCCCAGATACCAAATATGTCATCCATAAACCGCTTGAATGTACAGCTTTAAGTAAAGAGAGCATTATGTAACGACATCTTTCTCGTGCATTCCGCAGTAATTTTAATTCATAGTGGGGTGTCTGCCACGCTAAGCGCAGAATGCAGACCGTGCAGCTCGCCCTTTGTTTGGTGAAGAATTTCGACAGTTACAAGTCGTGAGACACTGACAAATAAATTCATGACCTATCACGCAATCGATTTCGATAGGTATCCAATTTCACCAGTATTATGCGTTTTTTTTAGCTTGAGAAAAATATTACTTTTTTTTAGATAGATCCCGCTTCCCGCCCTCCTCACCCCCCTGTTCCCCTCCATCAGACCGGCTGTCTAGGAGATATTCACCGCTCGTAAGCCCTTTTTAACAACCATCTACTTCTGTGATGGGTACTGCAGCACTGAAAAAAAATTAATAATCGGCTTTGCGTTTAACGAATGAATTTCAGTACGATGTCAGGTTTAATATGCAGGCTTAGCCGCACACAGCCCTAAGAACGAGTCAAAGGTAAGCGGATTATGTTATGCTATTATAATTTGGCTTATATTTTTGTTTGCTTTGCTTTTGCTTTTTTTCATTTTGCGCAGAAATGCGCAGCATCAGCTATAGAATTAGTTTTTTTCTTTTTCCCCCAACTAATAAAGAGCAGCCCAGAATATTGAGGACTTCAAACGATGAAGTAGGAAAACTTGAAATAGACGGAAAATTTCATCATGACCCAATGTACGTACAGTCAAGACATCGTGTTATTCATTGCCCCTCCACCCTCCTCCTTTTTGACCGTCGTCCACCCCCTAGTTACAAATCTCACTCTCTCCACAGCTATCCACTACCGTTGAAATCAACGATTGCGGCTGTAATCTTTATCAAGGAAACACTGAGCAATCTCTCGCCAAAATCGCGCCTGCTCAGCTGCCTATGAAGTAGTGAGAGCCTATTCTTTTACATGGAAAAGTAAATTAAATTTACGAAATCAGTTGTTATATGCATCGACATCGTCGGATGTTATTTTCAAGCAAATGTGTAGGTTTGTTTTTGCGTTACTACATTCTTGTGCATAAGGTGGCAAAATATGTCAAGTTACCAGAAAATATGTGACTTTCCAGGAAACCATGTTAATTAAAGTGATTGATCGAGTATTGATTATCAGCGTAAGATCTCTGATATAAAACATTTCATATATCACGCAATCACGTTGACTCCTGCATTGTGGTCTTTCTTGATGTGGTTTCCAATTTCGGCCGAGCTCTGATGTTCAGAAACACGTTGAAATAGGTTCTGGTGGGTATAGCCGACATAGCTTGCATCGCACAAGCCACGTTTGAATAAAGGCCCAATGCTTTGCTGGTTGATTAGCGGAGGCCTTTTCTTGTGCGTCTCAACATCGTCCTCAGTTTTTCGACTTGTGAATACCGGCTGTATAGTTTTTCCAATTTTATTGCTAAAATCCCGTAGTTGTCTGTGAAATGGTAGTCAAAATTATGTACGGGGAATTGTGGTTTGAGGAAAAGATCTTTCAAACGTGCGCTTTCGCTAATTTTTGTGTTGAAAATATTACTTCTAGTATTACTTGTTCAATTTTATCGAGCATCATAAAAATGTGCGCTTTAAAGAGGATAGCGCCATTAATTTGCTTGCTATTTAATATTGAATTAATTTTCAAGAATCGCCTCTCTTGACTGAATGTGCGTGACCGCCAAGTAAATGATTACCCAGATTAGACGTAACTTTAAACTTACGTCTGAACAGCGTCGTCTTGTAACATAAAACACACTCCGTGACTCAAGCGAATATTTAGCCTCCATCTTCAACCAAGAGTCGTTTAAAAATATTATCGTTAAAACAGTTCACACGAGGGATGTTGAGCGCAGATTTTTGAGTAATGAAGAGGGCGGCTCTACTAATCATTACGAGTGCTTTCTGTGTTTTCTCCACCAAAGGTAAGCTTTGAAATGATCATTTGAAATAATTAATAACACACAAGGTTGATTCATACTTGTTGTACACTATTAAACAGTTATGAAATAGTGCAGTTATGTATTAATGCAGGATCAGAAAAAACTAGTCTTTAATTGGTTCGATTTAATTTTTGGCGTAAACGATCAACAGATACAAATATGAATGATGAGAAAGTTGATGTAAACGAGGAATTTATCGCAGCTTTTTCAGAGCGATAAACACTAACTCAAAAAAAATTGATTTTCATCGGTCTCGATATTTTTTGTGATTTTTTAAAATATCGAGCTAAATTGATTTATTTCCTTGCTGTAGATATATTGAGAAATATTCGATCATAACCGGAAAAGCCCGAAAGTAACATCACTATCCAACAAAGACGCTGTTATGCAAAATTGCTCATGAATTGGTTTAGGAGATTTGGGCAGATTTTTCTCAAAAGTGTCAAACGACTCTAAGCAAAAACTATCGTTGGTAGCAATTTAACAAGTTAAGAAAGTATAATCGATATCTTGAACGCAAGATTATTGGACTTGTCTCACGCGCGTTGCGTGCGTGCGACAATTTTGGACTCCGCGTTTCAAATGGCCGTCTGACTACGTTTCATTGATAATTATTCTGATAACGAATGGCTTTTTCATGATGGAAAAATATGATTTTTCGTCTCGTCACGAGCGTGAGACAAAGTGCAAATTCTGAGAATCCGTACGGAATCGAACCTCAGACTTTCAGTTTCCGCACAGAGACTATCAGCCATATCAATAACGTCGTTAACAACAACAATGACATAATTACCAGCTGTATTTGTACCCCGTATTTTACAAATAATTACAACTCGCTCCCTTCAATCTCTTCAAAACAATGTGGTCACTACGGTTGACATAAAAGCACTGTTATCTTTTTC